CAGTATAGTTGCTCATTGTTCTACTTTGTTGCTTTTCTCGCTTATTAGTTTCAATTGTGATAGAAAAAAAATCATATCGAAACATAAGCTAGTGCAGAAGAGTCCTTCGTAGGAGTCAGTGAAAAAAAGAGCTCAACGACGCTCTAGATATTCATGTTAATAGTAAGACCAAGGATTTATCGGGAGAAGACAAGGTCTCCCTAATTCTCTGTAAATTTTTTTATGTTAAATATTTTTCTTTGAAATGTATACTCTCGTGAACAGATCCATCCTGATTTGCACCCCATACCAAAATACTCAACTTGTCATCGTACAATTTTGAGAGATAGAGAATTGTGCGACATGGACAACGTATACATAATATAATAGGATAAAAATAAATAAATAAATAAATAAAAGTTGTCGCCAACAGGCCAGGTCGAGAGCTAGTTATAGTAGAAAGCGAACATTTCCACCTAACATTATTTTTTATGAAAATTTCAGAAATGTTAGTCCAGTTAGCATATATCACTAATATCACAAAGTGCATACTTGTGTATTTTGCCTAAAAATTAATTTTGAAAGTTACAATTTGAAGAAATAATAATAATCTCAACTAAACGTTCCCAACAATCTCAACTAAATGCTATAATTGTCTATATCATATCAAACAAACAATAAATGTATCTATCTATCTATAAAATCCCGTCAACGAGGGAAACCGCTCAATTCTACCTTCTTCTCACATGACCATCATCTTCCTCATTCACACCATTAACGACCACAATTCCTTCTTCCCAAATTTGCATTACTTTTAATCCTTGCTACAGCGGCAAATCTGCCTGCCACATTGGGTAGGGCACAATATATATATATATATATATATATATATATATATATATATATATTTACCCTAATATTCTCCCGTTTTGACCAGATAGAGGTTATACCACCTGTTAGTTCATAATCCCACATCAACTTCGCCTTCCTCAGCCATATCCGGTGGGGATTTCGTTCAGAGGGATTACCGCACCGCTTTGCCTCTACCAATCGGAAGTTGCATCCAGCGAGCCACCCGATCACGCCAACAATTTTGCCTCATGGTCTTGGGTTTGTTAGCCACAGTGTAGCAAATTAATCACACCCTCAAATCTTACCCAAAGTTGTGTTTATGATTACGTTGCACTACTACGCCATCCTTGCTATTAATTCCTAGCCTTAAGGCTGCATATTGATTTGTTGGAGTTTCAAACTGATAACCTTACGTTTTTTCTTTGTCCCTGCAAATTCAGGTAAGTTTTATTTTCAACATATCTACTGTTTAATTAGATTTTGGTGTCCAGTGGAAGTGTGGAACAGACCGACCATGGTTCTTCCATTTTCGGAGGAACAGAAAATAGGAGTGTTATGGAGCAATTTAGATAGGGTACGGCATGTTATTGTTAACTCATGTTTCGTAGTAATAGTTACAATTAGTTAAATCCCTACTCAATCTAAGTGATATCATTGTATGTTAATTTGTAGAGTTTTTGCGGGTTTGATGATTCATGTTCAACCTGATTATGGCTAATTATTTTATGCGCTTAACTACTAGGATTTTACATGTAGCTATTTCATGAGACCATCCTTTTGTGTTAATTGGAATTGGTTAAATCTCTGCCTTTTTATATATGTCAACACAAGTCTGGAAGAATTAAGGAAAGCCAAGAAGGAAGAAGGTATCATAGCTTGAACTCATGATCATACCATTAGCAGACTCCCATTTTTCTGTGCCTTTGTTGATACTGAGTTTTCAATTTTCAGTGAGTTAGACTAGAACATTGTATCATGTTCTTATTTGTTTTGGGTTTGTAAAGAGCTCTAATTTATGACTTTGTGTTCGTTGTTCGGCTGACAAAGTAGAAGTGAAAAGCATTGCTTTATAAACTATGTTCATTGATATTGTGGGATACGTTTATAATGCTTTTTATCTAAATGCTAGCATTAGTCAAAGATTATGATATTTTGAGTGATAGCTAGCATTAGTCAAAGATTATGATATTTTGAGTGATAACGCTTTTTATCTAAATGCTAGCATTAGTCAAAGATTATGATATTTTGAGTGATAACGGACGATATTCATATGTTAAGTTAAAATGGGTAGCCAAATCCGCCCATCGGGCGGGCCCATAGCTAAAAATATACTATTATTAGATATATTGATATTCATATGTTAAGTTAAAATGGGTAGCCAAATCCGCCCATCGGGCGGGCCCATAGCTAAAAATATACTATTATTATTAGATATATTAATTGGCGAGTATACTTAAGGGGTCCAGTAGGGTAAGGGCAGGTGTATCGTAAGATTTATACACCCGTTCCTTATTACCTAACCCAGTTCTACCAATTAGCCAGACGTTTTCCCCGCCGACGATTAGCTGGCGGCTACCCAAGTCTCTGTCTCCCTTCCCCACGTTTTCCCCCTCCGACGATTGCCTGTCGGCTACTCAAGTCTCCGTCTCCTTTCCTCCTTCCTCTCTTCCAGAGATCCTCTATCTATGGCTGACGGATCACCGTTGTTTTCTTCCTCTATCTATCTGCGTGGCGGCTACCTGAGTACCGTGGTTGTCTGTGGACCTATTGTCCTTGCCGATCGGTTCTACCCTTTCTTCCCCTCGGGCCGGCCAAGCAATTCCGCTCATCCTTCAATCTGACAACGGAATGGGGTGCATGCAAAGAAACGAAAATTTCATCCCAACACTTGAATCTGACAACAGAATGAGCGATTAGCCGCTCTTCCTCCCGTTTCATGATTGAAGGCTACCTGAGTTGGACGCCTACCTCTACAACTGGATCCGAGAGAATAACCGTAAGCCCCCAACGGAGGCTCCTTCTATGAACTGTTTTCTTATCCGCCCTTTCATTTGGGTGATTCCTTTTCCCGCTTCTTGCTTTTCTTACCCTCCGTCGCTCGATTGACGGTTGCGCTTGCTCTCTCCCTTCTAATTGTTTTTCTTTCCGTAAGTCCCTTTCCGTTCGATACCTCCCTTCCGATGTTCCGGTGAGTGGCTGCCGTTAACAGATGATTGACCACCATTTTCAATGACCTATGGGACTGGGCATGCAATTAGAAGAAGAGGGTAACTGAAGGAAAGGGATTCATTCGACTACTTTGTTAAGTTTGTTTCCTGGCCGACGAAGGGTAATTGGAAGTAAACAACCAGATCATGCTTTTAGAACTAAAAACCAGGCCGCAAGAAGGGTGGTGGTTGTTGGACTCTCAGCGAAAGGCGAACCGAGAGAGAATCAGGAATAACTAGAGAAGAATAATAGAAAGCAGAACAACTAATGATCACAACTTTACTTCAAGGGTAAGGAGATTAATGAGAATGTTGATAGATAGATAAGACATGGGAAAGGAGGAAGTAGGGGTTGAGTTGCATTTTGCTGCCACCTGTTATCCATCTTCTCCACATGCAAAGACAAGGAGTCAGATGGGTCTTTGTATATAATGGGAGGGGACTTATCGCATTACTTACGGTGGGGATTTCAGATTTGTGTATCAGTCTTACCAAACAAAGCAATAAGTATTAACACTAACACTAACACTAACACTAACACCAAGTTCGTAAAATCTAAGTCCTTATATTTTTTTATTAAACGGTTACATAAAAAATAATAGTCATCTCCCAAATTTTAAATAAGATATATTACATGGACTATTCCTCAATTTTGTGTTGATCTTATACTTTGTTATTCATTATTGTTGTTTGCTCCATGTGAAACTAATCTTTCCTGAAATACGAAAACAATTAATAAAAAATTACAACAGTATGTCCAAGGCCAACGAATATTTAACCAAAGTTCAATTTTTAAACTCTCAACATATTCTTCTCAAATTAAAACATTATTACTCTTCGACACTAAATAATAAGTATATTTTATAACAACCAGCCGAATAGCGCAGACCAAATATATATAACTAATTAACTGAAATATTATATCCAAAACTACTAAAAAAAATATATTGCAACCAAAATTATTGTCAATGTCCAAGACTAACAAACATAATTAGTAAATACTCCGTTAAATACACGTATATGTACCCATACACATTTTATCCGGTCAAAAGTTATGTATCCGTATTATTGTCAAGCCCTTTCATTTTTTTCATTCATTTGATGGCTCCAGTACTAAACACGTATAAAACCCGTATAACACGTTTAATATCCGTATTTAATGAATTAAATTGTGAAATTTACTATTATTTATATATTTATTTAATTTTAAAATAATTAATTTTTATGTATTTATGACTATTAACGTACTATTAAACGTAACATTAGCTTAGAGACGACGTAAAAATACCCATACATATTTTTTACGTAACTTTTCCATACCGTTTACTACCTATGCTAACAAATACTTAACAAAAGGTTCATTTTTAAGATTTAGACATATTCACCTCAAATTAAGAACTTATTACTCTTTAACACTAACGGAAATATATTTTATAAAGACCTGCCGCAAAGCGCGGGCCAATTATCTAGTGAATTATATAAAATACAAGCAGCGAAACTATCACAGAACCACAGTCACTAATGTAATGTTCCCTTCTCTGAGCCTCAAATAACCAAAAGAAAACAATTACAACTCCTTACAGAAAGTATTTTCTTGGTAATAATGTACACAAAGCCTATCAAGACCCATAAACAGGGCAAATCTTTAGCTCAATGAACCTGAAACCGGTGTGCGAAAAGAACCAGAGCTGTAAACGAAGTGATTCAATTGGATCTTTTGGCAACATATATATGCATATATCTCTCAAACTCTCTGGGGGAAAAAAAATATTTCGACCCCCAGAGGCCTACAACTGTCTCTCCCTTCTCACTCTCAAATTACAATCATGGACACCAAAGATTTATCTTAAAACTACGCCTACAGAAGTGAAATGCAGGTTCTCAGCGGACGGGTGGGGGGTAAAGCAAAAGGAAAAACAGAAAGAACTCGTACATGGAAAATGATGCTGGAAGTAAGGTTCTTCACAAATCGCGAGGGAAGTTGTTGATCTGTCCTTCCTCCAACACATCTTTGCCGTCGACCTTGTACGCTATCCTTAAGCGCATCACCAGTGGTTTCTGGAATCAATAGGAAAAGATTGGTGTTGTGACATCTGAAAATCTCATTTTAGCGCTGAAGAAAGTCTGGAAGCCAGAACGAGGAAACCCAGAAAAAGGTCAATTGTTCAGGGAAACAAAGATCGACAGCCCCGTGTGTGTCATACCTTCCCATGTTGGCTGTTTGTGACTTTCAAACTCTGTGTGATGGTCCCGTTACCGCTAGCAGGTAGGCTGTTACCACTAGCTGGATCCAAGTGAAGTTGCAGAAACTGTAAGAAAAAAGGAAAGGGTTCCAGTCGTGAGAGAACGAGTCAGCAAGGAAGGCAACGAAACAGAAAGAGAAGAAATATAAAGGAAAGCAACAAGGGCATTTGCCTTTGGAACTGCAGCCTGGAAAACAAAGTCTGTGAACACATTAGATGACAAGTTTGTGAAAGTGCCAGAAATCATTGTCGTCTGAGGGTTTCCAGGTTGCTTTGAGAAGTTGAAGGTTAACCGCAATGAGCTGCTTTCGAATGCAACTATGGATGGATAAGCAGTACCGTTGTTTGCTGTCCAAAAACAACAATAATGAATGCCCCAAAGTGGAAAGGACACAATGAGATGATAAGTATATGGTGGCTAGACTCTTTACCAGGCTTTGGTGGAGCTGGAGCGAAACCATCCAACAAATCCATCATATTGGAAGCTGTAGAAGAAGAGGCTTGGGTAAGGGAAGGTGCTGCGAGCACATCCAATGAGGCGATTGCGGGTTTGTGATCTTGTGCAGAAGATAAGATATCAGGTGTAGATACGCTATTGTCCTGTGCAGGATTCGATCCAATAGACAGCAGATCTAATAGAACGTCTGTTCCAGCCTTCGGTGCTTGACTTGTACCTTAAGACAAAACCAAAAATTTACAGCATATCAAGACTACAGCAGTTCATAATGAGAGCTTATATACTTTTCAATGTTCAATGTATAGCAAGTATAAGAGACTGAACACAAAGCATAGCAGAAGACAATGCCTAATAGAAGTGATAGCTTTAAGATATCCAGCTCTAGTGAAAAATCCAGACATGTAAGATACTGTGAAAATGGAACACGAGTTCAGCATTGGCAGTAGAGGCTGCCAAAACAAGCTGAGAAGAGATTAATAAAGCAGTTGCCAATCTGGAATGAGCCTCAGTGTCATAGTGGAAAGAACTCGACCAACAATAAGCTTTCAGAAACTACATGAGGCTGTATCACGCTGACCTGATTGGGTGGCAGGTGCTAAATCAACACCAAGTAGATCCTGGAGAAAATCACCACCAGATGAGCTAGGAGCAGGTACATCATCAGAAAGATCAAGCAAATCTACAAGAGGAGCTGCAGAGGGCTTTGCAACTCCATTTGGAAGTTTCACTGCAGTGCCATTGGAAGTTGAAACAGTATTCGGCAAAGAACTAGCTCTTCTTCCACCAAAACTAGCTTCATCCAATACTGGCATCCGTTCAACCAGGGCAGACCTGCAGAAATTATCAATCAGTTCATTACTCTGGGAAGATTTCAAGATACCACAGTGACAACACCAAAATGTTAAATCTAAACATGGATCTGGATAAACTATAATGCACACCTAATATTCTGGTGCTTCTCAATTATGGAGTTGAATTCCAGCGACCTCTGCTGCAATTCAAGCACAAGACTTCCTTTGTGTTGCACAACTATGTCCTTGATCCTCCTGCAAAGCCATGCAAAGGACAAAAACTTTAAAGCTTAGGCCGATACCTTTAGATGAGATGGCATTAAACCCCTAATAGATGTTGTATCAGTGAATTTCATAACATGACTAAATAAAAATGATTTTATAGAAAATGAAAACTAAGCCATATTTGGGAAGGACTCAGGTGCTGTAGCTGGTAGGTTAATCTGGCAGTCTATGTTAAATCACATTTGGCATGAAACATGTAACAGAATGTATGAGGTACTAGCAGGGATGCTTAGGCGTTGGTGAAGAATATAGAGTCTGAAATTTGGGTTCTTGTCTAAGAGCAGGATCTTGATGGATTCTGGTCTTTTTAAGCTGCCGGATTAGCTCTTGTGCACACCTGGGGGTTATTGTAGGGTTTGTTTGGTTTATCTTGTTTTAGTAGGTTGAATCACTTATTGTAATGTTGTTTTCTCCTATGGGAGAAATGCCTAGTTGACAAGGCTGCTGTCAACTCTGCTTTTTTTATGGAATGGAAAACCCGATTCATCAAGAAGAAGAAAAAACTAAGCCACAATCTCAAACTTGATGCCATGCTGATATTTGTTCCACTAGATAACCTTATCAACTTGAAATCACAACTGTCACTGCACTAGTGCCAGCCAAGTCCAACATGAAGAATTCTGCACATATAACATGCATGGAATCTGCCAGTCTTCAACAACTTTAAGCAACTTTATTTCAAGGCAACACAACCTAGAACTTGAGCAGAAAGATTACAGAAAACAGCGAGGCTAGAAATACAAAAAGTAACCTGAGAAGATTACCCTGAACAAGATGGAAAACGTGAGGATAGCTTCAATAGCGCAATCAATGCCATTGACTTAGTGGTCAGATCAGAGGTATGGCGCTTTATTGCGCTCTCCACAACATCAACAGCATCAGACTCCGTTACCTGCTTAGAGAAGCAACATTGATCATAATCACTATACCAAGTGGACAGTTCATGCAACCTGAAGCACAAGCAATATACTCACTGTTATAGGGTCTTCCACATTAAGCATTCCAGCATTATTCACCAACAAGTCCCCGTATTCCCCTATGCACCAAACTGCCACTCGGACTAGGCTCTCCTGATGAGAAGTGTTGAAACATTTATCGCAACATAGATCGCCAGTAAAAATAATTATGTTTTTGTCAGGGTACTCGTGGAACATAGTAATGAAAGGTTTCAGACCCATGGCTTGTGCCTTTGATGGCTTTAAGTGAGGCTCCATAACCAAGCACATCTTTTTCTTTTTTTCCCCTTTTAATGTGGTGGATCTATATTCTATAGTATTGCTTTCCCTCTTATCTAAAATGACAAATAAAGACAGGTGCAAGACATTCAAAACTAACTGAAACCGATATCTTGCTTTGAGTCAAATATAGGAACTTCCCGGAGGAAGGGCTAACTACGGCAGACAAAGCCAACCGTATGTTAAAAGTTAAATTAGTGCAATGCGCAAGAACTTAAAGCATATTATCCTCCTAACCTAAAGACATGTTTAAAGATTTTCATTAAAGGCATTTTCCTTGCCTTACAATTTGTGCCGCCAACAGCACTAACAGTAACAGGAGTTAGCTACTGTTATATCACATCCAAGTGACTTGTGCAATCAGCATTGTTAACTGAAAAAGGGCGCACACCTCTAACATGAAGGGCTTTCAGATTACCAGAAAACAAAACAATAAGTTAATGAAAATCCTTCGAAACTGAACTATGACGTCTAATTAGGTTATGATCGTGATTTTTTTTTTTTTTTTTTGAGTTTTTCAATCATATACTGCACCAACATGCCAAACAATTCTGTTTGTTCAACTTTACTAGAATCTTATAGGACTCTTCAGCCGAGCTTGGTTTAATGGGTAGGCACCACTAGTCACGTAACACCCAATGATCATCTTGTATTTATTTATTTTTTATTTCCAATTATACCTCTTGCTCAATATTATAATTCATGAGACTGGTTTAGTCACTTCACAACACCAAAAAATTTCAATTACTTCACAAACATTAGAAGATCGATAGGTTCTTCTATTTTAACGAATTCCCTCATCACAAAATGTAAGTACTCTACGCTACACGACCTCCAATCAAACACACTTCACCTTCTCCAATTCTTGAAGTCGACATCTATTATGGATATCCTACCAGTTGAAGCAAACAAACCCGTTATCTCTCCTTACCCAATTATACAGGATCTATTGATGATTTAAGGTTTGCTATGTTTTGCCGCCTTTCCTCATTCACCACTATATATAAAAGAATCGGAAATAGATCCATCACATGAAAGGAAAGGGATAAGAAAGGAAGAGGAGAATGAGCAGACACTAAACTGTAGAGCCTTGCGTCCCCATCATCTGCAAGCGCTTTCTTCCCTAGGTATGCACCTCTAATGACTACTCATAGGAGAATGCTTTTAGGATCACATAACGGCATGTAAATATTATGAGAGCTCTCGATCATCAGACACAGTTCAATACCTGTTCTGCGGTAGTCTGCAATGCTCTAAACAATGCTCTTACTGTATATCCATGGAGGTCCGAAGCATTGCTGATCACAACAACTAGAGCATGCCATACTTCATCTTTTACAAAGTTCCCAGCCTGTCGACCGAAAAGAGATAAAACCAAAATAGTATAATATAAGAACAATGGAAATAAATAAACAAGCAAATGAATGAGCAAAGACCCAAGATGCAAAAGGAAAATACCAGTGTCTAGAAGTAACATGCTAGTAAATTCACATTTTCCTTGCCTATTTATGTCCAGGATTTAGCACTTGAAGAAAACTCATTTGCAATTTCTTGATAAAAACATTGCTACATCTTACCTCTGTGAGAACCTTGAGCATCTGATCAATATACCAAATTTTCTCGGGCGAAAACCTAAAATCCATAGAGAAAAAGTGAGACAAGACAAATCACAGGACCAGATAAGTTTCCAATAAAAAATTAATTACGTAAATTCCATCTACTACAACAATCCTTCGTAAGGCAAAGGATTCCAAGAGATCCGATTAACATGGGAAAATCATCAACAAAAAAGTGCTCACATCACATCAACTAAATTTTACTGTTAGCAACATTAAAGAATTTGGCAATCACACTCAATTGTAGAGAGAATACCACATTCTATTTAGAGACATCATTAACTATAAAGTGCCACATTCTAAAACCAACAAAGTAACGTCATTAATAACTTACTTTTCAATGATGGAGCAAATTTTGGCAGTCAGATCTCCTTTAAAATCTTGATCACTAACTTCCAAGTAGTCAACTAATTCTTTAGTTAAGGGTTTGACATTGCTCTCATTGACCAGGAGGTAAACCAGTTCAAGGGCTCTTTTCCTTATTGATGCATCTGAATCCTGAAGAGGAAGAACAATTAACAAACTTAGCTTGTTATATAAAACGGCTCATTGACCAGAGACAGAACTTCGCGATCTTAACTTTATTAGTACACTCAAATATTTAGCTGTCATAAGAACATATCTACCTTTACAACAAACTATCGAGATGAGTCGCTATGTTTATTAATATTTTAAAATAATGTGTTCAAAAAAAACCTTGGAAAATCTTATATATACCTTTACACACTCCAAAATTGTTGCACGATGCCTCTGCACTGCTTGAGCATCTACAGTAATAGCCCTCATCAGCATGTTTAAAGCAACATATCTGGAAAAACGAATGTAGATTTCAGTAGAATATTTCAGGTTTCAAATAACAGCAGCAGGATAGAGATGCCTACAGAACTTCAAACACGGATGATTGAGCACATGTACTAAAACTATCATTTAGCAGAACAAAATGTCAAATTTGCTTCCAAATCCCCCTTGAAAGGTCACAAGACAATCTTTAGCAGCACAAGTCCCAAACAAGGACTGGTCCATATCTAAAATTACACCAAGTTAAACTCAGAGAGAGTTTGAGATGTTAGATTTCATTATCTGCCCATTAACACAGGTGGAAGCCACTAATTTGCTGTTAAAAGTGGTCGTAAAGCTCTAGCCGTACTCACTCCCAATGGGTTAGCACAATGGTAATAGGTAGATGGTGACAACATCCAACCCATTCGGAATTCGAGTGTTGGAGCCAATGTCACCTATTAAAAAAATGTCTTCGTACTTTTGGACCCAAATTGCATGAAGAGAGAGCAGCTTTTAGCTTCTATTTGAAAAGCTATATCACATCAGTGTATCCAGAGAAACGCATTTTATTGGACGAATGCTTGACCAAACACATGAAACGGAAAATATCTGTTTTGGAAAGACTTCTACGAATCAATATAGCAATCCAGTTTCCAACTTAACAGTAGTTAATAGTGACAAAAAAGGTTGTCAGATCCTATAACAAACCAGTAAGCTCAAACCACGTGTAAGCAACAGTAATGAATTATTAGTAGCAGGCGAAGGCGGCATTTTCTTAGGATTTGAGGTACAAATAAGTCAGTGAGTTAGAAATGGTATAATCAAGCCTGCCAACGTACCTGATATTGTTGTCACGATTTGACAAAAATCTTCCTAGTATATTTATAGCAAGCACTCGCAAGCCACCATTATCTTCTATGCTCATGATGGTTTCAACACATTCATACAAAATAGCATTTCCTGCATTTTTGTTTGATTCGGTCTTTGTTGCCACCTGGAAAACAATTTATGAAGAGGGGTAGAACATATCAGTACACATTCACCAAGTATAGAAACAACTACTTAGAATTAAATAATAGAGCTAAACCTTAGAGATGATGATTATTTAGCCCAAATAAATGGAAGAGCAAAATATAGCAGAAACAGTAATGCGGAACCTGAGCGAGTATGTCGTTCATAGCATCACTAGCATCAGCATCTCCTTGGCCTAGCACACGCAAGAGCTTGAGCAGTCTAATATGAAGAAAGGGGTCTGTGATTCCAGCAATGTCATACTCTGGTGCGTATGGGCTGTTTACAAGATCTCGTAAAGTCCTTACCAAACCATCCGTGCATTTCTACAACAATTATTTGAAATCTTGTCATAATCTGTTGCAGAAAGCACCATCATCCAATTTTAAGGCTAATTATTCAATCACTTGCATAAGAAGAGCTCTGATAGGCTCCTTGCACAGATGAGGCATTGCTTATGGACGGGCAAGATACACAATACAAAAAGATTCTGGAGAAGTAAACTTAAGAATACAATTAACTGATAACAAGTTGGTGAATGAATTCTAAGTAACGTAGAGAGTTGAAAGAGATATGCACCAACAAGAAAATTAACTAAAGGTAGCCAAGAAACAAAAACAAAAAAACGTACAATGACTTGGCCAGCATGAATATTAGCAACAACTACACAGAATATCTAATAAACATGACACTAAAGAAAAACAATCGTAAACTGATAGACTCGCTGTATGTCTGTGAAGACACTGAATAAGTTAGAGCAATTTACCTTTCTAAAATATTCCAGGGCCTCGGAACTGACTTTACATAGATCTGTACAAAGTTGAATTCCTGTGATCAGGACACCATGGTGCTTTTCTTTAAGTAAAGCTGCAACAGGATTGATGAAATTTTCTGCCAAATCTGGGACCTTCTTTATAATCCTTATGGAGCATAAGGCTGCCTATCCACAAGACAATCAAATAACATGAAAACCGTTAAAAGAACAGGACAAACTGGAGAAGTTAGAAAAACAACTAAAAAGCAAGTATAGGTAGTACAGATATCATTATTACACGAAATAATAATAAAAAATACAGATTTGAACCAATTAAGAATATAAGGAGACTAACTTTTTTCCGAATATTTGGGTCTCGGAATTGCAGCAGTCTCTCTACTTCTGGTGCTAGATCCCGTGCCATTTCTGCTGAACAAATGTTCCCCAAAGCACAAAGAGCAAGTCCCACAATATACTGGTTTGTATGATTAAGATCTCTGTACTTAGGCTAAGGAATCCAAGTTTCAAATATCAGATTAAAAATGCTGAATGCCAGAAGTTTGGAACAAGAATAAAAACAGGAGATATAAACCGACAGGATACTGCTTTACAGAGTTCGTGACCAACATTAGGACCTCCTGTCGTTCATCAAGAAGCAGCATCAGCCCAAGATATCCTATTCTCTTCTCAGGAAATCCAGGTGATGCAATCAACTTCAGGCACTCCATTTGCCCAAAATGCGTTGGATAGCCAAGCATGTGAATAAACATGAGCTTTGCCAGGTTACGATGTCTATAATCTTGATCATTTTCATTAATGGCAGCACGTATAGCAGCACACTCTTTTCTAACAACAGCGCGCTCCTCTGCAGCAGTTTTGCAAGCACGGATTGCCCGAATCATGTCCCTGCAATGAATGTTTTGGCACACATCACATATCAATACGGAAACTCATATTTTCCCCATTTAAAGGTTTTGACTATTAGCCAAAGCCAGGAAGCACATAAAAGGATGACCAGTTTCAGTCATCTCAGATTACAGAACAAAGTTGCTAAGAATGCACATAGTTTAAGCTATTCCAGAAAACTAGTCAAAAACTTGCAGATAACAAATGTGCCGAATTGACGTCAGCAGCACACAAGGCAGCTTCAATTCCAGTCAAATGAGGTCGATTTTTGGATGAATTCTCAACAAGAATCTATAGAAACCAGTTCTATGACTATATTCAGTCCAGCGTATTTTGGATTCCCCCAAGTCTTTCTAAATGTTCCAACAGATACTCCAAACTCGAACAAAACGAGTATCACCGCCAAGTATGAACGGCAATTGATCCCATCAGCTTATCTAATGACTTCACATTCACTTCTTTCCCCACATTCTATAGCTCATTTTACTCTCAGAAAGAACAGCTCCACAAACAAGTGGATCACAACTCCAATCGCGCCAGAGCTCCTCCGTTAACCTGAAGTACTGGCAACGATCAACTAAGCTCTCCCTGGTATCTGAAACTCCCAAAACCACAACTCTGCGCATTTGTGCCAATCCTAGAGAAGGCAATTGAGTGCCATTATTGTCCATCCTACCAGGGAAGCAGCCAACAACTACAGTTCCCAAATAACGCAAGGAATTCCACAAGACTTCCAACTCCAGAGAAAAATTGTTCGACGTGATCCAACACAGAAGGCGGCAGCGGCAAGAAGGATGGATTCTGTGCACTCACCTGAGACGCGTGCCGGAAGAGAAAGGATTCATGATTGGGTCCGTTTCGGAAACTTGCACCAGATAGCTCAATCGGATCCAAGGGGAATTTTGGCGGCGGAAGAAACCGATCAACTATGTTCTTTCTCTCCTCCCTCCCGATTCCGTCAGCGAGCTCGGATTCAGAGATCCGAATGGGAGGACATTAGGAGATCTGGGAGACCCTGCAGATTTGGATCTGATGAGAGAAAGGAAATGGACGAAGTAATTTCTGGTTTGTTGTTTTAAATTCTCCGCTTAGCAATGAGACGGAGAGGGGATGATGAATATTAGTGTGCGTGCTGTTCGAATTTTTGTCTCTCTGTAAACAAATGAAAATCGGAGAAGGAGAAGAAAGAAACAGCAAAACAAAAAAAAAAATTTAAAAAATTGAGCACAAAATGGGCACTAAAAATTATAAAATGAAGAAAAAATGTGGATATTTCCAACTCTTGTAGTTAAAATTATCGGCGGTAGTTTATAACCCGACCCGTTGTTCGGAGGTAGCTGAGCCGAATATTGAATTATTGATATTAACGTAATAATGCTCTTGGCTCATGTATATTGTGAGGAGAATAAGTGACTTGAATTTGTTTTCGGTGTATATTGTATATGATAGCAAAGCAGACCAAAGAAATGAGACTCACTTCAAATTAATTCAACTGAACATCTAAAGCAAGCTTTCATTGTATCTACCAAATAGGCAAGGAAAACACTTCAATTCGAACTGAATAAGAGATTGGAGACCGTAGACCCCGATGGCGGTGCCGGCAACAGAGAAAAAGCATGTGGTGGTGTCGTTGAAGGGGAAGCACTAAAGGGGACTGCGGCAGTTGCCATGGGGAAATTTTGTGACATAGATCTGTGACTTGACAAAGAACGAGGCTAGAGTTTGGTTGGGCACCTTCGAGATGACCGAGGAAAAGTGTCCTGAGGAGGCAGTGTTTATTTTCTAGAGCTAGAGGGCAAGAAAAGTTTCGCGACGGAGGTGCCATAAGATTATTTTGGTTTCGCGATTGAAGAAGTCTGGCCCTCTAAGACTAGTTGGAGGAAGGTGAAATGGTGGGTGGAGAGATGACATTTTCTTCTTTTTTTACCTTTCTATTTTACTTTTTTTTTTTTTTTTGAAATTAGGAGGCCGAAGCCGAGGTTACAAGCTTAGTTTACAATCGAATCAGCCATATCAGAAAGTACTCTTCTAGGGAGGCTAACCCCTCTCATGTCTTCTTCGATAATCCTTCTCGCCCCATCCGGGGGGTCCGACAGTTCATACACACCGAAGGGATAGACGAGACTGTGCTTCGAGAGCCAGTCCGCGACTCTATTCCCTTCGCGATATGTATGTTCTAATCTGACCACCCAGTCTTGAGCTAGCAATCTTCTAATGGCAGCCAAGATCGTCGAGTGCGGATGCACCGGGTCCTCTCTTTTATCGATAAGATTCAAAGCTAACTGTGAATCTGTTTCAAGAATGAGGAATCGAGCTCCCTGTTTCCAGGCGTAATCCAGCCCATGATATATTCCCCAAAGCTCGGCTAGAATAGCAGTACCTGATCCAACTTTGCAGCAGAAGCCTCCCATCCAATCTCCGTGACTATCTCTGAGGACTCCCCCTGCAGTTATTATTCCCGGGCAGCCTTGAGCAGCCCCATCGGTGTTCATCTTGAGCCATCCCGCCGTCGGCGACCTCCAAGCTATTAGTTCTTCCTTCCGCTGTCCCCCTTGTTGTTGAAGGAGATTGCTGCTAGCTTTTTCCCACGTATGAATCCAGTCCTTAGCTTTGGTTAAGACATAGTTTGCTAGGGAGGAAGGAGTGAGAGTTTTCCCTTTGAAGATGTTTTCATTCCTGTGCTTCCAGATGTACCATGAGATGAGAGCAAAGTAGTTTGCCCATTCCCCTGGCCATTCCCCTGTCCTGAGGGAGCAGCCCTTCGAACTCCTCCAACTTCCAGCCTCGCGTCATGTCCCAATAGTCAGCTACCCTCCGTTGAAGTTGGTCTTGGGGTAAATCTTCCTCTGTCAGATCTTTTAGAGGTATCTGCGAGATCCAAGAATCAGTCCAAAAGTTAGTTTCTTTACCGTTCTTAACATTCATAGTTGTACCCTTGCGGAGAGTCGTTGCAGCCTGTGCAAAGCTCCGCCAGGTGAATGAACTTCCCTGTTTTGGGTGGAGAATGCCCATTCCCTGCCTGCCTATGGCATACTTAGCTCTGAGCACTCTAGCCCACATAGTTTGGTCGTTGGTGATGAGCTTCCAAGCTCCCTTCGCAAGCATTGCCTGGTTCGCAATTCTGGTCGGCCTAACCCCCGCTCCTCCCTGACTACGCGGTAAGGCGATGTGATCCCATCTAATAGGATGAAATTTGTTCTTCTCGTCTTCCTCTCCCCATATGAATTGCCTGTTTATCCTGTCAAAAGAATTGCAAACAGAAACAGGTAGCAGCTCGGTAAACATAGGATAAATGACCATGGAAGAGGCTATGGATTTCACCAAAGTTACTCGGGCTACCAGTGATAGATGTCGAGTTTTCCAAGAGGCCAGTTTCTAGTGAATTCGGATTTTCAGATCATGATAGCGATTCTCTTGAACCCTTCCCGAGATAGCATTGATGCCCAGATATCTCCCCAGATCTGAAGTGAGTGGAATGCCCGCTCGATTGCTAAGCTGCTGTGCTTTACTCCTCGGAATGCAGGGCGCTATCCACATCACTGATTTGCTGAGGCTGACTTTTTGGCCTGAACTGTTGCAGAAATCCTCTAGACATTTGCGAATGACATTAATTTGTCTCCCTTCTGCTGCTGCGAACAAAATAAGGTCATCAGCGAAAAATAGATGCGAGAGCTTTGGTCCATCTTTCGAAAGGGTAAGAGGTTTCCAAAGCTTTCCCTCTATTGCTTGATTAATACAATGGGATAATCTTTCCATACAAAGAACAAACAGGAAAGAGGATAAGGGATCTCCCTGTCTGACTCCTCTCGTCGGAGTAATTGGAGCCGTTTGCTTTCCATTCCAGTTTATCGTTACTTTGTTGCTTTCCACGCACGTCATGATGCGAGAGATCCACGTACTTGGCAGCCCCACCTCCCTCAGAGTGTCCCGAATGAAGTCCCATCGAAGCCTGTCGTAAGCTTTCTCAAGGTCTACTTTGATAATTAGACCTCCTGTTTTGCTCTTCTTCTTACGCAGGGAATGGATAACCTCCTGGAGGATTACAATGTTGTCGTTAGTTTGTCTTCCCTGAATGAAGCCGCTTTGATTTTCTGAGATCCACTTTGGCATTACCGGCTTGAATCGATTTGCTATAGCCTTGGTAATGGCCTTCAAGGCCACATTATTAAGACAAATAGGCCTGAACTGAGCTGCTGATTCAGGGTGATCCACCTTCGGAATGAGAACCATATTAGAATTGGTGAGCTCAGATGGTAGTTCCCCTGTTTCGAAAAAATGGATCCCCATATCTGAAAGCTGCTTCCCTGTTTGAGACCATGAACTTTGATAAAAGATCGCTTGATACCCGTCTGGTCCAGGAGCTGAATACGGTTTCATGCCGAAGATAGCTTTGTGGAAGTCGGTGATGTCAAAAGGTCGGAGTAGTTGCAGCAAGTCTCTTTGAGATAGCCTAGGAAATCTGTTCTTTGGCATAAGATCATCATACTGCTGGCTGTCTTGCGTGTAAAGGGTAGTGTAAAACTCCAAAATCATCGCTTCTAGCTGGACTGGATCATCAATCCAATTCCCGTTATGATCCTTGAGAGTCAGAATTTTCCTTCTTCTTCTTCTTCTAGTGGCTTGCTGATGAAAATAAGAAGTATTCTGCTCACCTAGCTTGACCCATTTTTCTTTCGACCTTTGGTACCAGAAGAGTTCCTCTTGAATTAGAAGGTCATCAAGTTCAGCTTCGAGTTTGACTTGCAATTTCAAAAGCCCCGAGTTGACTCCATTAGCGATTCTGTTTTGAATGCCTTGCAGCCTAGCTAAGATCCTTCTTTTCCTTTTGTGTAATGACCCAAAGACTTCATTGCTCCAAATAACTAGCTTCTGAGTAACCTCCTTAATAGCCTGCTGGAAAGAGATGTTTTTATTCCAAGCTTCTTCCATAAACTTCGAGAAGTCTTTATGCAGTATCCAGGCTGCCTCGAACCGAAAAGGTTTATCGTTACTCGCTGAATGGGTGGAGCCCATATTAGTTGTGAGAATGGGCAAGTGATCCGAGTGTAACTTTGGAAGGTGGAGAACCGCGGTCTCTGGGAAGGTCTCATTCCAGATGTCGTTGCACAGAGATCGGTCGATACGGCTGGCCTTATGAGTCGCTGCAGTTGTACCCCTAAACCAGGTGAATCGAGACCCCGAATAACCTAAGTCCATAAGCTTAGCTTCCTGCACCCAACTGGTGAACCTCTGACACCTGCGGATGTTTGCTGAAGAGGTTTGTCCTGACTTTTCTTCTGGTGAACCATACGCATTGAAGTCGCCGGTGAGTAGCCAAGGCAGAGTAATCCTCTTGCTATTATCGATAATCTGATTCCAAAGGGCTTGGTGATATTTGTACTGGGGACTTCCATAGATTCCTGTTAGAATCCAATCTTGCTGACCTGCTCTGGAAACCATGACAGTCACGTGCTGCTTACTGGCATTTATGAGAGTAACACAATGGTCTTCCGACTTCCAAGCTAGCCATATTCCTCCCGCCCTGCCATCAGCATCGATCAACAAAACTTTATTGAAGCCTAGTTTGCTGCAGACCTCCGTTGCTCTATCTCCGCTGATTTGGGGTTCAAAGATGATCAAGAAATCAGGTTGATGAGTCTGCAGAAGAAGCTTTATGGCTCTTATGAATTTCCTGCTTCCTGCACCACACACGTTCCAAGCTAAAACTTTAAATTTGGGATAACTAATCATGAGAAGATTAAAGAGAAACGAACTGCGAAAATCACAAAACGCAAATGAAAAAGCGCTTGGTCTAGAAAGGGCTTAGTTCGAGGGAAATTCAGCTTCATTGCTCGATTGATTCGCGCCACTTGCTGCAATCTCTGAGTTGAGATTCTCGGTCATTGCAATGTCGCCCTCCTTCGTCGTTTGAGTCGTAATGGGTTCTCCTGTTTTACTTTTTGTATTGGCGAAGCACTCCTCCACCATTTTGATCGTGAATGGAAAGGGTGAGTGCCTGAGAGCCTGATGCAGATCCTTCTTGACTGAGTTTTGAATTTGAAGGGGTTTCTTGGTGCCTCTGAGATTGAAGACCCGCTGCTTCTCTTGGTTAGGGCTGCGATTTTGCCTTTGTTTGCTGTAGTGCTGTCTGATCGATGTCCCTTCCAGATTGGGGTCTCGATTTTCTTTGCCTGCTGTCTCCAGTGGCGGGACTTGGACTACTGTGATGGTGGTATTATTTTGGGCCTGGACGATATGAAGTAGTTGTGGAACTTCTCCTATTTCTTGGTGGGTTTGGTCTGTACGAGTTTCCTCAGTTTGCATAATATCTGTCTTGGTTGGGTCAGATGATGATGGGTCAGAGATGTTCATTGGGTTTGCACCCTGGGCCTGAATGCTGTTTATCCGGTTTGTAGCCTTGCCCGTAACAGCTCTCCATTCTTGAGTTGTTCCCTCTTTTTTATTACCGTTGGCGTTAGTTTCCCCCATAAGCCCCTTTCCTTTTTGTTTGCTCGTTTTCCCCTTTTGTTGTCCCTGCTTTTGATCCAATTTTTCCTTTCCCTTTGTCATCTCCGTTACCCTTCCCGCATTCTGTTTCCCCTTGATCATGATCGATTCTTGCTTTCCTTTTGTTGGTACTGATATCTTGCCGCTATCTGCTCTTGCCATTTGAGAAGTTTCTTCTGTTGACCCTTGCCCAATTCTGCCTTTCCTAATCTGTTTGCGGGATCGGCGCGTCACCTGCATCCAAGGTCCGAAGCCCGCCGGAGGCTCCGGCGAGCTGGATTGTTCCGCCACTGGAGAGTCAGCACTTGAAAGAGTTATCAAAGCCAGAGAGGTTTCTTGTTTCTTGAGCGGACAGGCATCCTCGTCGTGACCAATCCGCCCACAACTATAACAAATTGTTGGAAGATTTTCGTATAGAATTCCCTTCCAGAAGTTGTCGAGAAATATTCTTGTAGGTAGGGGCTTTGAGATATCTAGTTCCACTGCTAATCTAGCGAATTTCCCCCTTTCCAGCTGCTCTGTATGATAATCTAGCCTGATTGTTCCTCCAATGAGATTCCCCAGCGCAAACAGAACTTCTCTGTGATAGAAATGTACCGGAAGCTCCGGCAGCTGAACCCAAGCCACCACAGATCTATGTGGCTTGTCGGATGTGCGAAAGTTTGGAGACCATTGGTGCACCATCAGATAGTGATCAAGGATCACCCATGGCCCTCCCGTGAGAGCTCGTAGATAGTCTTGATCGTTCCCAAAAGTAGCCAGGAATGTATCATTGTTAAGATCCATTATATCTAGAGATCCCACAGGTCGCCAATTCCACCTGAGCTGCGAACAGAGATAAGAGTAAGAAACTGATTTACCCAGAAGGCGGACAATCAATGTTTTTTTCCATGGCTGGCAAAGCCTTTCCTTGAGCGCCGGGGAAATCTTTAACGCCGGCTCTCCCTGGAAGGATGATGGTTCGAGATCGTTGGTGCCGACAAAGGTCCACTGAGTCGCTTTGGATGGGCTTGCCGTTGAAGCTCCGGTTAAGGCCGCTCTAAAGTTCATTGGTTGAGGTTGATTGGGTGAGTTCTTGGAGGACAGAGCCTGGATGGGGCCTGGATCCTGATTGGTGAGTGAAGGAGGATCCGGAGGTCTTCCCGTCAGCTCTGGAACTATGGTCGATGAATTCTCTCCGGCGGCGGAGGTTGAGAGCATTTTAGAGCACTTCTCTACTTCCTTTAGGGGAGGTCACCTTTCTATTTTACTTAATTGGAACAAAAGAGCAAAAAATTTAGACAGGCAAAGTTAATGCAAAAAATCAGCAACGTCAGCAAAAAGTTAGTCCAGTCAGCACATGTTGATAGCATGCAATTTATGTGAAAGTCTAAAGCATGAGGACACAACTTTTATTTGAGATGCTGACTAGTTCTTTCAAAATAGTAACATTTATTTCGGCAGACGGAAACAAGAGCTTAAATATTTTTTAGGTTGCTAACTAATTAAAATGATGGACAAGAGCTGGGTTTCTAAACCATGAGAAAGTATTGCATATTGTAATGGAATAGAGAATATTTTGAACTTTGCATTTGCTAATTTAGCTGAGGGACGTCATATTGTGTGAACTGTAAAATTTTGTTATAGAAAAGAAGTGATATCGTGCGTACGCATTTGGTTGTTTGTGGACTTGCTCCGAAATACACTCAATGGACTGATCATGGAGAGAATTTGTTGAGGATATAGGAGATGTCGAAGTGATTGGTGATGATGATATGCCTGGCAAATTGATTGATGCCTACGCTACATAGAGTGGTGAAGAACCTAATGACAAGGTCAAGGAATTTTTTACTCTCATACAGGATGTTGATCCAGAAATGTACTCAGGTCGCAAGAAAATTTCAAAGCTATCTTTCACCATTCGAATTTATCTTCATAAATGCAAAGAATAAATGGAGTAGTACCTCAATGGATGAACTCCTTTCATTACTCATTGAGAATTTTCCTAAGGCAAAGAATACCTGCATCCAATGACAGAATGAAGGTGATGATTAAAGGTTTAGATTTGAACTACAAGAAGATTCATGCTTTTTCCAAACGAATGTATTCCATATTATGGTGCCATTAATGAAAAATTAAAGAATTTTAAAAAATATGATGAATACTATTACAAATTTACATATAATGGTTAGGGGGATAACAGTGAAGATGGTGTTGGTTCCAAGAAACAAATTGCTGCCAAGATTTTTTGCTACTTTCCTTAGATTTCAAGACTACAAAGGTTCATGTCCTCCAAAATTACTAAATTTATGAGATGACGCAAGGAGAAGCGCGAGAAGGATTGCAAGCTTAGACATCCTGCAATTGGTCAAGCTCATGAAGATTTTGATAAGTTACATCCCGAGTTTGCATATGAATGTATAAACATAGGTTCAGAGTTGCTGCATATGGGTTCAATCCATTCAAAACTATGACTAGTTCTCATAGCACATGACCCGTGATAGTAGCCATTTATAACTTACCTCCATGGATGTGCATGAAGCCAGAGTACTTGATTTTGTCATCAATTATCCTAGAGCCAAAATCACCTGGAAATGCATACCGATGTCTATCTACGGCTTTTAGTTTATGAATTAAAGACCTTATGCAATGGAGTCATGACATACGACTCTCACGGTAAGCAAATGTTCAATATGCATGGTTGTTTGATGTGGACCATGAACAACTTTCCTAAATATGACATGTTGTCTGGTTGGAGCACAAAAGGATATTTTGCTTGTCCTAATTGTAATTATGGCACATTCTCTCATTATTCGAACTACAGTAAAACAAATTTATTCATGGGCGCACATAGATTACTTTGACGCATAACACGGTTGGAGGAAGGTGATGACTCGATATTTGCACATGATTTCCTCTTTGTTTCTTGATCATTTAAGCTTGCATTATCGCTTCTTTGGCCTATTTTACGCTATGTTGTGTTCCTTTGTCACATTTCAGGTCCTAGCACGTAAAGTGAAGCATAGAGGCAAGTTTCTAGTCAATCAGAAATCACTTGGCAACTCGGGGGAGAAACTCGGGCATGACCAGAGGAAGAATAGATTTCTACCTCATTTTATGGAAAAATTATCATGTAATCTTGTCATTAGAAGAAATAGGATGCGACTATGAGCATCTGGGATCAAACGACACCTGATTCGAAGTCCGAACGAGGGAGAAACGGAGAATGAAAGACAAGGGACCCAAAATGGTGAAATCCCTGGTCTGGAGGTCCAATTCCCCGATAGGGGATTAGGAAGTCAGGTAGGGGATTTTGATCAGAAGAAATCCCCGGGCATGAGGTCCAATTACCCGAGCGGGCATCTGAAATACTCGACCGGGTAACTTCCATAAGCGGGTATAAAAGCTTGTTTTGTGCGTTTTTTGAGGGGGAAGTTGGGTTTTGGATTCCAAACACCCAAGGGACAAACCCTAGAGAGAGAGAGAGCATATTGGGATCGTTCTTAGAGCTATTTTGGAGGATTTCGTCACGATTGGAGCTCGGGAATCAAGCTTGGAGATGGAGATTGAAGATCTAGATTAGATATATGCATTCTCTCTCTTCTGTGGAGTAACTTCCCTTCACTTAGGTTATGAGGAACCCTAGCTATGTTTGTTTGATTGGATGATTGTATGAGTACTCCTATTTAAAAATCTTGAGTTCATACTCAATTTATGCATGTTTTCATGATTCAATTCTGCTTTAGTTGAGATTATTGATTCTGCTTTGATCCTATGAAAGTGATTACCGGGTTAGGTCATTAGAGCACCATAGATTGATAATATTGGGTAGATTTCTTTAGTCAAGGGTCGATTCACTGCTTTGTATCGATTTAAAACCTCATTCGATAGAGGGAATCTAGTTCAGAATGCCTTGATCGGTTGTTCTAGAGAAGGATAGATCCCTCTAGGCAATCAACTCAAGGGGCTTTGATTTCTTTAGTCGAGATTCAAAGTCTAGTCAAGGATTCTCCACATTGTAATTAAAAGTGAAACATGTTAGAGATCATCAACCATTAATCTGGCTAGTGGCTAGGGGGAATCATACCTAAGTGAGTTCCCAACCTGTAATTAGATTAACTTTAACCATAGTTTGCTATAGTAGTTATAGTTCTTCTATCTTAATCTGGTTTGCTAGATAATGAACTTAAGATAACTAATAGTAACTCTAGAGACCTATGGATTATTTGTGCCACTATAATGCAGTCCCTTTCATTGGTTACACTTGGCCATTGTTAGGAATTGTGTAGTAGCGAGTCAGAAGGACAATAGCTCTTTTGATTGCGAAACATAGTTTGGGTTGAGACCGACATCATTATCTAGTTCGCATATCAAAAAAGAGTTCATCGGATTCATCAATGACGTTGGTAAGAAAGAAAAAAAGACAAGTGAGAAAAGAGGTAATTTCTCGAAGGTTTCTATTTTTTTGAATTGTCTTATTAGGAGCATAATACGCTAGAATTCTTCATAATTTGAATAATCCCAAAGGTTAGCTATTCATAAATACAGAGGAAAAGAAGAATAATGAAAGAGGAAATGACACCATGGCGATTCCCTTCTCAATTGTTATCTTCCTTATGTGTTTTGAGTCTCGAGAGCTTCTCTGGTCGTATTTTCATAGTCTAAACCTACTGAGTTCGTCAGAAGGACAAAGATGACTGCCGCTCCTCGAAACATTATTTTCAAAGGTGTTCTTCATAATTATAGTGCATTTAGTCCCCCGAGCCGCAATTTTTGTCCAACTTTTGGTTCAGTTTGCTTAGATTGTGATTTCCATTTATGGGGTCGTTGAAATGTGAGAAATGCACCGCTTCTAGAAATGGGTATGGGTCTTTCGTTTTTAGATTTGGAAGACAATTTAGGCCACTATTTTGGGGCATGAAGTTCAACTCCATTTATGACGTCCAACCTTCTGATCCCGATGTCTCCAGCCCGTACAAGGTGGTCCACTGAGGTGCTTTAGCCTAAAAATGCACGAAATACTACCCAAAGGATATCAAAGATACAAAAATATCCACAAAAGCTACTACCAACAAATCCAAATCAATATGACATAAAATCTGTATAAATCGTGCAAAACATGCCATGAAATTATGGTATAAAACATACAAATTGCGTATTTTCAAATAACCACACAACTGAACTTTGCTTGTCCCCAAGCAAACATAGTCAAATTCATACAAATCACTAAATCTCTCTGATGACACGTGACTGTCTGTCATAGGTAGTGGGTAAGTATCAATTTACGAGGTCAACTAGAGATAATAAAACATCTAACAACATCAATGAGGACATTTTCCTCGTATCAGTAAGTAGTAAGTCTAGAACAAGATGTTTGTTAAAGAAAAGACTCTTGAATACGAGAAACAAGATGAATTCACTCATTTGGATTTTTCTTCTTTCTTAATTGCTCCACCTTTCCTCGAACAATTTGAGATTTTTTTTTCTTATACGCTTTACATTGGCAAAGTTTGAGGGAATTATGTAATTTTACATTCTAGTGATTTGAGTAGAAGTAACTGTCACTTCTCTATTAAATTCATAAAAAAGGCAGTATAGAGAGAAGTGTCGAAAGTTTTATTTGTGCCCTTTTAACACAAGGAAAGATCTCAATGGAAAGTGTTCACACCACTTACATGCATGTGCATCTTCCGAATTGCACTTGATGATATTACTTGCCTTGATTGCGTAAACAATAGGTGTGTGGTTGGCTTCAAGAGTGAGCGGGAGACGTGGGAAGTTGTGTCGCTTATAAACACAAAATTCCATTGGTGTCTATTTTTTATCCAATTTTTTTTCCAGATTCTTTTATATTATCCAAACCTATTAAAATACTATTAGTTAGCGCATCAAAATTTTAGTCATTTTTACGTTATCGTTAATAATATTGTACCTCTTTTCTTATTTAAAATACTAAAATTTTGGAATGTTGACATTTATGTGTCTTTTCCAAGTCAGTATCATATTGTCAAGTCAATATTACTAACAAAATTGCTGATTGGAAGTTAACATTTGGCTAATTCTTACTATTCCGATAGGTTTGGCTAATAAAAAAGAATCCGAAAAAAGTTTGGCTAATAAATATTCAATTACCCAATTCCATTTTACACACTAGGTGAACTTGAGGAAAAGCTCATAATTTAGTGTGACATGAGCTAAAGAGCTAGACTTGACAATAAGCTTCTACAGAAGCTCAAGAGAGCTTGGGATAGCTAGGAACCATCAGAAGGCTTTTGACAGGTTGAGGTTAACTCACTCTACCTCAACATCAAATTCACTGAAAAAGGAGGGAAAGAAAACCAGGATCGAGCTTTTTACTTGCATCTGTCACTGCACTGTCAGGTTGAAATTTAATAACGATGAAGTAAGAAGGAATTCCACAAATCACTCATGAACTGCTTTTTATATTTAAATCTATATGGTTATGATCCACCATTTTCCAACTTATGGCGGGCTGGTTTTCCACTTGTATCCATTATAACAACCTCAAAAAATTACAGGATGTACACATAAATACACAGACACACCTCTAAAACCTGGTATTAGTCAGTCAAAACCCTTTCTTTTCAGACATTGTATATCATCCCTACTTCTAAAGTAGATGCATGAGGCACACTAAGGGCATGTGTTGGTCCCCTACTGTTCCTTCTCAAGAACTCATACCCATAGTTGATCACAAACTTCTTCAACATGCTGGATCCTTGCTTAGCCCTAACATACGAGTTTCCGAGTATGTACGCAACCCCTGCTTCCCTGGCTTCCATGAGGTCCTGCAACTCTTCCCTCGCGGCTTTATCAATCTGGGGACTATCAGGGACAATGAATCTTACTCGTTTCTTTAGTTGCATTGCTGGAGGTGACTTCATCTCCCGCACCTCTGAGGTCCCAGCCGCGGTTTCAATCTCGTCTTTGCCATCCTCCCTCAACAGGATCCCATCGACATGAGTTGAGCATGTTCCCACCACTGTCATCTTGTCATCTTCTTCCTTCGCCATGTCGGCATTGAATTCCGTGCTCCCAGCGCGTATGTATTCTGCTATGCTGCACACCAGATCCTTCTCGAACTCGGTGTCATCTTTGTGTACATCGCGGTACCCATATCTGACTATGCACCTGTACAGCCTGTACTCTCTTGGGCCGATGTGCCCTATTAGGAACCGTTCCTCTGGTCCCACATGTGGGACGGGGACTGATTTGATGCACAGGAAGATCAGGACCTGGTGGAATGCTGGAAGGTTGGTGACAAAGTGGGAGAAGATTGCTGGAATTCCAGTCACAAGCTCGGTGTGGATGAGGCCGATCCCTCTTACTCGAACAATGCCAAGGCTAGGACCTAAACTAAGCAGCCAGTTGATGGAGACCTTGTTTTGGACATCGAATTCGTACTTCTTTAGTGAGCCATAGTGCCACACGCACATGATGAGCAGGAATATGAATGCCAGTGCAATGGGGACCCAGGCTCCCTGCAGGAACTTGATGAGGGAAGCTGAGAAGTAAAGAGCTTCAATTGTGCCAAAGAAGAACACGAAACCTATTGCTAGAAACACACTCTTTTCCCAGCATAAGACGATGACCAGAGACATTAGGCAGGTTGTGACCAGCATAACTGTTATAACTGCCAAACCTGTTCCACGTAGTTGAAGCAAAAGCAGTGGAAATTATTACGACAATCACAATAATGTATCAAAAGCTTTAATAACTTTGTTTTTCTCTACCTGAAGCATTTCCCAGGCGTTTCGTGTCTCTGAACCCGATTGTAACAGCCAAACAAAGCAGCATTAGAGTCCAGTTGATCTCAGGGATGTAGATCTGACCATGGACTTTGGATGACGTGTGAACTATTTTGACTTTAGGGAAGCAACCCAGGGATGAACACTGTTTAATGATTGAGAAAGTCCCTGTGATGATTGCTTGGCTTCCCACTACTGCAGCAAGTATGGCTATGACAAGAACTGGCCACCTTATTTTATCTGAGATAAAAATGCAGTAGGAGACTTGCAGAGTTAGCTAAAAACTTGGCAATAGAGGTAGCTATTACAAGCTTTATAAAAATGACTCGCTCAAGGTACATACCAGGTACAGATACATAGAAACCAATTTGGTAATCACTTTCAATCACATGGTGCGTCGATAGATATGCAGCCTGTCCCATATATGCAAGTATCAACGATGGATACACCAATGTAGTGAAAGCAATCTGCAAAATAATGTGAATCGCCAATGCAATGAGGAAAACATCCAATTCTTGTTTCCTTAACAAGCTGAGAGACAGTGAGTGAAACAATATCACTGAAATCATAATTATTAAAAATGGTCAAAAAAGAAAGTTTTTATATACCTTGATAGACAACTGAGAAAAGTGTCCCAGATCAGCAAACATTGCTTCTGAGCCTAAATGGCCAAAAAGAAGTTAATTAGGACATTATCCACAATATATTCATAACATGTTAGAAAGATGAATAATAGTAGCTGAAAATGAACCTGTTATGCACAACAAAATCCCTCCTAGTGACATCCATCCACCCCTTTGAGTTTTCCTCAAGAAGTTGTACATGTAATATGGTGATAGTGCTTTGTAGACATGGGGATTCCAGTGCACAATATTGTATATCCCAATCCCACTGATGCAGAGAAGCCATATCAGAACCACCGGCGCAAACAGGAAACCAACCCGGTGGGTCCCGTAATGTTGTAGTGCAAACAAGGCTACAAGTATGGCGCATGAAACTGGGAGTTCCACATCTGCACAATTTCATACAATGCCGGTTTTAAGTTCCCATGATCAAGCAAGAAGGGCAAACACAAGTAGTTGGGACGAAAAGAATGCACTAATTGAGACTTTAGACTTGGGAAACAGGGAAAGCCCCAAGTTTGGTGATGAAGCTATAAGGCATTAGCTACAGTCAGAAGCAGGCAAGTCAGAGTCGGCCATTCTTGAATAGGAAAAAGGAACCGCCAAAAGAGATGTAACTTCAAAAATAGAGATTCCACACTCTCCGGGAGGGAATGGAAAAATAAAAGCTTGAAAGTTCCATGATGGGTTTGGCAGGGAATTCAAAGCAAGTCAAACATAAAACCAGTCCAAGATTCAAACTATTCCGGCAGATGAAAGGAACGGGAGCTCAAGTATGAAACAAGTCAAGCTTGATCAACTTATTTGTACAAATGTTGATATCCCATGCCAGAAAATGAAATGAATGGTCAGTAGAAGGAAAGGAGAAAGGGAGGATATTTACATTTGTGATGTTCCTTCGACAATGAAAGCTCAACCCCCGAGACTGCAGAGAAAACTGCAGAACAAAATGGAACCTCCACATCAACGAAGTTATCATCACCACTTAATCAGATCAAACACCCCCACACAATAATAATTGACCAAGGAGGAAAACGAAACCATCAATCAATTAACAAAAGAAAACCGAAAACCCAGAAAAGGGGTAAGATGGAAATATTACCAGAAAGGGCAGGGGTGAGAACGCCATCGCCAATGACCATACAAGTCCCAATCAAGGCCAAAACCAGCAAGATCCTCTGCAGCACCCTGTGCTTCTCCAGAGTCGATTTCAAGCTCGACCCAAAACTGGGGTTCTTCGAACAGGAAGTATCAGCAAGGTTGCTGTCCTTCTTGTACTCGGATAGATCCTCATCCGCCACCTGCCGATTGGGGAGCGCGTTGACTCGGGCGTGGCGGCACAGCAGCGAGTAGAGAGCAAATGTCCCTCCTTCGCCGTTGTCGTCTGCTCTGAGAACTATGAACACGTATTTCAAGAGCGGGACGAGGGTGAGTGTCCAGAAGACGAATGACAAAACCCCAAAGATCTCTTCGTTCGTCTCCGAGTGGCTAATGTCTTCCGCAAATGTGCTCTTGTAAACGTACAGCGGCGATGTGCTCAAATCTCCGTACACCACTCCTAGGCTCTGGTACGCCAGGGTCAACACCGTACGCCATGACTCCTTCTGCAGCCCAAAGAGGACCAGAACAAGAGTAAGAGAGGCGCTCAGTTTTCAAGAATCAACACCCAGAAAGATCAAAAGATCAGAAAGAAAGCTTGAAATTACTGCCAATTAACTTCCAAGGACTGAGTACTCAATCAATGCCAGTGGTTTAAAACAGAGCAGCAATAGCCATCTCACCTTGAGATGATTACGATGAGCTCCCGTCTCCAGATCCATTGGCGGTGGCGGGGAAGACGGTAACGCTCGTTCCCGCTCCAATTTCAATGGCGGCCCACCCATTTCCCCCAAAACGCAGAACCACAATCACAAAGCAGTTTCTCTAACCTGGCTGAAGAGGTGGACGCAACTTCAGAATCATATCCCCTCGCACCTCCGAAACGTGCACAGTTCCAGAAAGAGTGGCAAACTATCTAAAGCTTTCCGAATCAGCCCAATTGATTACTGAATTTGAACAAACAACCCCACTTCCCCAAATGTAAAAAAAAAAAAAAAAAGTGAAGGGGCGAACACGTCAAAAAGACTGGAACTTTTTGAAGAAAAAAAGGGCAGCCAAGCTTTCAGTATCAAGCTGGTTGATGCGGGGGGAGTTGAACCACCATGAGTGGGGAAAGAAAGAATGCAAGGGGGATGGGGGAGGAAGACAAAGACACGCGGATGAGCAAGGAAGGAAGGAAGAAGATTAGAAGAATGTCAGAGCACGAAATCAACAACACCAGAAAAAGCCCTCTCCAGATACGCAAAAGAGTATGTAATGTTTAGTTAAGTAACTTACATACTATAATATGGACGATCTCGCGTGCCTTTTCTTTGGGTTTCTTTTTTGTTGAGGGCTGCTATTGCTATGTGTGGAGTAGGTGGAGGGTGGGAGGAGACAAGGAGGATGAGTTTGGCCTAATTTTTTTTCCTTTTCCAGGGGAGTTAAGGAGTAGATCTTCTCGTCTCTTCTGTGCAAGAAGAAAGCAGAACAGAGAGAAGGAGGCGAGTTAAAAAGGGCGAAGACAAAGCAAATTGGGCAGGCAAAATCGGCGATTTTGGCATCTAATGCTAAGAATCTGGGTATTCTTCTCGGCTCGGCTGGCTAAAGTAAACTACACATATAGTCACTCGATTGATAAAAAAATTCACCATTGTCATCTTTTTTTTTTTCCCCTTCATATTTGTCATCCAAAATGTTCTTTTCTTCCTTGTTAGTCACTCGCTTTACTCATCATTCCAGTTTTAATTACTCGTCGTTCAATTACATTAGATCCGTCCTACAAGGCTGTCAATCATGAGATTTGACTGTTAAATAACTCATGTGGCAACAAAAACGATAAAATTAATTATTTAAAATTGTAGTTCATCTCTGCATCACTTATCTTTGTGGCGACAACTGTATGTATTGTGGGAGGCTCTCATTTCCGTCGATTCCTTCCACGGGTCGTTGTAGCTGAAAATGAATAGCAGTCAACAGTAGATGAAGAAGGAGATCGAGCTAATACCGTAAGAGCCACCATCGATGAGAACGAGATTGGAGGAAGAAAGGTTATGTGGTTGTGAAATCAGTAGACATTTCCAGATTCAAAGCCTCAAATTGCATATTCCTTCCTGGCATATGAACTATTGTTGCTACTGCCGAGCCTAATCCTGCTTTGAAATAACAATGCCAGTGAAAAATATTCAACGGTTGAAGCGGGTAAAGAGGAACACAGAAGGTCGATTCCGTCTCTTAGGAATTGCTTGTGAAGCAAGCTTGAAATCTGCTGCTTATTTCAATTTTCATTCTTAGCATCCCCATGATTTCGAGCATGGAAAGTAGACTGGAGCTCCTGTGGAAACTCTATTGATTTTCTTAGTTTGAGTTTCAACGACTGTATTATTGTATGTTTGATGCTTTGGTCTTGGTTGATTTGGTTCTGGACTTTCAGTTTTTAATTGTGCTGAAATTTTGGGGATGGTAGGATTTTGGGTTGACGGGGAGGGTGTTAATCATTTATTCCCGCTTAGGATGAGTATAATGAAATTAGACTGTTGAAGATATATAATGAAGCGAAGATAAAAATGAGTGACTAATAAGAAAAAAATTGGAGTGTAGTTATGATAAAATTGGTAAAATCTAGTTATCATATATTTAATTTAGCCCTGTCTTCCTCTTCCCACTATTCAGAGCTTGAAGGAGAAAAACTATATAGAAATAACTTTGTGAGTGGGGTGTTTAGCTTGACTCGGTTGATGATTCAATGAGTTTAGTAATATATAATAAAAAGTCATTATATTGTTCATACATTTATAAATTGTATAAAATCGTATTTTAACATACGAGGAATAACATATAAAATTACATAAAAATAACATGTCGTACTTGGATTCAACATATAGTGAAAATTCACACACTTATATAAGATCAATGTTCTAATGTTTAACTTATAATTCCAAAGATTGGGCTAGGCAAAAAGGAAAATCGAAAAATAAGCACATTTCACAAACTAAAGAAAAAACGACGTCATTTAATCTCCAATCTGATACCTTGCAGCGAGTCGACTCAACGGGTGTATATGGCTCATTTTTCTCACCTGGACAGGGTCAACCGGCGGGTAGACCTGTGGGTTCACAACCTTGTTATGAGAAGCGAGTTGATCTAGTCAATCACTTTCCATTCATGCTCTAGTGCTTGTGATATTCATTTTTTGGACATTCGTATTAGTCAAGGTTCAAGAAGGCGTTATGTGTAAGGCGGGCGCTGAGGCTTTGCCTAGTGCCTAGCTCGCTAAAATGTATACTAAGCGTGCCTAGACGTTGGAAGAAAAATAGCTATTCGCACTGCATGATAAATGAAATAATAACCTACAACACTTCCTCGCTTCAATTAAACTTATTAATAACTTACTCAACACTTAACACCAAGAACATAGCTCACGAAATCATAGAATCATAGCTCAATAGCTCACAAAGTTTTTGAGCTATTGAAAATATTGATATAGAAAATTGATTTTGAAGTTGACGTTAATTTCCTCCTTCAATATTGACTTCCTAGCTTCATCTAGTTATGTTTAGGAGAGAATTAGATGTCGACTTACTCCATTGACGTGTTCTAATATCTAGCTAGGCGCGAAACCCCTAGGCAATGCGTTTTGTCATTGCCTTGCACCTAAACGTGCCTAAGCGTAAGGTTAAACATGTCTTTTTGAAGGAAGAAATCCCAAAATACACATGTTATATGAAAAATTTCCAAAATACACATGTTTGTTCATCACTACGGTCGTCAACTGCAGTGAATGCATTCACCTCGGCAGACGAAAGCGGTGAATGCATCACCTCGGTTAACGATCGCGGTGAATGCCTAACCTAACACTGAAACTTCAAACGAACGTAACTTTGTGCTCGGTTATCCGATTGTAGCGAAATTTATTTTATTCCACATAACTTTTCAAGAATTTTCAATATGCAAAGAGCCTTCATCCCAAAAAAAATGTCGTTTGCTACCCCGAACGAACAATTTTTTTATTTCGACAAACTTTGTAAGACCATAACTTTGTGCTCTGCAATCCAAATGTCATGAATTTTTTTATATTTTGCATAAATTTTGAAGGACTACATCTTTTATCATAACCATAATTTTGGAATGTATGTGGATTTGTGAATAGTAAAGGCAAAGTTATTCCCAAAATCCCGTATACCCAAAAATATTTACTTTTTAAATAATTCTTTCCTAGTAAAAGTTGTAGTTCTCAAAAATTATGCGCAATAAAATATAACTTTATGATGTTCGGATTGAGCAGCAAAAAGTTATGGCCTTACGAAATTTGGAAAATCGAAAAATTGCTCATTCGGGGTAGCAAACGACATTAATTTGAAATGAAGGTTTTTCCAAATTGAAAAATCTTGAAAAGTTATGCGGAATTAAAAACAATTTCGCTACAATTGGATAATTGAGCGCAAAGTTACGTTCGTTTGAAGTTGCAGTGTTACGTTAGACATTCACCGCGGCCGTCAACCACGGTGATGCATTCACTGCTTTCGTCTGCTACGGTGAATGCATTCACTGCGATTGACGACCGCGGTGATGCACGAACATGTGTATTTTGTGAATTTTTCATAAAACATGTGTATTTTGAAAAAAAAAAATTTAAAAATATGTGTAATCTTAGCTTTTTCCCCATGGTATTAGTAGACGTGATAAATCAATTTTTTTTGGATGAATGATAAATCAATTTGTACAACATGATAAAGTTGTTTGTTTGTGAATGTATTACTCGGTCTGATTGGTATTACATTGTTCGATTATATATTACTTTAATAATTATATCATATTTGTATGTTACAAACTAAAATCATGATGATTTAAAAAAATTACGCTTGATTTGTCGGATTTTACGAATCTTGGTTTTTAATGGAACAGTTCTCTCTCGTAATCATCTTGTGAAACTTCTTTTTTCATCGGTTTCTATTACTTATTCTTTATCATGATTCTGTCTCAGTAAAGCTTAAACGACAGTTTTTTTCTCTTCTTTGAACAATGAACAAAAGTAGTTAATGCACAATCTTGTAATCAATACAATGTTAGATATTTTTATAGCTAAAAAACACTGCATAGCATTACAATGATGAGAGCGTTGTCCCTTTTGCAAATACTATTGGGGATATTGTTGGCATTGAATGTGCTCTAATTACTTAGGTAATATAACTATAGTTTGGTACATGCGTTACCTAAATAGTGTAAGTAGGTATTGTATCTAGTATATGATTTTTTTTCAAAAGCAAGTAAAATGCATACATTTGATTGTTGATAACTTGATATGATACTTGAACATTGAAAATAAATGATTTAGTGGTCGTTTTGTTTCTACCAATGTTAAATTAATAAATTTTTATTTTGCCACGTCATTAAAACCAATTGAGGTGTCCCCCCTGACCGGCTAAGAGAGAAGCGTCGGTACTGCGAGAAGGGTATACCCGGCCAAGAAGGAAGAATACCCAATCGGATAAAAGGAGCAGAAGGCCCCTTGGTCGATGAGTTAAAATACTCGATCGGTAATTTCAGGGGGTCCGACCGGGTATTTTCACCTAGTGACGGGATTTTGTGTTTTAAATTGTTTTTGTTATTTTTAATTGTCCATGCCTATATAAATGCTGATACTCTAGTTTTAAAGTTAGTTTTTGCATAATATTGAACTTTTATCTTGGTTTTGAGTTTAGACTTGAATTATTCTCTGTATCAATCAAGTTTTCCCCTTGATTGTGGTCGAGATTCTACCTATTATATTGATAGAGACTTCTCTCGATTTCGTGTTGAGATTTCACTTTCAATTCCATCTTATCCCAAACAAACAAACAAAAAAACCAAAAAATATCTTTCTTGATCGTTCTTGAAGCTGTGTAATTTGATAACTACGGGTAGAGGATCCGTGCTCGTATCAGGTGGTATCAGAGCTCTAGTTCAACATAGTGGCGAGATCGAAGGCCAGGGGACCAGTTTTGTCACGAACAAGGTCCAAAGACCCATCGCACACCGCAGATCAGAAGTGGATTCTTTGTGAGAAGAATAAGAAGAAACCATATTCGAAGAACCATCCATGGCGGAACAGCAGGTAAACATGATCGAGCTCCTTCAAACACTCACTACTCATCTAAATGTGGTGTTCCAGACCCAGTTCCACCAGATCAACAAGCGTTTGGATGCTCTTTCACCGCCAGCAGCAGGACTCCATCCGATTCCGGAGAGAGATCGACAGTAGGGCATTCCAACTAGAACCAACCAAGCCCTAGATGAAAGACTTAACCACCTGGAGTGAAGATTGATCATAATATAGCCAAATCAAGTGCATCAAGAACATGAATTTCGTGATTATGGAGAAAGGCCCCCCAAAGGTAGGGCGCGAAGGTACCGTTACTGAATTACGCGGAATCAAGCTGTCAATTCTGTCGTTTCAAGGATCTCTCAATGCATCTGCATACCTGGATTGAGAGAGGAAGATCATCATAATCTTCCAATGTGGTAACTACAGCGAGCAACAAAAGGTATCCCTAGCCACATATGAATTCATTGATTATGCAACCGTATGGTGGGAGTAGGTACAACTTAAGAGAAGAAGGAATCTGCAGCCAGATGTGACAACTTGGGTTGAATTGAGAAGACTCATGAGAGAGAGTTTCGTGCCAGGATACTATCAAAGAGAGCTCTTTGGTTCCTTGCAGGGACTTCGGCAGGGAGCACGACCTGTTGAGGAGTATTTACGGAAGGTTGAACTGCTCATGATGAGAGATGATGTGAGGGAGGACAAGGAAGCAACAATTGATCCATTCTTACATGGGCTCAACATAAAGATCAAGCAAGAAGTCGAGCTTTGTCAGTTTGTGGAGCTGAAGGACGTGGTTCACCTAGCCACTAAGGTGGAGAAGCAGATGAAGGTGAGCTCGGGAAGAAGGTACCCACCTTCGCCCAAACCAGTTGCAGAGGGCATTCTTAATGCCAATGTGAATCACTTTTGGCCTGAGGGTGACAGGCCATCAGCTAGAAATATGGCCCCAGCCATCCAAGCTAGAAATGAAGGGTCAACTGGAAGCATCCAATGGTTCAAGTTCTTGGGTCGAGGTCACAAGATGAACCAGTGCCCCAACAAGAAGGCTCTGGTCTTGTGAGATCGAGAGTACTTTTCTGAGGAGGAGTATGAAGAGAAACCCATGGGGAACAGATTCAGTTATGATGTTGAATCTAAAGATGATGATGTGGATGAGCACGTCAAGACTGAGAAATTAAACTTCTTGGAGTCAACCGCGGAGCTTTATCTACTGAAACTTACACGGAGACTGAGTAGAGGGATAATCTTTTTCACTTTTGTTGCTTGGTCGACGAGAAGATGTTGTATGTGGTCATCGATGGTGGTAGTTGCACCTATGTGATTAGTCTTGAAGAAGTCAAGAAGTTGGGGTTGAGCACCATCAAGCATCCTCGACCATACACCTGCATTGGCTGAACGACTATGGGAATATCAAAGTCAACAATAAGGCCAATGTTTGTTTTCAGATTGGTCATTATATAGATGATATTTTCGTGTGAGGTTGCTCCAATGCAGGCTGCTCATCTCCTATTGGGTCATCCATGGAAATACGATCGAGAGGTTATTCATGATGGAAGGCACGATAACTAATGGTTCAAGAAAGGCCATCGAAACTTTCTGCTAAATACATTCTCTAAAACACCCTAACCCGGCCGGGTACTACTTTTACTAAAATGCCCTTGATAAATAAAATACTCAAATATGAAATTACAGCGGGAAAGATTTTCACAAATGAAATACTGAAAACACATACTTGTAGTTCCGAGCAAAGCTCTAACACGTGGGCAAATTAAACTCAAACTTTAAATCTCAATCTGATCTCAAAATAACCTCCAGTCTGTACTCATAATCATAAGTGTAATTAACTAATAAACTCCGAAGTTGTTGCTACTGAAAACCTTGACTAGGCATCCTCCGTGATGCTTATACTGCTCTCCTCTAGCTGGCTGCCCACGAACTCGCTGCTCACTAAATGCTCCTCTAGCTCTTCCTCTAGCTCTTCAAACTGGTGAGTGAGATGGGGTTAGTCTACGCCCTTACGTTTTAATACTTCTGATACTTGAGTACTTTACTTAAATACTTAACTTTAACTAATGGAAGTTTTTTGTACTTCCAAATCTTAAAATCTTAACTCTTAAACTTTGAGGGAGTTGAAGTTACTCTCCTCTCTTAAATCTCAAATCTCGGCTTAAATACTTGACTGACACTGGGATCTCTCACTAGCTAGTCCGGTTGCCAACTCATACGTATGAGAAGCCATCTAGGCTTTCCTTAAACTTAAACTTAGTTAGGGAAGTTGTAACGATTCATCCCCCTAACATCTTAAACTTATTGTGGTGGCTCTTCACCACGATTCTCAAGGGCATAACTGCTGCCCATCTTAAAAGTCTCAAAAGCATAACTGCTGCTCTATCTCAAACTGTCTCAAAAGGCAACGGACTGGCGCTAGCGACTAAACACTTAAAACGACTTCACCTTCTTGAAGGTGAGTTACTTCTTAAAAAGAACTTGTTCTTAAACTTTAACAATAACTTATACTCATAAAATTTTCAAGGTAAATAATAATCATTCACTTCAAGTCATAAGTCAAACAAGGCACATATCATCAACCATAATCATAAGCAAGCACACAATTTCACATAAAAAAACTTCTTAAACGCGCAAGGCAGATACTTGAAAAATACGTAAGGCGTAGAATTTACCTCCTTTACACTCACCTCTTTCCGTTGAAGCTGAATGATCAATTTCCCTTCACTTGATTGTTGCATAAATGCTCGGCCACCACCAGATAGAACCCTACATCTCTCACAAACAAGCCCGGATCCACACTAAACGGTGCGGCATAGATCGCCACAACCCAACGACAATCTTGTGATATACCATCAAGCTTCTCCCATACTCCAACAACTAGTGGTCATCGCAGTTCTCCTACCTTCATTTGCTTCTTCTATCGTTATCCGACGAGGCCTCGGTAGACAAATCATCAAGCAAATCATCGGCATCATACATCACTTCAAAGAGCTTCTCGAGCCAGAGATTGACTTGGTGATTGTGGGGATGCTTCTCTTCTGCATCACGAAGCACAACCTGAATGGCGGAGACAGAGTCCTTGAGCTCACGTCTAAAATTCCACAGGAGACCAATATGCTCCTAGGCCAAGTCGGCAGCCTTGCCAAGGATTTGTTTTGCAACTGGGATCCGAATTGCTTTACTCCTTTGCTCTATTTATTCTTCTCTAGTGACCGCAAAGGACAAATCCCCATCCACGTGACCTCTCTCCCTTTGCTTGCGGCGATGGACTAAGGGATTGGAAGCGGCAGCTTTGTGGTAGTGCAGGAGTAAAGGTGAGACGGATTGAAGGAAGATGGCGGAATTGAATGGAACATTGGAGTTCGTCCCCAACTCCGAGCGCCTTCTATCTCTCCATGGCGGCGGAAATCGAATGGAGTCGAGGGGGTGGGGAAATAAAGTGGACGGGGAAATTGACAAGGCCCCTCCGCCCTTTTGCCCCATCAATATGTATACTTATAATAATGATTTTTTATTATTATTCATACTCTGTTCTGCGGTTGCAACACTTCGTAAGTAACCGTTTATCCAACCGTTCACGTATCAAGGTCGAACCAGAACCCAAAATTCGGGGTGTCACATTCTCACCAGGTGAAGTCCTGAAAGATCAACAACAACTGGCCATGAACTGGGCCAAGGAGAAAGGAAGTGCAAGTGGCTCAAAGTCGGAGGACGTAGGTGGAGGCGTGGAGCACATATGATGGCTCGAAGGAACATATTGACTGCACAAAGGAGAAGTCCATTGAAAAATGCTATTGATGTTGTCTCCTGTAGGAGCACCCAACCTTTGAGGGCAAAGCTTCTCCAATTGGGAGGGACTGATGCGTCCCTAGCTGACCAGCCAAGAGAGAAGCGTTGGGCCTGCGAGAAGGGAATACCCGTTCATGAAGGAGAATACACGATCGGGTAAAAAGAGCAGGAATCGGGTAAAAGGAGCAGAAGCCCCCCCCCCCCCCCCCCCCCCCCCCCCCCCCCCCCCCCCCCATTCGGTGAGTTAAAATACCTGACCAGGTAATTTCAGGGCTTGGACCGAATATTTTGACCTAGGTGACGGGATTTGGTGTTTTAAGTTGTTTTTGTTATTTTTAATTGTCCAGACCTATATAAAGGCTGAAACTCGACTTTTAGAGTTAGTTTTTGCAGAATAAACTTTTATCTTGGTATTGTGCTTTAGGCTTGAACTTTTCTCTATATCAATCAAGTTTTCCTATTGATTGTGGTCGAGCTTCTAGCTATTATATTGATAGAGTCTTCTCCCGATTTTGTTTTGAGATTGCACTTTCAATTCCACCCTATCACAAACAACCAAAAAACCCCAAAAAATATATTTCTTGATTGTTCTTGAAGCTGCGTAATTTGATAACTATGAGTACAAGATCTGTGCTCGTATCACCAATCCGTCTCATTTGTTATTTTGCCACGTCATAGTTAACTATTGGTTGACCGAATGGAAAGTTAACAGTTTGGCTAATAAATTGTTTTAAAAAAACTTTAGCTATTATTTTGTTTAATTTGAAAGGTTTGGCTAATAAAAGAATGCAGGAATTGCAACAATCTCACTACAATAATCTTAGAAGCCAAATGACCATTTAGGATCTAAATTTTTTGTCGATATTGTTGATATAATCTCAATGGAGATCTTGGACCAGAGTTGCACAGCCAACTCGATCATGACAATTGAAACTCGATCAGTTGATACTCAAACCAAGAACAACCCCAAATAACCTTGCTCTTTAAAACGGATAAGGATGGAATTGAAGTACAATCTCACACGTGGGAATATGCTTAATCAATTTGGGTAGATGCTCGTCATAATCAAGATGAATTACTTGATTGATAATAGACCAAACGGCCTTTGGAGTCCACCAAAGATCAACAAAAACTTGTAAGCTTTTGCTGAAAGGATTATAGGTTGAAACTCAATCAATAATGTTCAATCCTTTTTCACTAAAATGCAGCCTTTATATAGGCAAAAGAAAATTCAATCCTATGTTAACTAATCAAGGAAAACAACCACAATAATAATAAGGAAAAACAAACATGAACTATCTAGAGAATCTTCCCCAAACTCATACTTGTTGTCTAAGTAAGTAACATCATGCGCAAGTAAAATAAACAACCTCCATATGATCTTTGGGCTGCTCGTTTGAGGTCTTCCAAGCTTAGTCAACGTCAACCAACTCCTTCACGATTTTTAACAAGTCTTGGACTTTCACACCCAACTCCTAGCTTCACTAGTTTAGGACACAAATGTCACGAAACGTATATAGTTTGTGTCAGATTTGTCATATTGAATAGCTTAGGACACAAATGACACTTTTTATATAGTTTGAGTTTCCTAGTGAAATTAGCCCTTTAAAAAATTTCTTTGTTTGGTAAATTGTTAACATCTAATAAAAATATAAATTATAATTCTTTATCAAATGACATGTATACCCTTAACCAAAAAAACCAGAGTGATAACATTAAAATATACTACTAAGGTTATTTAATGGAATAATAAAAAAGATCCAAGTAGGGAGAAAAATCTCACATATTAATATATACAATCTCTCTTATTTTGAAAAATTTGATATTTATAACTCTTAGAGATTTGTAATCCCTAAAGATAAAATCCATGATACACAAAGTAGAAAAAGACACAACTCCTTGTCAAATCTATGGAATTAATGAATTTAGAACTAAAATAAATTTCTCCAAACAAGATCATAGGTCAAAACTTTACTCGGCCTGTAACTTTATGCTCTATTTTTTTTTTCCAAATAATTTTTCGAGTTATGCAATGCAAGTTGAGTTTGAACTACCTCCATCTTGAAATAAAGTCGTTTGCGGCCCAAAAAATGGACTTATTTATTTATATATTATGTTTGGAGGACGAATTGAAATGAATAATTGATTTATTTGGTTTCAATTCAAATAGTACTACTAATGAAAATTCTATCTAATACCAAAAAAAAAACTGTTTGGCGGACAATCTGGCCGAAGAGTTCGAACCTGTAATAATATTATTATTTCGAAGCAATGTGTTAAACCAACCCCCCAAGGAACAGCAGCCCCTTGCCTTACGGTGCAAGGCATGGTTTGGGCGTCTTAACAGAGGAGAGCACCAAAAAGGAAAAATAAAAGAACTGTATGTATGATAACAACTAGGGAGTTCACTGTTGACTGCTAGAATTCTGCATACACGTTGATACAGTACATAAGTCAAAACTCCTTCCAGATTAAAACCATAAATTCAAACATAAAGATGTCAAGAAAAACTCTAATTATTCCCATGACTCGTAAGCAGATGCCCATCCTAAGTTTCACCCAAGGATGAAAGTCCAAACTATTCTCTCTATTAAGTATCGATCAAAGCGATGGCAAGCTCACCGGCTTGGTATTTAAGAACTCATATTCATTTTGCCTTTGCGTCAATCACCTTCTTCGCAAACGCTGGCAGACAGAAAGCAGCAGTATGAATCTGGAAAGAGCAACATAAGCAATTAGTTAGATTGGAAAACCATTTTCCAACAACCATTAATGTGCATAGAATAAATAGAGAGGGAACTCAAACCTCAGGGTTGTAAAACTTCAATGGCCCTCTTGCTTTGTTATAGTCAGTGTTGGTGTCTATTGAACTCACTGGATTCTTGAAATCGACAGAGGGTCCCTCGGTAGAGCAAAGCATGAAGCCAATCACGCCACTGCGAGCGAATGAGAGACTAATAACATCAGGATGCTGCTTGAAATGCAACAAAACGACAGCAGAACAATAAAGGAAAAAGGGAACGGAGCTGACTATGATCCTTAAATTTATCGTAATATACCTTGGATAAGTAGGGACGGTGGTCCATGCATAGTTGACGGAGCCTTTGAAGATTTGGCGGCAGTTTGCCACAATATCTTCAATGATGTGCATATGAAGCCATATGCTTTCCGCCTGAGTACAAACAACTCCCCCTGGACGAAGAGCATTCGCTACAGACTGGAAGAATGGCTTCTCAAAAAGCTCTTGTGCAGGGCCTAAAGAGTGAAGAGATAACGTATTGAGATCAAATTCAAATTTCCAATGCCAGCATTGAGATACTCATTATGGGAGTCGGATACAGTACCTATAGGGTCAGAAGAATCTACTATGACTGCATCATAGGTCCCTTTAGGAACAGCCTTCAGAAATGCAACTCCTGCAAGACAAAAACAAAACAAAACATAACATAAATAGCTGGAATAAAAAGAGATCATGCAAGAAGATCATGAACTTGTGCGCTTACCATCACCAATATGGAGAGTAACACGGGGATCCTCATATCCAATTGCTACTTCAGGGAAGAACTGTTTAGAAACCTACAGAACAAGGTTATAGCAGCATATCACATACAACATGAATACAGTGTTTAAAGTTTAGGACAGTTCTACAATATCATATTTGGACCCTTTCAGAGGGGAAGCCATGATGCAATGAACTGTATCAGAAAATCCTTAAATGAATTTTGGCCAATGAGAACAATCATACTGCTAGGCGCTAGCCAGAACCAAGAGACCTACGGAGGATCTAGCACACACAACGATGAAGGGATAAGTCATACTTACATCGACAACCATCTTATCTATTTCACATATATCTATTTGCTCGACGGAAGAGTGCCGACCCACTTCTCTCAAGACTCCACCATCTCCTCCACCGATAACCAAAACCTGAAGGCAAAAGTTAAGAGCGAAATGAAAAGAGGCATTGTTTTATACAAAACAATTTCAGGACCAAAATTCCTTTAACAGAAAACGGAACATATATACCCAAAGAGGCAACTCGGTCATTTTAAGATGAAAATGAAATATACTGCAGAATGAGCTTTCTGGTTTCAAGTAGAAGGCCTTGTAACAAACTATTACTGGTGTTGATTACTAAAACAAGGTGGCCCTTCTCTTGTTATAGTAATTAACATATATAGTGCAGGTCATGGAACGCAAAACAGGAGTGGTTGCGTTTAGTTCACAAGCAAAGTTTAAACATTTCTAAAAGAACATTACTATTTACTAGGACTACAACATCAGAGAGGTGCATCATGCATTTCAAGTTAAAGATTTCTTCTTTTTCCTCTTTATATATGAGTGAGAATTTCAAGTTAAAATTTTCAAATTGTTTACCTTCTTAGGGTTGGGGATTGAGGACAGTGGAAGGTGAGTTATCATTTCTTGATATGCACATTCATCTCTCTCTGTGAGCTGAATCACTCCATCCAAAACCAGAACCTTCCCGTACGTTGCAGACTGCAAAAAGGGAAACCCACGCAGCATTTTCTTTAAAATCATCATAAACGCAGGGGGAAACACGAAGCACACGGTGAAAGGATACATAATATTACCTGAAACACCATAACATCCTGGTAGTCAGACTTCCCTTGGAACAAGATCTTCTCCACCTTCAAAGAATGTGCCTCTCCTGAAGATTCCCAAATCCAAGCGTGTCAGTTACCAACAGAAGCATGAAAATCCACAGCCAAGAAAGTCTTCAAATTGAAAGCCATTGGACAAGTGTAGCACCAAGCAAAGTAGGCATAAAACAGACTGAACAAGACAGGGCATATACATTTGCTGGGACTTGAAAACAGAATAAATTCCAGCAAACAGCTGATTGCCAGGTTCTCACTAAAGCCCCAAGCAGATGATACTGCTTCAGTGAACGTTGAACTTTTGCATGCAGAGAACCCAGAGCAGGCTTAGATAGACATAGACTCAAACTGAAGTTAGCTTCTAATGACAAATCAAATTCGAGGAAAGAGGAGGCAAGTTTATTCAATTGGATGAAATCTCCTGGGCGGCTATGTTCAGCACAAACAAAGAAACAAACTTTTCACTTTCTAGTTCCAATAACTGTACAAACTAATTATTGGGAAGGCAAGAAGAGGCAGCGCGTTCAGTTCAACGAGCCAGGAATAAAAACGAAACAAAAAAAAAAACATGAAACTCTGAATAAGGAGACGGTAGAAATCCAGACCCTAAAATCAATCGCAATAAAAAAAACCCAACACCCAGATTCAGCGGGAGACGAAGAATCCAATCTCCCATCTCAGGCTTTCACCCATATATTCATCCCCGCGGTACAAAGATGGAGGAACGAGAGAGGAAAACGAGAAGACGAAAGTACCTGGCCACATTGGGCTAATCTCGGAGAACCAACCGGGAATAACGGAGGAGATACCAGGGGTTCCATTATCAGTACTGTTCTCGGTTTCCATGGCTTCTCCGGTGACGGCGGTGGCAGAAGCTCCGTTTACCTCTTCCTCCCTCGGCCTTTTTAACGACAAATCAGTGGAACCTGTCACAGTCTCTTCGGCCATGGTAGATTTCCCTCTCTTTCCTTCTCTGCCCTTATGAGAGTTACGCAAACGACCGAGATTTCGAAGATGCGAATAACTCTCTCTGCTTCTTGGCTCTGGGCACTGAGGGTCGTCTGAGACCACACGATCCCGGTCTCCTGCTTTATACAAAGAAACAAATAAACAGCAAATAAAGTAGGTTAGGCGGAGAATATTAAAATAAAGATGTCTTGGGACTTTCCTGAAAGAGAATACTACGTTGAAACTTTATTTTTTTCTTTTTGTAAAGGGAGAAGAATATGTTCCCTAGTTAAAGAAGGAATATTGAAACTTGTTGTTTTCCTTTCGTGGCAAAACTGGCCCTCTTATCGTTGAATCGTTTGGGGATCAATCAACGTTTCTTTCTTATTTCTGTTTTGTGATTTGCCTGCAAAGGTTCTGTATATACACTCGTATCTTGCTGTTTCTCTTTCGGTATATCTTTGGCAAAAAAAAAAATATTGAAACTTGATATGTTTTTTTTATAGTATCCATTTTCTGCATGTAGTATTTTTGTATTATTTTAGAAAATTGAGGGTTGTTTTATTTTATTTGAACGAACCAAGACAATGAATTATTTCATATGTGCTATTTAGTAATATATATGGATGCCATAATGTGCTCCCAAAAAGTCTTATGTATGCTTACAAGAGGAATTTTACAATGCTATATAGTATTGGTGCTATAGGTTTTTGCCTTTATGGTACAACTTGAAATTGTACCTTTAACGTTACGGTACAATTTCAGATTGTACCTATACTTTTTGTACAAATTCTTTTATGGTACAACTTAAACTTGTACCTTATGTGATGGTACAGCTTTAAGTTGTAAAGTTGTACCATAACATAATAATACAAATTCCTTTATGGTACAACCTAAACTTATACATTTAATGTTATGGTACAACTTCAAGTTGTACATTAAAGCACCAATGCTATATAGCATAGTAGAAGTGCTCATGCTTCCAATGCTACTACCATTCTGAGGCTTCTAGTTTTGCATGAGTTGTTTTCATTCATCCGATTAACTAAAACGATGGAAAAGGCTAGCATACGCCTTCACACATATTATTTGTACTTTACTAATTTTGACAAATCAAAATCTTTCATTTTCATTTTAAGATTAAATGAATTTTATGGTTTGTGTTAGAGATTTGGGGACTGGGGTTTACCCATTAGAGGTTAGGATATTATAACATGCCCCAAAATCCTGTTAATTCATGGTCTAAATAACAAAACTCGACGACATATGGTAAGGAGGGCACCCGGTTAATTCATGGTATATATAATCGAGCTCACATTCCCAAACAATTGACTTGAACTAGTTATACATAGAAGAGAAGGAGGGTACTGCTATCGACAATGAAGACATCTCCCTGACTGCACCCACTCCTACGAATGCCAAGCTCCCACTTGAACAGAATGTATACAGACGATTTTAGTGAATTTTTTGCGGCGTACTAAACTAATAAACCTAGCTCCCTATCTATAGAGGTAAAACTCAGTGAAAACCTTCCTAACCCCACTAGAACACGATTTCTCTAACATAGGGTTGAAGTAAGGCCATTAAATGGGCTTGGGCTTTAGTGGCGGTGTTGTGTTGGTCGACACTGTTGCGTTGTTTTCTTTTGGGGATGAGCTTCTTTGCCCGCAAACAACTTCTCTTGAAGATTTTATCATGATTTGTTCAGGTATGCAGAGTGGCGGTTAGACACGCCACTGGGTCGCCATTCATTCCTTTAATGGTTTATGCTCAGCTTTCTCCAGTGGACTCCTTGTGGGCTCCAATAGGCCTCTTCGTTATTGGACCTCATCTTTAACAGACCGTTTGGTATCAAATGAATCGAGAATTCATTTCATTGTAAAATGAATTACCATGTAGAATTGTCAAATGAAATCTTATGTTTGGTATGTTATATTCAAATATTTAGAAATAAAATGAAGTGTTGTGTAGAATTCATTGTCAAATGAATTCTTGTGTTTGGTATGTCATACGTGTAAGTAATTTAGTTAAAAAAAGAGGATAAACATGTCATTCTATAATAATTAGTAAATTCTCGTGGAATTCATTTGGAAATTCCATCTCAATTCCTCGGAATTGCTATAACTAGTTCCAATTCCGCAGAATTCAAAATTTAGAATTGAAAATGAATTCTTTTTAAAACCAAACACGGAAATATTTTATTTCAAAATGAATTCCTCAAAACTTATGAAATTCATTTATACCAAACGATATGTTATGTGAAAAACACCATATTCTTATCTATTATCTCCTTTGGTCCTCTAGATTTTTCCAATGCTTGATCCAAAACGTCATAAATTGTATTTTACCTTGAAAGGCACAAAAACATAGCAAAAAGGCATTAAAGAATACAAAATCACAAGCTAGGTCTAATAAATGCTCATTGATCAAATAGTTATGATTTATAAAAGATAGGAAATCATACTAAAGATGTATAAATAAAAGGAGAAAATATAATAAATATGAGATTGATAAACACTATAAAGTGAGTGTTGTCGGAAATACCCCACACTTGAACGTTGCTTGTCCCAAGCAAACACTTCTCATGACCATACAATTCAATGAACAATAGAAAACATCACTCAAACACGATCTTATCCAGTGGATCAAAAGTGAACTTACAAGGTCAACAATAGCACGAGAGAATCCTAACCACATCAATATGCAAGAACATCATGCATTAGAGTCTCAAAACACATAGAGTGAAGCTTTTGATAAAATATTTTGGGTTCCGAATGCTTCTACCATCAACTTGACATAACCTTTAAGCATTTTTGCCTTATTAGAATACATACTCACACTTCGTTTTCGATTTTCTTGATTTGTTCTTGGATTATTCATATGTAGCGATCGAGCTCTCTATTTACTAAGCATTAGACCCTTATTAGTTGAGCAAGAGCTAGAAGCTCTTATACCTCAGTTCGTGTCGATGGTTAATGAATTAAGGGATGTCAAAAGCTTTATCTGTGCACTTTAAACATATCCTCAAGTTGGCAATCAATTCAACGCATTGAATTTTACTTGTACTAGAGAGGAACTAGCATCACCTTGTAGGACTTCACCAATAAGCTCAACTAGTATCTCTTCTGAAACCCTGTTTTGTGCAACGAAAGATGCCTCACACGTGGAGCTTGCCCCACACTTTATTTCATAAACATATAGCATGGCAATTTTCAAATGAAAATGTCTTGATAGGTAGATTTTGCATTTTATAGAAGATACAGTTCACTCTATGGAAGAAAAAAAAACTTTTAAAAAGTGAGACTTCTTTGCATAATCAGAATTCTATGACTAAATCAAACAACATAGCATTCAAACAAATCAGATGGACATTATATCCCATGCCTATCACATCCTTCATGTTCACTACAATATCCTCCCTAGATTAAATGAAATCTCTAAATTCATCCATTCAAAGTAAGATGAGAAATGGAAAGCTTGTACAGGATGGCAAGAGTTGGACAAAAAATTCAAAAAAAATTATCATGGTAAGCATATAATTAATTCAACTATTCAAGCCAATAGATGGATAATGGATCTATAGTAATTTCTAACATCTTACACATATATCATAACTATAAGCATTAGATAAATTTTGAATTAGATTGACTAGATATATAACAAGCATACAACATAGTGACATAAAACATAACACACAACTCCACCTCACACTTTAAAATGGGCATTGTCCTCAATGTACTAAATAATAGTGAGCTATGGAAAAGTTGGAACGAGTTACCTCATTTTTCCATACTTAATTCGAATCTTATCGCTAATAGCTAGTGTTCTCCTTGATTGCGTAGGAAGACTCGAAATGTTCAAACAAAATAAAACACACGATAATGGATCAAACCAAAGTTTAAGTATCCTCATTAATAATCCAAATAAAAAGAAAATAAAAAAGGAAAGATAACATATAAAAATAAAGTAGTGGTCCTCAAACAGAATGATGCTCCTAATGACTACTTCCTCTAGATCCATTGTCGGAAAAGAGGGTATCGAACTTCTGGCCAAAATCCCACATATCATGGCCCCACTGCTCCTCCTCCTCCTCTACTCTATGTCTCCATGCTTGAGTTTCCTCTAGCTCCACTCTTCTCTCTTGCTCAAAGGCATCCCAATGTTGCTCATGCATGGCTTGATATCTGAGGAAGTTCTCCTCCGGACTCTCCACGCCTGCAACCTCAGCTCTATAGTTATCATATTATGGTGGTGGTGGTGGTGGTGGACGAGCTTCATATCTCTGATGCTCATGTATCCTCTCTAAATGTACTGTTGGTGTCCCCGCATCAACCCATGTTGAGTAGCTAGGACAATCTTACCTAGCCAAATCCACTCCAACTCTAGTCATCCTCTCTATACAAAAAATGAATGATGGTTGTCTAATAATCTGCCATGTCCTGCTAGGGTGTCCCAAAGAGCAAAAATGTATTCCTCTCGATGATCATTAATATACTAGGTTATGGTGAGAACATAGCCCACCTCCTGGAAGCGCTCTCAATGAAGTAATGTTATACCTCATAAGCACTACAAGAAAATTAGGCTTCGGAGACAGAGGTTATTTGCGTCTAAATGTCACTTATTTGTTTCTATATGTCTTTCAATGCAAATATGCTATTTGAATCATCTGCCTCTGCCTCGGATTCCTTTTGGGAGCAATTGTAGATGCAAATAGTATATGCCTTTAATAATCGAATTGGACACAAATATTTTTTACTCTAATGATATGTTTCAAAGCAAATATCTTTGTTTCAATTTAGACTTTAGGGAACACATTATATATTGTTGTGTAGAGATATACTAAGTTTTGGAGACATATGTATTTTGCCACTGTACATAGGACACAAGTCACTAATATTAAAAAAAAAAAGAATATAATTGCTATGGAATTAAACATTAATTTTATTAAATTAAGAATACACTAAAAATACATTATCAATCTACCTAGCAGCAAATACAATACATTAGGAATCTACCCTAGCAGTTAATAATAAAAATATATCCTAACAGTTTTATGCCTATCATCATCAATGCCTTCCGTTTCTCACTGTGCCATCGCCGCTATCATGTCCTTCTCTTCTTCTTCAAACTCGACTCCGCCGGCAATGGTATTACCCGAGGCGGACCCGGGAAAGGATCGATTGCTGTTTTTGGTGTGATGTAGCCTGCAATGAGGAAATATGAAGCAGAGGAAGATGAATGCAGAGAAGCAGAGTTTGCAACAGATCTGCATATGGGAGTCCAGGGGGCGAAGGAGCTTCAATTTGCAGAACCTAACACCACCAAACCAAACACCAAGAAAGTCATCAGATAATATCAAACAAAAATGGCAAACAAAGAGACAACATAAGTGTCTTAGGTGTAAGCTATCCCCCATTTGCTATGGCTTCTTTGCCATCGAATGCCAGCGGCAGATGCTCCGCCTCCACAGCCCAAGCACCAACAGGCAACAGCTCCTCTTCGACGCCAGCAGTGGCAACTTCGCCTCGGCAGCAATAGTGACGCTCTGGTCCGACTATGAAGAAGGTTTGGTGGAGAATCAAAAACACATATGAGATTTGATATAATTGAACAAAAAGATGTGAGAGAATGAAGAGGAGGAGGGGACAGTGGAAAGTGTAAGCGAAAGGGTGGTGATAAGGGCAAAGTGGAAACAGAAACACGAAAGTAAGACGCATTTTACTTTTTTTTTCTCTAAAACAAATTGTGGGAGAGAGAGCTAAAATTTCAATTGAGGTGAAATTCTTACGGTCAAAGTTTTGCTGTAAATATGGAGACGGGCAAAAAATAGGGTAGCCAAAATGGAGACGTATACAATGACGTATCGAGACAAATCATATTTATTTCTAAATGCTTTAATTTTTTGTGAAACAAAGACAGATAGAATAACAATATGAGACAAATAATATTTCTTTCTAAAAGTCTTTGAAAATGTAATGATACAAAGACATATACAATAACATATCGAGACAAATAATATTTTTGCCTCAACAAATTAACTATGAAAAATGATACAATAATTGCATCTGATTATTTGTCTCCGTAGTTCAGATTTCTTGTAGTGAAGGTAGTCAATAATCAACCATCCCGGATGTATACATCAGTCATTAAGAAAAGCATGATATAAAATCACGTCACCAATGGTCGCCTTCCCCACAATCACCCATAAATCTCATATAAAAGCTACTTTGGCTGAAGTAATGTACAAACCTCAAAAAATCGTGCCGCCATGCCGAATGTCAGTAGGCGAAGAATGTCCAGTAGAAAACTCTACCTTTGGGTCCCTAGTGATAGCTCTCCATAAATCCTAGAAGAGTGTTGACTATGCAACTGCATCCCATGTAGCTCCGAGATACGCATCGGAGAGGGTAGTTCTAATATGGTATGGGGGAATCTTTAGCTTTGTCACGAAGCCATCATATGTGTTAGTGAATCGCCTTCATGCCAATTTCTAGTTAGTTTGGGACTTATTTCCCTATTCTTAGTAAGTTAGTTTTATGTTTTTGTAACCTCTATAGATAGAGGATGCAAGACTTACTAAATTTAACACATCTATTAGATACATCAAGTTCGATCAATAATATTTCATCTGATTTTATTAGGATAAGTACTAGTCTTCCTTATTTAATCACGGCTACCCTCACAATGGAGTGCCCCTCAACATGAGTTATGATCACCGCAAAACATATCACCACCTGCTGTCAAAACTGAGGTATGTTTACTGCACAACGTATCACCATATAGTAGCATACCTATACGTAAGCAATGGAGACCGCGTAACTCATCACCGTCCGGCTCCACGCCTAACCGATAACACCCAAGTAGGGTGTTTGATTCTTTAACACGAACTTGCAGCTCAAGCTCTACAAATTAGGCCAAAGTAACTAAATTGCCACCGATGAACAAAAGGAAAAGGATGGAACTCTTTGTGCAATCCCACACCTGGAGGAAGGCTCAATGAGTATACGTCGATGCTCGCCCACGACCAATGGGATTTTGGCCGATACAAGAGCTCAATCGAGCTTGGTTTTCTCAGCAAAGCTCTCAACCAAAAACTAGCTTCGAACACGTAGTTTTTAGGGTTTTCAATCTTAATCAAACTCAACTGTCGATTACAATACCTTCATAGGTCTTAAATAGAACTTACAAACAACCTTAAACGCAAAGGAAACCCAAAATAAACAAGGAAAACGAAAACAGTCCAAATCCTAAAGCAATACGGAAACTTAAAACGCTAGTAAAAGCACAGTTTTGATGTCATTTTCAAAGCCCTTGTTTGGAGCCTTTCAGTCATGGATTACGAAACCGTACCGGACATCAAACCGGAATCGTTTTTGGCATGGTAAATCGTGGTACAACCATGGTTCAACTGTTTCCTACCGGCAAATACCGTTTTTGGAATAAAAAAATTATTTTTTTGTTAAAAAACCGTACCGACAAAATTAGGGTACCATACCGGGAAAATACCGGAATAAAACCGGATTATACCGCCCAATGTTTGCACCTGATCACGCATCAACCACACTACCACCACCAATTTCCTCAATTTCCTCAATTTCAGACTCAATTTCGTGCAGCCCTGGCCCAATCCTTCCACCAACTCATCAAACTTGTACTACTGTTCTTGAGCCCAACCTCCCAAAGTTCCTGATCCTTGCCCACAAAATCACCTTGCCATAATACCTTACTCACCGCTAATACTTCCCCCTCCACCCCAATCGAGTTCACCCACCTCCAATACCCCAGATTTGCCACCGCCAGAAGCTAACACCGAAAACCTTCCTCCCGCCTCTCCTTTCCCATCCGACTTCCCTTCGTTCTTTGAGCCTTTGAACACCCAACCCAGTTGTCAACCCTCTTTTGACATGAAAATTTTCGACCCAAACCAATCACCCGTTGATTTATTCACCTTGATCTCAAAAAGCCATCAGATCAGCAAAGCTTCAGAGTCAGGGGACTTGAATTGGGTACGCACAGGTGGAGTCTGAAATTGAGGAAATTGCTAGCGGAGAAAGACGAACGAGATGGAGCAAAAAAAAAACACTACCTCTAATCCTCTTTCTCGGTTTCTCCTCCGGCTCGGCGCTGCTGTGAACGATGATGCCTTCGATCGCTGGGGAGGACGAGTCACCGGTGGTGTTTGGTTGCTGGGGAGGACGCTGTCACCGGTGGTGTTGATCTCTGGTAGAGTTTGAGAGGCAGAGCGGCGCGACGCGGGGAGACGAGAGACAGAGCGGCGCTGGGCGAGGGAGACGAGAGGCAGAGAGGCCGAAGGTAGGTTTTTTGGCTTTTTGCGTCTCTGCTTCCCTTCCCTTCCTCCCTTCCGTTTTTTTTTTTTTGCATCAAAACGGCGTCGTTTGCATTAAATGAAGGGACCGCCAAGTTTAATTAAACCGGCCGAAATTTCGGCCCATTGCGGTCCAACCGCAAATACCGTCCGGTAGGTTTTTGAAGGGTACACAGCCCTATTGTACCGGTTTACCTCCGGTTTCCGGTTTTCCGGTCCGACCGGCCGGTCCGGTACGGTATCCTGGTCCTTGCTTTCAGTTGTTGAATCGATCACCCTACCCCTTGCTCCTGTACTAGAAAGTACAAGCTTTCATGTGGTATGAGCCTTGAAACGTGATTCCCAGCAAGTTGTTGTGAATTGGACTCCAAAGTGACATGCCTGCAACCGCTCCATGCCTTAGGCAATTCCTGGCAGTTTGCCTGTGTTGCCATGGGGTTTTTGACGAGCTTGAAAATAACACCTCCCAGCCTTCCCTCGAGGTCCCAGACATCCCCATTTGTTTAGCAACTTGCAAGATTCATAACAAACCCTTCCAATCCAATTTCCATCAAGACAGGGGCGGAGCCAGGAATTGAACTTCGGGGGGCCGAGATTTGTTTAGTTTACTATCGAGAAACGATGAATTATATGAACAAGTGATTAAGTTATAACAACAAAAAATAAATTTCTACGGTAATATATTCGAAAAAAGCAATTAAATTATATTAACAAAAACTAAATAATTCATTCCAACATATAACATATATTTCAATATCTTTACAATTGAAAAATAATTATATGTATATATCTCAAAGAGACTGTGTGAAAAACTAAAATATAAATAACTATCTTTACAATTGAAATTAATAATATGTATATATCTCAACGAGACTGTGTGCAAAAATAAAATATAAATAACTAGCTCCCTACAAGATTTGAACCTTGTGATACATGGAAGCATTAGTTATTCTTACAACTACCGCTGGACCAACAAAGAATTTAGGATACATTTCCGCACACGATGGTATTACTAATGACGTTTCATTTATACGTAATTCTACAAATTCCGTCCAATTTATACGCAAGTTTGAAATTCTCGGGAGGGCCGGGCCCCCTCCGAGACCTCACCTAGCTCCTCCCCTGCTACCCGAAACAACTTCAACACTTACCCAAAAACCCTAGGGTCGTTTGGATGGATCTATGTGATGGAGCAATTTGTCTCAATTGCTTCAAAATGAGACAATTGAGTCTAAATATCCCGTTTGGCCACAAAAAAGATGAATGAGTCAATTATACATGGGAGAATGTACATTGCTTATTTTGGGTCATTTCACATTACCTGGTGGGGAGGTAGGTTTTCTCAATGGGCTCATATTTGTGTGGGCCTATGCCAAAGCTACCCTTTTCTTTTTAAATTTTCTTTTTTCTTCTGTTCCTCCTCCCTCTCCCTCACTCTGCTGAAAACTCCAAAACCATGGTCTCCGATTTTGGCCGATCTCCTCCAATTTCCTCTACTCGATTTTTGCACCCTTGTCGCCGCCTAGTTCGCCGCCAACTGCCAGTCTTTTATCTGAAGGCAAGGTCGAGATCCAGAGCGACCTTGACTCCATCATCGCCAGGCTCAACCTCCACATCAACAATGGCGAGTTCTCGTCTGCAGCAGGATGCCGAGATCTTTCTCCCAGCGCGTCGCTGCTCGAGCCAAGTACACTAATTAGTTGACGACTCTAGATCGGGTGCCACGAGTCAACGAACTGGGAAATTGACTCGCACCTCCATCTTCTACTTAAAGATGACAAAATGTCACGATATCAATGGCTTAGGGATCGTTCTGATCCTCGTTCGATTGCTCAATTTCAACTCATGGGAGATGAGACCCAAAATTATGTTTTACAATTCGTCCATTTTTAATTGAGTTTCTGATTTTATTGTTGAATCAATCTTGTTGCTTTACTGTTTTTCATATGAATCTATGATTGCTTGCTTTCTTCAGAAAATGCCCTCTTCTGATTGTCTCGTCTCTTTCTTGTGTTTTGATTTCAATTTATGGGGGTTATGCTCACGAGGAAAAGAGAAAGGGTGGATCAATTTCTGGGGGTTAATGATTCTAGATTGGCGTCTATGTCTGCTGTATAGAACGAATGATTCGTGGGTCTGTAATTTTTTGGTCATTATGGGTACAAAGAGTATGAAAGGAAGGTGAAGAAGAAGGGTAATACCTGAGGGCAAAAGTGTATATTCTCTAAATGTCTCATTCTAATTGCCTCATCTCATATGACAAACCAAACAAGATAATCTAGAACAAATTTCTCATAGAATTGCCTCATTTTCTAAAATGAGACATTTAACCCAAATTGTCTCATTTTAGAAATGTTCCATCCAAAACGATTCCCAGTTCTTCGCCATTTCAGAGTGGCAGCCTTAAAAAAAAAAAAAAAAAAGGGTCAAAGGGACTCGGTACCTTATTGGGCTTTCGAAATTGCGAAGGAAGTCCAGAAACCCTATCAGTCCAGCCAAATATATAATCTCTATGTATTCATTCCATCCTATCGCCATAAAACCCTCACATCCAGCAGCTTCGCTATTCCGCTCTGGTCACTCTCCAATATCTGCACAGCCATGGCGCAAACCCTAGCTCGTTCCTTCACCTCCTCTCGTCATCTCACCATCTCCTCGCTCATCCCTAAACGACTCTTCTCCTCTTCCACCTCGTCGATCACTCGTCCTCCTTCTCCTGCCACGCTACTCTTCTCCCGTCGTCCTCTGCTCCCGATCTCCCATGTCGTCCGCTCCGTCATCCCCGTATCTGCCCCTCGTTACACCGCGATTCGCTGCCGGGTCAATCGCTCAGGAAACTCCTACTCTCCGCTGAACTCCGGCTCCAACTTCAACGAGCGTCCTCCCACAGAGATGGCCCCGCTTTTCCCTGGCTGCGACTACGAGCACTGGCTCATTGTTATGGACAAGCCGGGCGGCGAAGGAGCCACCAAGCAGCAGATGATCGATTGCTACGTTCAGACGTTGGCCCGTGTCCTCGGCAGGTGAGATTGTTGTCTCTTTTGCTCTTTAGCATCGACGGATGGTTTGTGTGTTGGTTTGGTTTATTTAGTTTCATTTCTGATTCGAATCAGCGAGGAGGAAGCGAAGAAGAAGATATACAACGTTTCTTGTGAGAGATACTTTGGCTTTGGATGTGAGATTGACGAGGAGACGTCTAACAAGCTGGAAGGTTTGTTTTCTGGTTTTGTTGAATAGGGATTGAACTGAAGGTTGCTTAGTTGCATTGCAATGTATTCAATTGTGTCCTTGTATTTTCGTTTCAACAGGATTGCCCGGTGTTCTCTTTGTGTTGCCTGATTCTTATGTCGATCCTGAGTACAAGGACTATGGCGGTAAGCCCTCTTAAGAATTTTTATTTTCTGTACTGTTGTGTGTTGTTTTCACCCCAGCTTCGTGTGAAGTATGGATCTTCTGTGTTGATTTGAAATACTTAGTATTGAAATGTGATTTCATAGCATTTGCTCCCATGTCAGTTGGCCTACGGGTAGTGTCCTGTTACTGCTAAACGTTTATCATGGTTTCATTTGTGATCTACCGTGTTTAATTTAATCCATCTTGGCCAAGCTGAGAGGACTGAATTTTGGGCAATGTAAGCACACCACCATTTTGATAGGTTAAGTAGATTTAGTCCATCTTGGCAAAGCTAATAGCTGCTCAAGTAGCAATGTTTAGCTTTTGAATGCTAATGGACTGATATAATATATTCCATTCCTTCCTGTTCTGTTCCTCTTGAACGTCGATGGGGTATTCAGAATCATAGGGCTGGTACAATTAAATTTTAATTCTGAAACTATTTGTCAAATGTATAAGCAAAGCCTTAAAAATACTCACCCTTTTGATATGCAAAGTAGTTTTAGTCCATCTTGGCAAAGCTAATAGCTGCTGAAGCTAGCATTGTTTAGCTTTGAATGCTAATGGACTGATATCATGTTCCACTTCTTCCTGTTTTGTTCCTCTCGAATTTCAATGGGGGATTCAGAATCATAGGGGATGGTACAATTAATTTGTGGTTTTCGAACTAGTTGTCAAATGTATGGATTAAAAAGTTAAGGACACCCCTTTTGATAGGCGAAGTTGCTTTAGTCCATCTTGGCAAAGCTAATAGCTGCTCAAGCTAGCTATGCTTAGTTTTGAATGCTAATGGACTGATATCAGACTCCAGTCCTTCCTGTTCTGTTCCTCTTGAATTTCAATGGGGGATTCAGAATCATAGGGGATGGTACAATTAATTTGTGTTTGTGGACCTAGTTGTCAAATGCATGGATCAAAAAGTTAAAGAGACTCACCCTTTTGATAGGCGTAGTAGCTTCAGTCCATCTTGGCAAAGCTAATAGCTGCTCAAGCTAGCTATGTTTAGTTTTGAATGCTAATGGACTGATATCAGACTCCACTCCTTCCTGTTCTGTTCCTCATGAACTTCGACGGGGGGTTCAGAATCATAGGGGATGGTACAATTAATTCTTAAATCTGGTATTAGCTGTCAAATATATAGCCCAAGTATTGTTGAGTTCATATTGAATGTTGAGGTGAAGGTAAATAGGAAAGGATGGAATGTGTAGCGTGTTGGTTGTTGATGCTTTTGGTTTGTGTTTGCGCTTGGTGCAGCTGAGCTGTTTGTGAATGGGGAGATAGTTGCTAGATCCCCAGAGAGGGAGAGGAGAGTACAGCCCCAGCCGCAAAGAGCCAACGATCGGCCACGATACAATGACAGAACTAGATACGTACGCCGCAGGGAACAACAACGGTGATCGGAAACAAGAAGTTGGTTGGATGTTTTCAGCTCTTGAACTGAACTGGTGTTGGTTGAACTTAACTATCCCTCTGGCTCAATGTGATAAAATTAGTTTTTATTTTATTTATTTTTATTTGTGGGAGGCGACTCTTGAGTCTTAGTTATCCCTCTACTTCCATGTGATAAAAGTAGTGTGACCTCGACTCTTGGGACTTGAATGTGAACTATTATGTGAACTATGTGGTATATACTGTTTATCTTTAAGCTAGCGGTGGTAAAATGTGACCGGATTGTTAACCCAAAAATTGAAAATCGATAATCTCACACTTTTCTCGGTATCAAGCCAAAGTATCATGGGTAAATGCGACTGTGCGAGAGCACTGTGATGGATAGCCCCACCCCAATTATTACCGTTCAAATTAGCCCCGAGGTAGAAGCAAACTAGGGAGGTCAAATGAGGTAGAAGCAGTCAGCCGCGTGACAAAAACAAAGGACAAGAGGGCAGGAAGGATGGCTCGAGTAGCTCCCAGATGGGCAAAGTGCAACTGCAGCTCAAGTGGCGGTGACTCGGCAGCCTGCAACAAATGCGGGTCAGGGCAACCAACGGCCAAAAGCCGACGAGGGAAGGAGCAGCTCAACTTTAGCGCAACTATCCCAACTCTGCAGGTTGGCGGGCCAAGGAGGTTGCTCCAAAGGGTCGAGTTGGTCAGGGGCCCTCATCCAAAGCCTAATCTAGTGGCAAACCAGGTGGTAGTGGCCCGAAACAAGAAAAAAGAGAGCGCGGGGAGTGCTGAACTGGGGTGAAGCCAAGTGGAGCAAGTGCCATCGAGAATCTGTCGGAAGCTGCTGGAGGGATGACGTTTAGATCGAAAGAACCATGAGCATCATAGCATATGATTGTAAGCAAAAGAATGCGGTGTTCAAGATATCGGCCACTGAAGACTTGGAGGACGACGACAAGAAGAGGACGACAGAGTTGCTGGAAGGTTTGGACCCTAGACCCGACTCCAACAAAAAAGGCTTGTGTGGAGGTTCAAGTTGCAAAATTTATGGAAACGGTGCAGGAAGTCAGTCGGGAGTGACCGCAATCAACCAAATGAAACTGCTCACGTGGATGTATTACAATATTTTTTGGCTAATACCACTGGGAAATCCTAGAAAGTGTCACTTGTATTCTGAACTATTCAATATGACATTAATGTCCCGAACTATTTTTTCGTTAGTGCTGTCGAGTTTGTTCGTCAATATTTAACAGAAAATTCAGTCAGTGTCGACGTGACATCTTATATGGAATTTTAAATATGAATTTTTATATACTTTCATCTAAAATGATTAAAATAAAAAAATAAAAAGTTACAAAAATCTCCGAATCCTCTTAATCGCTCAATCGATTCCGCTCCTAAGTCAAAATCAAGTTGACAACCATCTGGTCAACCGTAAAATCGTTAGGACATAAATGACACACAACTATCATACATTGAGATATAAATGGAATATTGAATATTTCGGGACACAAATAACACTTTCTTGATAGTCCGGGTTTTCCAGTGGTATTAGCCTATATTTTTTAAGTGTTATTCGTCTTCATAAGCTTGATTTTATTTTCTTTCGGAAACTCATTCCCGTAGGAAAGTTGTTTTCAGTGAGACGATGCAGGGCTTAGGTTTTAATCTTTTTTTTCTCTTGTTCATGTTGTTGAGTCTGTAGGCGGTTTCGCAGTGGATTGACTCCCAAGAACCTCGCTTTTGGTTTTGTGTAATTCGTCATTTTATGTTTTGGTGGGAATTTAGAATAATGATCATGTCCAATATGTTGTTTTATTCGTGTATATTAGTCGTGTGGCTGCCACTAGAGCGTCGCAGAAGGGGGATCGAAATACATCCTACTTCCATGAAGTCACACGGGCGCGTACAAAGCATACTTGGTTGAGGGGTTGCAGAATGAGGCAGGTGAGTGGGTGAAAGATGAGAATGGGAGACCAATTTCATTTTACAGTTGTTTACTTCGGAAATGCAGCACGAGGATTTGGAGGACCGGGTCACAACACTCCCATTACATAGAAGGGTCACATATAGAATGAATGCAGTGCTCACGTTGGAGGTCTTTCTCGAAGAAGTTGACCGTATTATTGGTCGAACCCCATGCGGATCATGTCAATTGTTTGAATAGCCTGACTAACTACCCCATTTCAAGCCAAGTATAACTCAAAATGGCGTTGCTAGTATAGTGGCAACCAAGGTCGTAACTAAGGGTTTCGATGCCCTTGGTTACTTTTCATGTCTTTGTTATCTAGCTAAATGGTTTAGTTTGGTTTTCGGAGGTCAATTGAAAATACTAGTGGAGAAAGCAAGGATAAAAAGAGGTACTTCAGGGTAACTCCCTCGCTCTAAACATAGGTACATCATGCAAATGGTTAACTATGTTGGGTTTTCAAGATAAGGTGTATACCTCGCTCAACTGAGGGTTTCAATGATTACTTCCCTCCTCCTAGTACGCTCCCAGAGACCCATTGTCACCTTAGTCAACGCTCACGTACTAGGGATGATAGCTTAGTCCCTCTCAATAGGTTCAACCTATCATGCATACTAAAGCGATGGATCGATGATGCTTGCATCATCTCTAGCATTGTTCAAAAGGGCATTCCTCTGGCAGGGGGGCATCATCTCTAGCATTGTTCAAAAGGGCATTCCTCTGGCAGGGGTTCGGTGTTCATCTACCCCTAATTAGCCATAAGGCGCTAAAATCTAGTCTAACTCTTAAACTCCTAACTTGTTCAAAAGATTTAGTGGTAGTCTAGAATAGAAGAGTTGCAGAGACAAGCTCTGACATAATAAAGCATAAATGAAGCATATAATCACCAAAACAAACAAATCCATACACAAACCCTAACACAATTACATATACAATCCAAACTTCCAGGGTTTGGAGATTTTAAACCCTAGTATCTTAGATGACTACTCTATAAAGGAGGGAAGAAGATACATGTAGAGAAATAGAAAAAGAATTGAATTGGGGAGAGCTCCCTTCCTCCTTGACTCCTCCTTCACCTTTTCTCCTTCCTTAAGCTTCTATCTCTACTTTCTCTCTCACAAAGCAGAAAATTCTCAATTGATTTCAGCTCCCAAATGAAGGGGAAGGAACCCCCCTATTTATAGATTTCAGGATATTGGGCAAGTTCATGGTTGAATTGGGAAACATGGAGAGTGTGATATGGGAAGGAAAGTTCGCAATCTCGAGCTTTGCCATATTGCACTTTTATGGTTAGGAAGTTTGCGATCCGAATTCACGGGCGCGATTGATGAATCGGGCCGCTATCATCCTCTCAGGCTCGAATGAAGAGGGTCATGAGTCGACTATTATGACTCTCTTTTCCTTCCTTGTTGGCTCCTCCAAAAGATCGCGCCTGGGCCTCCAACTTTGCGATCGTGATCTTGACACTGAAGGTTGCGATCTTGGTGCTCAGCTTCACGCCCTTTGTTCCCGGCCGTGATCAATTATGCCTTGCCATGATCTTCTGTTTTTGCATATTGCTCTACACTTGTCCCCTCTTTTGATACCTAAAACATTCATATAATCTCATACACCTTAAAATGCTAATATTTACTCCAAGGAATGAATAAAGGGTATATTTGATGATATATAGGTCGTGAAGACCATTAAATGACTCAAAACGAACCTAAATGCTAAATAACACCATTTTGGGTGTTATCAACTACCTCAAACTTAGGTGTTTGCTTTTCCCCAAGAAAACCTGCTCAAACAAGTACAACTTAATAAACAATCAACATGGTATTCACTATAGTTCTTCGTTGCACTAGTTAGAATAGTCAGGGTCGAGTGAATGTTACTCCCATCTCACTATAGAAACACAAACTTCGGATGAGGACATTGTCGACTAAGTAGGTCAAGACATTCAAGGTGTACACAAATGGACTCTTTGAAGGTTCTCTTTATTCTCTCTTTTCAAGGTAGTAGTCAATTTTTGATTCTCCCTTTTAAACATTGTCGTAGTTGGCACCAAATATTTGCAATTTTGAAAATAGGCATCTCTCCCTCATGACTAAGAGCGAAATGAACATTTTCTTGCCTATGAATGCCCCATGCGGGGAACATGATTGTCTGATTAATTGGCCGAGCACCACTGCATACCCTGCACTCCACGTCTCAATGACAAACGGGTTGCCACACATGTCGGGTACAAACGAGAGCCAAGGTCTCATGACTTGCTTAAAGGCACACTATCTCCTCTCTAGACGAGTTCGTGAGGAGAAGTGGTGTTTCGAGGATAGAAGTTAGTAAGAGATGATCGGCACCCGGTAAAGCTATCTGAACTCTTAATACATCCTCAAATGGCACTCTGGACAGAAAGAAGAGCCCTTCGATGGCTCATTTAAAAACATTATGCCTGGTTTCCTCCCACGCGAGAACCTCATTTTCAAAAGATTTTTTTCCCCAAAGTTGAGCACATTTTGCAAAAAAAAAATTTAGTCCAAAATAGGTAGAAAGTCCCGCACACATGTCTTTATATAAGTAGCAAACATTATCAACTCACCAAAGAGGAAGATAGGAGTAAATCCTCATACACTGAAAACTCTTGTAAATGCTAACTACTCCGTATAAAACACACCATATAGACTATCTAGCCATTCAAAGCACATTGAGGAGGTATATACTAGGGACAAGATGTTTGGAACCCTCAAAGTTGAAAAAATTTGGGTATATCATCAAGGTTCCAAACACAAATTCTAAGCCATTCAACACCACAAAACACAACTAATCGATAGCAAACACTCTAATACACAATCATCAACGTCTTACATTCAAAATCATAGTGAGGCTAATACCAACTATGGTAAAATAATCATGAACACTCAAACATACATAGAAATTTCCCCACACTTAAAAGACACATTGTCCTCAATGTGGGAGGATAAAGATAGGTTCACAAATCGTTACCATAGGATGTTTTACTGGGTTGATGTAGGTGTACAACTGTATGTCTTGGTCTTCTTAGTTTTTATAGAATGATAAAGTCCATTAGCAAAAGAGAAAAATGAAGGTTATGGGGCACAAAATAACATAGATAAAAAAGATATAAATGTTTAATACTACTACTAGGTAAATAAAAGTAGGTTATCTCTAGCTCGGTTGATCGTTGAGGTTGTCGGGTGGTAAGTCGGTTGATGTGTCACCTCTTCCTCTTTCATGTCTTCTTCTTGTCCTTCCTCGCCACCCACATTCATTGTTTCTCTCGTTGCACGCTGGTTGGTTGGCATCGGAAGATGGAACACCGTACCTTCCAATCCAATGTATTCAATGTAGTTTTTTTTTATAATGGTGATGATATTATTAAACTAAGAGAGAGGTACAAGGAAGGAAACAAAACACAACATAAAGAAAGAAAGATGGGTCAAACAAACTTGAACCCAACGACGCAGCAAAGCAACGACAAACCAGAGGCTGCTGAAGGGGCCAGACCCTCCCTGCAGCACGCCAGCAACGCTAGACCTGGGATGAGACAACAAACCGTGCTGGTCCAAAGCAAGGCAAAGAACAAAGCAACAAACCCGGGGCCGCAAGAGAGGCTCGGGTCAACGACGAACAACAGTCAAAACAACACAATCCAGAACAAAGACGCCCCTGCACAGACAGATCAAACTGCTGATGAAGAACGCCCGGCAAGAGGCAAACTCGGAGAGCTCAACGAGCACCTCGCAAAGGAGGGAGCTGGACGTTGTCAAGCCAATGTTGTCCTTTTTCCCTGCTGATTTTACTCATGGCAATGGGCCATTCCATCATCAACTTGACGGCCTTGAGAGTGATTGCAGTTGAGGTGAGTTGCTTGTTTTGGAAGATCCTGCGATTTCTCTCCAACCAAACCTGCCAGAAGATTGCGTGGAGCGCGCAGTAGTTGATCCAGCCATCCATGCTCCCGGGATATCGGAGCTCCACCTGCTGATTGAAGATGAAGTGTTGATGGACGGCAGGTCGATGGTCGAGCAGATCAATTGACTGCTTCTCCAAACCTCTTTGCTGAAAGCATAATGTATTCAATGTAGTTAAAAGCGAGTTTCTATGTAGAAACGTTTTGGTGAACTAGAAGCGTAAAATCGTAAGTTATTAAGTTTTAAAGCGGAGTTTTAACTACATAAGTTATAAAATCTGAGATTTTGTGTAGAAGCGTGTTAGTGAACTAGAAACGTAAAATCGTAAGTTTATAAGTTTTAAAGCGCGATTTTGACTACATTCTTTGTGAGTGGGAAGGGAAAGCCTTGGAGTCCCCATATACCTTCCTTTCTTAGGAGAAAGACCTAGATCCTTGACTTTAGGGTTTTGAAATAAATAGGAGTGATCCTAGTGTCCATTCAAAATTCAATCGCCCCAAACCCAATCCCGAATTAACGGGCGAGTCGAGTGATATATGTTCCACTGTGTAATGCAACAAGTCGATGATCTTTTTCACATCTCTTCAGTGTGGATAGAACCACTAAATCGAGGTGTAAGACTTGAGGAGTATGAATGCTATGAAGGAATGTAATGTCTCGGGCAGTCAGATTACCCTTGTTCTTATACTTTCCACCCACGAACCTAGTAACCACGTGGTGGATCAACCTCCATTCCGTCTTCATCTCACTAGCCTTTGATAATTTGACATTCCATAGCCGGTTGCCGGGATCCTAGACTTCGGATTCGTAAAATGCCTTGAAGTAAGGAAAATCACTTTCTCTAGTCAAGGTAGCGGAGTCGTCCAATGAGTCCACAAAGTCCTCCAGACATATATCTAAAGCTGATGTGAACTCCCGGATCGACATCTGGCGATGTTCTCCTCCGAGTCTGAACTCAATGTTGTTCTCTAGATCTGTAGCACCTCTGAGATCTTAAATAGTAAGGGTGTTAAGAAACTCCAATACAAGCACTCTATAAATCATCTCTTACACGCTCAACAACTTCGACCACTCTGGTTTGTTGATTCTTGCCCGTATGGCTTCCCCAATCTCGAGTTGGTCGAAGGGTGTCCAGTTGTGACAAGTGCTCTCGCCTAAGGGAAGGTCTTGGAGACATATGAGTTTGGTGGTGAAGCGCTTCAGAATAGCATCTAGAAAGGCATGAGTAAAATGTTCTAAAGCAACTCTAGTTCATTCATGTTCCACTAGTTGATTTCCAAGAGGTTCCTCCAAAGGTGGTGGTTGATGTGGAAGAGGTTTTTCAATTTCAAATTCTTTTTTGTCGGGATTTACTCCTTTTCTTCTTTGAACAATGGCGGGTGATAAGAGAGTTTGAGTTCCCCATGCATTGGGAGTTCTCTTCTCGGACCATGCCCTTATGCTTGCTTGATACCCTACAAAAGAAGTGTAGGACAAAAGGTACTTGAACACCATCTATCCACTCACAACTACAATTGAACTTCTAATGTTATCCTATACATAAATGACACACATTCTTTACAAAAAAAAGCATAAATATTCATGCAAGGTTCAGCAATAAATATACAAGTTCAATTGTAAAGTATAAGATCAAAGAAAATGAAAGTTATGTGCTTAGGGAATTTCTTCGAACACTTGGTGGGCTGACTTGAAAAACACTAAAAGTCATGAAAAATTAGCCCAACAAGGTCTCCCAACACACATAGGATGTTAATAAAGCATACAAATCAATCCTATTGTCAAAAGAAATTATGTCATAGCATATGAAAGTACCAAAGCTCACATTGCACTCAAACACATTTTGAACTAGCTAAGGTACCAAAGTGATAGAAAAATGGAAAATAGTACCTTAACTTGTTTTAGGACATGTTATAATTCAAGAGATTAAACAATACTTCAATAATGATACTTAAAAAAATGAAGTGAAATAAACTACGGTATCTGAAGGTGATGTGAAGGTGGTTATTGATAAGGTGGGGGAAGTAACACGAGATCATAGCGGAGGTGCCATCTATTAAGATCTTCATCGACTACTTTTGGAGTTCCCAGAGATGACAATACGGTTTGTTGGCAGACAAAATAATAAGTTAGCCCATAAAGTGGCTAAAAAAGTCCTAGCATTGTTTCCTATAATTGTTAATGGTTTTGATTTAGTAGGGGTGGGCAACGGGAAACAGGTATTTGGATATACGTCCTTATATATCGTATTAACAATCGAAAGATAATCGAAAGAAAAAATCTATATTTGACACGACTTCTTCCTATACCTATGAATTCCATTGGACCCAGAAATGATACATTGGAAGAATCCTTTGGGTGTTCCAATATCAATAGGTTGATTGTTTCGCTCCTGTATCTTCCAAAAGGAAAAAAGATCTCTGAGAGATATTTCTTGGATCACATGCCCGTCCCTTTTTTTTGGGTTACTGGTACTCAAATACATGTAATATTTATTACTGGATGAGACTTGAGATTGAAATTTTCAGCATTGGGTACCCGGGATTTACCTGCTAGTACCCGTAATACCCGATACATAGCCATTAGCAATGATTTTCCATTCAACACAGGGCACAGTGTTTGAAACAACCCCAACATAGGGGTTCCCATCTAAAGATACAACCCTTATCCTAGGAAATGACATTCTTACTATACGGAACTCCAGTGCTACAGGACTCTTATATCCTTCAAATAAGTGAAGCTTGAACAAAAATGCACCTTCATGTTCAAGACTATTGATCGCTGAAAATCCTTTTACAGAGGGTCCCGTCTACAACTTGTTTGGTAACAACAACATCTCTTTTTGCTGCATTTGGCGGCATTTTTTCTTGCTCCAGGTGGCGGTTGATTAGTTTTTTCACGGTGCAGGGTTTTTAAGTTTATCTAATTTTGTTACTCTTCAGCGGGTATATACGGCTAGTTTGGGTACCCGTTACCCGTACTGTATAGATAATGGGTAACCGTTTACCCGTACGGGTAATGAGTAACCATTTGCCCGTATGTGTTTGGAACATGAGATACACTATTCTCGAGAATGGGTACCCGTTTTAAATGAGATGAATACTCATTTCCGTCCTGTCTATACGTTTTTTTTTTATGGTAAAGACCTGTATTATTTTATTAATGCAAAATATTACAACTGATTTACAATAAAAATAGGGGGCCTATCTGTGCAAAAAGGAAAATAATAATAATAAATAAACGTTTTTATAGAACATACGAACCAATCATTTCGGTCCGAAGTTCCCTTTACAGAAGTAAGCGTGGTATTCTTATATAAGCCCAACTTTGTTGATTCTACGGTGAAAAGTGGCCCAAACTAATATAAGCCCAGACTACTTTTTATTTTATTTTTATCTGATGTCCCGACGGTACAGGCGGACGGCCCAGACCACTTTTCATTCTAATTTCTAACCGACATTGCGTTTTTATTTATTTATATATATATATATATGTTTACAGTACAAGTGTTTCGCTATTCCTGAAAAGGATATATTCCTTTGGGGCTTCGACTTCTTTACTTTCTTTCTCCCTCGTTAAGAGATTAGGGTTCTTGATTTCTCCTGAATCAATCTGCCAATTACTTGGCAGAGGACTCTCTGCTGTGATTTTACCCGCTCGCCATCGTCAGCTGTGGCGTTTCATTCACTGCAGAACCTCGGTGATTCTTATCCGGCTTCTCAGCGCCATCTCGTTTTAATTATAAGCGTTGAATTCAGTTTCTCTTCTCCGATTGATTGGTTCGCCGGATAAAACCTAGAAGTCTGGGGCAGAAGCTTCTTCGTGTGATTCTGTGGTGAAAAAATGGTTAGTTGAATCGTTTTTTGCTTCTCTTTTTTGATTAGTGGTTTCGTCGGTTTAACTTACGGCAGGGCTATGGGTATTGTCAAGCAACCGAAACTAACCCATCTTTTTGGTTTCTGTCTTTTCTTTTCCTGGCTCCGAAGGCAACACTAGCAGATTCTTTCCTTGCAGACCTTGAAGAATTATCTGACAATGAGCTTGAAACTATCGTGAGTGAACTTCTCTCTATTTCCTTTGTTCATAGAAGGAGTTTCAATTTGCATTGTCTTTCGGTATTGCGACTCTCCTTGAAATGGATTCTATAGCCTGGTAGGAGATGAATGATAATTGATAAAGGTTATGTTTACTATTTACAAAGCATGTATGCAGCTACCTGTTAGCCCTAGATAGTCCAATTTCTAGCTTTGTTGGCTTCGTAAGAGAATTTCCATCTTTGGGGTTATCTTTATTTTGTTCTTATGCAAAGCTCATTGACTTATATAGATGTGTTCGTGGCTTTTGTATTTTTTTTAAAGAACAACCTCTTCTGATATCTAACTTCACAGAATGTTGTTGTCTTTAATTAGGAAGAAGAAGATGGCGATGTGGCCAACATGGAAGAAGATGTTGACGGGGATTTGGCAGACATCGAAGCTCTCAATTATGACGATCTGGATTCCGTGTCGAAACTCCAGAAGACACAGAGATACAATGATATCATGCAGAAAGTAGAAGAATCAATGGTGAAAGGTTCTTTCACCACAGACGAGGGGATGGTCTTGGAAGATGATCCTGAATACCAGCTGATTGTGGATTGTAATGCGTTGTCCGTGGACATTGAGAATGAGATTGTTATTATCCACAATTTTATTCGTGAGAAGTATCGGTTGAAGTTCCCTGAGCTGGAGTCGCTTGTGCACCATCCGATTGACTATGCTCGTGTGGTGAAGCGAATTGCTAATGAGATGGATTTGACACTCGTTGATTTAGAAGGCCTTCTGCCCTCGGCTATCATTATGGTTGTTTCAGTGACTGCATCAACCACAAGTGGTAAACCTCTTCCCGAGGATGTGCTCCAAAAGACTATTGATGCATGTGATCGAGCTCTCACTCTGGATTCTTCAAAGAAAAAGGTTCTTGATTTTGTGGAGAGTAGAATGGGGTACATTGCACCAAATCTTTCAGCTATTGTTGGGAGTGCTGTGGCAGCAAAGCTAATGGGCACCGCTGGTGGTCTCTCTTCGCTGGCCAAGATGCCTGCTTGTAATGTTCAACTTCTTGGAGCCAAAAAGAAAAACCTTGCAGGCTTTTCTACTGCAACATCTCAATTTCGTGTGGGCTATATTGAGCAAACTGAGATATTTCAGAGCACACCACCATCACTGAGGATGCGTGCTTGCCGATTGTTGGCTTCTAAATCTACTCTTGCAGCCCGTGTAGATTCCACCAGAGGAGACCCTTCTGGAAGTGTTGGAAGAAAACTGCGTGAAGAAGTTAGCAAAAAAATTGAGAAGTGGCAAGAGCCGCCTCCTGCCAAGCAGCCTAAGCCACTTCCAGTTCCTGATTCCGAGCCTAAGAAAAAGAGAGGAGGGCGTCGTCTTAGGAAGATGAAGGAGAGGTAATTATACTGCTTGTATTTTATCCTCAATTGTTTTGTCCGTACAGTGGGTCTGTTCCTGATTTTAACATCATCAGTATCTTATTGCAGATATGCAGTGACAGACATGCGGAAGCTTGCTAACAGGATGCAGTTTGGGATTCCTGAAGAGAGTTCTCTAGGTAAATAATCTCTTATCCTTGACGCCTCGACGTATTTTATAATATTTGTTGATACGACATCCTAGAAGCTGGATCACATTTCTTTGGATGGAAGCTAGGTCTTTAGTGCCTTTTCTATTTGTCTTTAAAGTCAGGGAAGTAAATTCCTGGCTTTTGTTACGGTGCATTAATACCACTCGTTATATTGGGAAGTACGTTCCTGACTTTTGGTATGGTGCTTGGCCATAGGCGATGGGCTAGGTGAAGGATATGGAATGCTTGGTCAGGCTGGAAGTGGAAAGCTTCGAGTAGCAGCTGGGCAGAGCAAGCTCGCCGCAAAAGTTGCTAAGAAGTAAGCCTCTATAGTTGTCTCCTTGAGTTTACTGCTAATGGGATATCACTCACTGGAAGCTCCTCCTCTCACTAGTCTAACTTTGTACCATAACCTTGGTTTCAGATTCAAGGAGAGGCAGTTTGGTAGCGGTGGTGCTACTTCCGGGCTGACATCGAGCCTGGCATTCACTCCAGTGCAGGTTTGTTTTTACATTCGCGATTAATCTCCGTATCTGGGATGATAGTACCTTGTCAACGAAGGTGCGTTTTTTATGGTGATGCTAACAATTGCCGATTGCATTTTGACAGGGGATCGAGCTGAGCAATCCACAAGCTCATGCACATCAACTGGGCAGTGGAATCCAAAGTACCTACTTCTCCGAAACCGGCACGTTTTCGAGGATCAAGAGGACATGACATGCACCGAGGCGCTGGATATCAACGTTCACAATGTGTAAGATGGATAGGAGGCTGGGCCTGAGCCTGAGAAACTTGACATCTATCTTTTTGGAGGAATACAATGACTACCTTTCTTCCTAAGGATTGAGATATAATGAAGTTGAAACTTGAAATGGTTTTATTTCACGAGCCGCAACAGGCAAGACGGAACTATGTGCTGGCCCAGCATGACGAATTTTACGGGGCGTACGGGGTCTGGGATCTGTTGTTTCTTTTTTGATCGTTTTTATTATGAAAACAAAAAGTGAAAAAAGGTTTCTTGATATGCAAATTAAGTGTACGTGCTAACTCGTTGCTCAATTGGCTTTTGGACTGTCCGTATGTCGCCATGAGTAGGAGTGTAGGGTAGGGAATTATCAAACGGGTAAATTGCAAGTTTGATCGCTAGAATTACTATACAAGTTTACCACAGTGATCTAGGCAGACCACATCCCATAAGCTAATAAACTCCTCATCCTTGATGCTCCACGATCACATTAGAGTGGTTACAATACTCAGATTATGATTCAATTATGCTTTATTGAGTTGTTTTCCCCCAATCTCAATATTTTTTCTTGTTTTTTTCCTAATGATTGATCATTGATTGATTTAGCCTAAGTATGACAAGAACATTCACTTATATATTATAGATAAGCAATGTAAGAAAACTAATTTCCTAAGATATTTTTCATGGTTAATTGCATGGTTGGTCACTGAGATTATAAAAAACGTTCAAGTTTGGTCACTTGAAATATTTAAATCCATTGGTGGTACTTCAGTTTATTGAAACCTTTCACGTTTGGTCATTCTCCGTCCAACTCCGTTAACTTTTGCGTACGTGGCGGTCAACTCAAAAAGTTGACCGTTAAATGTGTGACATGGTAATTTAAAAATAATAATTTTAATAAAATTAAAAAAATTAAAATTGTAATCTCATTTCCACCTCATTATCACTTTTATTTAAAAAAACCCTAATTTCTTCTAATTCCCAATACCATGGTTCATAGGTAAGAAACCAACTTTAACTAACAAGACGCGTTTTGGGGTGAAATGGAGGAGTTCTTGTGAGAACTGTGAAGTTAAAGGTGCTCAGCGTGGAGCACTAAAAGGATGGGTGACCTCATTTTGGAAATCTTGGCCCAAAACCGACAATATCTTTTGTTTAGTGTGACCAGGTGAACAAATTTAAGACATTCAAAATATGGAAAATAAATTTGTTGTATATATATGTCATTTTAATATGTTTAGACTATCGTATGTCTGGAGCACGCTAAATTTATCGTACGCTCATTCTCATTGAGTATTTCTATTTAGATAATGAATTAACTGGTTTTTGGAAATTATACTATAACCTAGCCTCGGGTAAAATATCTCGTGTGTCACTTAAGTTTGAGAATTGGGGTAGACATACAACTTAAGTTTGAATAGGGCGTCGGGTACCACTGAACTCTATTATATGTGCACCAAGTACTACTTAAGTTTACAGCTAAGTGCATTCCGTTAAAGTTGACAGAATATTCTTGGAATATTCCGATTTCTAAATTTTATAATTGATCCTTCTACTTTTCTTATTGTAAGAATATCATTTGGACTTATAAAAAACGTTATTTTTTATTGTTTAGCTAGAATCCTCTTTTGAATACTTGATACCAAACCAATTTTTGAAAATTTAGAATAAATTATCATTATTTTGAATTATCATTATGTGTTCTAATAATTGAATTATTCATGAATGTTGTAACTAACCAATGTTGTAGCTTTTATAGTCATATTTTCTTTTCTACATTTTTTACCGAATGTTGTAGCTTTTATATTTTATTTATTACTTGATTACTTTCCATCTCTTTTTGTTCTAAATATTTTCAATTAGTGGAATATGTTTAACTCTTTCTGATTGTGTTCCATTTATCATTCTTTGATTTTGATGTATTGATGATCCATTAGGTTCTATTTTAACTATTTCTAATGGTGCTTCTAAATGGATTAGGGGATTTAAATAGATATTCTAATATTTCTTTTAAATGTTTATTATAATATTCTAGTATATTTATTATTATTCTTGATATTTGTTTAATATTTTTACTAATTTATCTATTTTATTGAAAAAATTTGATTAGTCATTCTAGTAATAATATGTTTAGAAGTTTTCTAATTATTATATTAGATAAAATTTGTTAAAATATAGTTTTCAATGTTTTTAAAACTTTTGGGTATAAAAAAGTAATTAAAAGTTTGGGTTGGATGGAAAAGTAGACGGATTCACATTTTGGCGACATTAATGGTACTCGACGCCCTATTCAAATTTAAGTGGTATGTCTGCCCCAATTCTCAAACTTAAGTGACATCCAAAGTATTTTACCTCCTAACCTCTAATGAATGAACCCTAGTCCATATTTCTCTAACCCAAACTATAACAAAGCATTAATTATGATTCGTTAATATCTAATAAATGTAAACACATATGCTAGAGGTGCGCTAGCATTTCCCATCATTTATACATATATTATTGGCTCTTCTATAATACTTGTTGAATGTTTATTGGCGGACACACACACGGTGATGCATATGCGTGAGAACTACTATGATTCGTATTACCATTTAATAAAATTTTATCCCTTTCCACGGCGATTGGCGAGGACCGAGGAGAGGAATCAGATTTGATATGCGAATCATATCACCCAGCTCCCCAATCATAATTAATATTTTGGTCTTGACCCAAAATCCAAATCTTTATAACTTCATCCAATCCATGTTCTGTGGTGCCCTCACTTCATCCATGTCATTAAATGAAGAATCAAACAGAAGTTGTGATTTGTAAAAATTTATTAGAAATGCTTTTTAATATGAGAGGTTGCGTAAAATGACTATAAAGGACTTATAATATAAACTATGAATAATAATTCTATACAATAAAATGTAGTCAAAATGGATCTTGTTAGACTTCTTTTATATTAAATAATATGATTTTTTACTTTAGTTTATTTTTAAAATGATATAAATGAAATAAAATAAAAATATGGTAAGGATAATATTATATTTTCAAAACAGCTTTTCGCAGAAGCTCCAAATCGGAACTTTTGTTTTTATGTTATACAAAAGAGCTTTTTGGCTTTTCAAAACCGAACTTTTAGAGGTGTTTGGTCCAGCTTTAGATTTTGAAACCGAAAAACACTTCTAAAAGCCGGGTCAAACATAGGCAGTGTGGGTTGGTGATGTAACTTATGTCTATGTTTTTTTTTTTACATAAAAAACTTATGTCTATGCTTGTGTGTGGGATGTGGAGGGGTGGTGAGCTTCTTGGTATTTCCTTTCTTGTTCTCTGAGACTTATTCCAATACATGACCTTTATTTGTATGGTGTGTTGTGAAACTCACAAGATATCCCCGAAAAATTTAGAATCAAAAGTACAATGCACATCTAACCTAAAGGGCTATAAGTCGCACATTGGAAAAATAGCAAATCCATGGTAAAATTATCTAAATATAAACCAACAGGTAGGAAATTTAATCAAGAAGGGCATCATAAAAAAAAAAGAAGGGTATGAAAAACACAAATTTCAAGTATCATTAGCCGCCTTGACCTAATGTAGACGCGATCTTGATCATTCTTGCTCATGGATCTCTAATTTTTCGTGATTTGGGTCCTGGTCCAGTTCAAAATCATCCTTTGATTTGTTTTGGTCTGAGTACCACGAAAACTATTCATAAAAGCGTCAAATTTATAATAAAAAATCTAATGACTATAAAAAAAGCACACATTGGACAATTATAATCATTCATAAAAAAATGCACGAAGATGCATTAAAAGGTAATGATTTTAGCTAAGAATATGGTTTGGAAAACATTACTTTTCAAGTGTCGTTAACTGCAAAGTAATTCCCCATTGGCTACTTGTAACTTCTGATTGTTCTGAGCAATTTAAAATGAATGAGACTTGTTGACTTGTTGGTCGTGTGATAATAGCGAAAAAGTCGAGAAGCCAGCAGTGAAATTCACCTAAGCTCTTAACAATTCCAAACGCAAGGCACGTGCTTGACTTTTTGCGTGTCTGTCTCCTCCATTGTTTAAAGAAATCTAGTTTGTTTGTACGAGGAAGCAACAAAGGAAGTCCCGAGCTGGACGAGTTTAGAGATGGCAACCTGTTGGGCCTTGACTCTCCGAGAACCCACAAAAGTCTGAGAAGCCCAATGAGAATAGCAAGCCCACCGGACACGCTGAAAGTCAAAGCAAGTCAAGATCCCTAAAAGCGTCATCGCCTCCATTCTCGATCAGAAAAAGCAATTAACTCCATGAAAGAAGGTGAACTGGGAATCGCGCTGCAGCTCTTCTCTTCAAACGGTCGAGTTCATTGATGATGGAAGAGACAAGGATGGGAGACTCTCCGCCTATATAAAGACTGCTCCTGTCAAAGAGAAAGGTGACAGTTTCCTAGACTTGGTTAGAACAGGGTTGTTCTCTGGTAGTTTTAGGTTTGGGTTCGAGTCTCGTGTCTGGGTAGCTGAGTTGGGGCAGTGGCCAGGAACTCAAGCTATCTGGGCATGGCGTCTGTTTAATACTTCTCCTACTTGTTTTTGTTTAGCTTGATTAGTGTTCTAGTCATTTAAACTCAGATCATCAGTATCTGAGTTTGGTTTCTTGATTCTCTTGATAGTTGTTATCAAAATAAAAATTATCTCATATATTCAATTCAGTCTGGTGTGGTTGTGAATCTGGTCTCATAGCGGGTTAACACAACCGATTGGGAAGATAATGTATATTCGTTATTCTATTTAAAGTAGTTTAGGTGTTATTCATAAGTATACTCGTATCTACATAAGAATTGGATAGAAAATTAAAATTATGTCTATATTCGTTTGGATTTTGGGTATCAAGATTATTTATGGGTAATAATATCATGAGAAAACGAAAGATTTTTACCACCAATTTTGAACTCTGCAACGGTCTAGAACAGAGAAGCAGGAGAGAAGAAGAAGAGCCTAAACGACACTGGTTTGCCTCTAACGGACATGAAGAAGAGATCATGGAGTGACATCGTTTCTGGCAAAGTGCCAAGTAGTACTTGAACTCTTTATTTGTGTCTTTTACCCTTTTCGGGATGTACTTCCTTTTTCTCTAAGTTTTGTCTTCTTTCTTGAATTGTAAGCAACATCAGATCCTTGTACTGTTCTATCCAGCTATATAAGTTGAGCTTTCTAATGAGAATACCTAGATGATTTAGCGTTTCTCTATTCAAAACTGTTGTTATGGTATCAGAGCCTCTCTAAACCCTAGCCGCCGTAGACATGGCTGAAAATGCACAGCCAAATGATCCTGTTAACAATGCTGCTGGTGCAAATGCACAGCTACCTGCTGATCCTATGGCAGATCCATATTACCTCCATGGTTCTGAGCAACCAGGACTGCTCTTGGCGGGTGAGAAACTTACACCCACCAACTACAATGGCTGGAGCCAAGCCATGATGAATGCTTTGGGAGCCAAGAATAAACTTGGTTTCATCAATGGTTCCATTCCACACCCAGGAGCAGAACATCAAAATGCCTGGGCTTGGAACAGGAACAATGTGATGGTTCTATCATGGATCCAGGAGGCCGTTGAAGCTAGCATATGAAAGACCATAATGTCTTGCAAAACCTCCCTTGAAGCATGGCGTAGTATGAGGTCCCACTATGGTCAAAGAGATGTGGTAAGAATTGTCGAACTCACTGAATCTCTAAGCAATCTCAAATAAGGTAGCCAGTCAATTACTGAATACTATGGCAACCTAATTGCAATTCGAGACGAGCTAGATAATTATCAGCCGCTTGAACACTGCACCTGCTCACCAACTAGTAGAGAAACTTGTGCTGTTGTGAGATTGGTATTTGCCTACAAAGACACCAATTATGTCATTCAGTAGCTTAGGGGTTTGAATGAAAATTTCTCAAGTGTGATGTCCCAAGTACTTTTTGGTGATGCTTTACCATCCATTGATCGAGTTTTCCAAAGGATGGTGCAACATGAAAGACAGCAGTATGGGACACTGCCAAGTAAGGTCCGTGCAGCAGAATCTGTGAGTCTGCCAGCTCAGACCAGCTCCAATACTCAAATCAGAAGGCCAAGACCTTACTGCACACACTACAAATTTCCTGGACACACTAAAGAGACTTGTTACCACAAGCATTGCTGACCACCAGGCATGAATACAAGATCATCCAGCCCCTCTGGAAGAATGGAGTGTACATACTACAAGAAACAGGGACACACAGAGGACAAATGCTTCAGCAAACATGGCTATCCAAATAAAAGGGGACCACCTCGCAGCAAACCTCAAGTCAACACAGCAAGTTCAGAGGATTTACAACAAGAAGTAAAGCTCACTAAGGCAGATTACATTAAGCTCATGTCTCTCATGCCTGATAAAGGTAATCAAAGGCCTTCCACCAGTGGCAACACCCATTTTATAGCTGCTACTTTCATCACCAAGCCAGCAGACTCCTCAGGTAAATTCCTGCTCAATGTGAGTGATAAATCACCGCATCATCAAACCTAGATCGTGGATACAAGAGCTTCTGACCACATTGTTTGTTCCCTTAGTTATCTAACAAACTAAAGAAGCATAAACAAAATTTTCATCACCCTACCAACAGGAGATAAGGTTCAAGCAACACACACACGCACTATCACCTGTGTTGCTGGCCTCATTTACATGAAGCCTTGTTTGTCCCCCAATTTAGCTTCAATCTCATCTCTGTCAGTCAACTGACCAAAGACAAATCCCTTTGTCTTACCTTCTTCTCTGATGTCTATTTGATCTAGGATATGCAGATGAGTAGGATGACTGGTTCTGCTAAGCTATCCTCTGGCCTTTACCACCTTGAGACCCTTGTAGATACCAACTCACCAAAACTCATCTCACCTGCCAACATACAAGACTTTGATATTTGGCACCATAGATTAGGCCATGTCTCTCATTCCAAAGTGCCCATTTTGAAAACCTTTCATCCACAGATACATACAAACAGCTCTATAGCCGGTGATGTCTGTCATTTTGCTAAGCAGAAGAGACTTCCATTTCCTTCTAGTACTTCTATAACCAAACAAGTTTTTGACATGCTGCATGTTGACATCTGGGGACCAAATCTAGTTCCCCGTTATGATGGTTTCAAGTATTTCCTCACCATTGTTGATGATTTCAGTAGAATGACTTCGTTGATGCTCTTACAAACAAAATCAGAAGCTAGATCAAAGCTTCAAGCTTTCTGTTCTTATGCAGAAAGACAAATCAAGGTAGAGAATTCACCATGAATGATTTTTTCAACCAGACTGGGATCCTTCATGAATTAAGCTGTGTTGAGACTCCAAAACAGAGCAGCAAAGTGGAGAGAAAGCACCAACATATTCTTGCTGTTGCTAGAGCCCTTAAATTTCAAGCTAACCTTCCTCCTACTTTTTAGGGAGACTGTGTCAAACACTCTGTTTATTTAATCAATAGGGTTCCACACTTGTTCTAGGGAACCAAACTCCTTATGAAAAACTTCACAATCAACCACCAGGCCTGTCTGACCGCAGAGTCTTTGGATGTTTATGTTTTGCTAGTACCCTAGCCAATCACAGAGGGAAGTTTGATCCTAGAGCTAGGAAGGGAGTATCCATTGGTTTTCAGAATGCGATGAAAGGTTATAAAATTTATGATCGTCAGACTCATGATGTTTTTGTATCCAGAGATGTTCAATTTCATGAACATATATTTCCCTTTCATAATCATACCCCAAACCAAAGCCCAGCCTATTCCAACCCCTCTGATCCACCCTTATATGATGATCCCAATCCCTCCTATTCTCCTTCTGATCAGCCTACTCAATCTTTAGACCCTCCCCAATTCATTCAAGACCAACATTTTGATACAAATACTGAAGATGACTCCAGGCAGGAGACATCTTCCCCTCAACCACCTTCCCCTCCTCCACCAGTCAATCCACTTCCTGTCAGAAAATCTATTCGAACCATCGAACGTCTTTCCCACCTACAACAATCCCATTGCAACATGCTTCAGTAGAGTTTTTCCACCAGTCATCCAAATTAGCTGGCATATCTAGGTATGACATATTCTCTCTCCTCAGCTCTTGATTACTCTACTCTTTCTCCTAATCACAAGCATTTTGTTCTAAGCATCTCTTCCCACAAGGAACCAGAAACCTATAAGGAAGCCATTCATCGGAATGAAATGATGCTATGACAGTTGAAACCAAGGCTTTGGAAGCCAACCACACTTGGGATGTGGTTGAGCTCCCTCCTGGGAAGAATGGAGTTGGTAATAAATGGGTCCAAAAACAAGCATCTAGCATATGGCAGTTTGGAAAGGCAAAAAGCTAGATTGGTAGCCAAAGGCTACGGTCAACAAGAATGAGTGCCTATAGAGTCGTTGCAATAGCCTTAACAGATATAGAAACAAATATTATTTGTTACTGATGTGTAAAACTGCGTCTAATTAATATTTTAGTCTCTAAAGACCTTTTTGAAGACTATTATTTTGTCTCCATATTGACATTTAGAAACATAAATATTTGTTTCGAATTTTACCTTTAGAATTGGACTTTTTTGTTTCTAATATTAGTTCTTAGCCACATAAATAGTAGCCTCCAATTTGATTTTTAGAGTCAAATTCTTTTGTTTCTAATATTAGTTGTTTGAGTCTATTATATTTGCATCAAAATAATTGATTAAAATATAATTACCTACAACTCATTTACTTCATAATTCAATTGAGTTCAGTAAACAAACATAACTATATACTATATACTGATTTGTCAATTTTATTGCTATACGCACAAACTGAATAAACTTTGAAATCCACCTTTCACTTCCATGAAGCCAACCAGTAATAGTGAGTACATTGGAAAATTGTCTCCCCTCTCCTTTCAGTCGAGCATATTGATAACCTCTCCTCTCACAAAGTTCGATTATATTCGTTCATCTCCTTCTTGTTCTAATTAAAATGCGAGCAACTTCGTTTCTCTCCCTATCGGTCGAGCTATTTCGTTCCTTCGGTCGAATATTGCATAACCTCCAAGTGCCTACAAATTGAAAATTACAGTTTAGTGAACTACAAATAAAATAAAATAAAAACCTACAAATTTTTACAAGATAACTTCATAATCGTATCCCTCAATGGTAAGTGCACCTTAGGACTACTCAAAAGCAGTTCGACATTCGATTCGTGAAAAACTCGTTCGAAACTCGACTCGTTTACTAACAAATCGAGCTTGAGCTAAGTCTTCTGCAACTCGTGGAGCTCGCGAGCTAGCTCAACTCGGTGGCTTGTTGAGCTCAACTCGTGGGCTGGCTCGTTTAGAGCTCATGAGATGTCTCAACTCTCAACATTGTGGCTGGAGAGCCTACTCGATTACCCACTTATGAACAAATCGATCTATATGAATTTTATTTTGATAATTCATAGAATTGCTAAATTATATATCTCACTCTATAAGAAGTTTAACACGTAGATTATTTGAGCAAATATGTCTTATTTAATTTCAAAAATAAATTATGAATCATAAATTGTTTCGATACTATGAAATAACATAATTTTTTACTAATTAAAATTTATTAACTAAATAACATGATACCACAAAGTATAACATGAGATAAGTTAATATTGAACACTTAACTATTATTATTATTATTATCTTGACATTTATTACATGTATCATACATCAAATACAAAATGTATATATCAAATACGAGTCAAGATTTTTATAACCAAACTAGCTCGAACCCGACTCGACTTGGCTCTTTAATAAACGAGTCGAGCTCACACTCAACTTGTTTATTAAAGAACCGAGCTTAAATTAAGTTAAAATTCGGTTTGACTCGACTCATTTGTATCCCTACTCCAAACATTTAGAGCACAACATGCTATATATTGTAGGTTCCGATTTCACAAAGGAAACCTTAATGTATCTAAGAACCCTTACGTAACAATACAAATTACACAAAAGCACACAAACTAAAATAAGTTGTCATTTTAACATTCCCGGGACAAATTATCGTAAAATTAGTCAAAGGTTAATTGTTTTCCCCGTAAATTAGGCAAATTCACTTCCATAGCCATAACTTTGCACTTTGTGACAAATATAGCCAGATTCGGAGAAATACATAGAAATAGCCAAAAATTTGAAAATGCGTTGACAGTAATAGCCATTTCCGTTACTAAATGTGACGACGTCAGGGACGCCGTTAATTACATGTTCGCTTAGCTGACGTGGCCAACCTACAACCTCCACGTCGGCGCCAACAGGACTGAATTTGCCACCAAAGCGCCACGTCATCCGGAGGAGAGAGAATCGTTTGGGGCAATTAAACCTAGCCGATCTTCCAGCGACTTCTCCTCCATCTGATTTTTGATTTCATCTTCCCTCCCATAAAAAGCCGAAATCAGCTTCCATCTTCCTCGCAGCGGCAGTGTCAATCCGGCGAAAACCCTCGACGCCGTGGGTGTGATTCCGATTCTCCCATCCCTCGACGCCGTGGGTGTGATTCCGAAATCGGCTTCCATCTTCCTCGACTCGCAGTGTGAACCCGCATCTCCCATCCATCCCTCCGATTCTCCCATCCCTCGGCATCTCACATCCCTCGACAGTGTCAACCTTCGACAGTGTCAACCCGCATCTCCCATCCCTAACGATGTCAGAAAGGGGCAGTCGGGGTGCTCGCAAGAATGGCGGCGATTCGGGGTCAACAAGCGTCAAGAGTGGGTAACAGAATCGTGGGGCAGAGGAAGAGGCGAGGATTACTTACCGATAACAGATTAGGGTTCGAGCTTCGTCTCTGGGTTTTTTTTACCGGAATCGATAGTTCGAGCTTCGTCCCCTTATCCTCTTCCCCGTCGACGACTGGAAGCGACGCTGGATCTTGCTATAAGCTGGTTGATGGCGAGTCGCCACCTCTGTGTTCGTCAATTGAGATGGGTATGGAGGGAAGTTCGATGACCAGATCAATGAGGCGAGAGGACACGTCGACCAAGGCGAGATGACCGGATGACTGTGTTGGTCAATTCACAGTCACCGCCGAAGAGAATCGTGAGTGGGGGTGGAGATTTAGGGTTTCTGCTGGGTCTTCGTGAAGAGGAAGGGTGAAAGAACGAAGGGGGGGGGGGGGTCTGCGAAAGGGTGAAAATTTGGTAAAGTAGGGTAAAAACTAATTAATGATAAATAATTAATTCATTTCCACGTTGGCATACACGTAGACCAAATTAAACGCGGCCATTTGGGTTCGTTTGTCCAGTTAGCAGGCGTTATGTTTTCTGTTACATTATTGGATGGAATGGCTATTTCTGTGTATTTCTCCGAATCTGGCTATATTTGTCACAAAGTGCAAAGTTATGGCTATGGAAGTGAATTTTGCCCGTAAATTATGATGTATGTAGGGGTGGTGTGTTATGTACTTATGTGTACCAATTGTAGCAAGTTGAGGGAATCCTAAGTCGCAAGGGTGGAGTCGAGTTTTGATGTAGTTTGATTTCCACACATTAATGAGGTCACGATCTGTAAAATAAGTAGAACGCGGAAAACAAAACGACACGAACGATTTACGTGGTATCCCCGTTCTATGCGAACGGGACTCATCCACGGAGAAGCTCCACAAGAGCTTCTCGGCTGAACTTTTATTATTCAACTTACACCCAACTTACTGCTACAGCCGCATGCAAGGAGGATATATATATACCTCCTGCACTAACCCTTACATCAATTCCACTTAGGGTTTGGCTTCAGCAAACTTCACTTTACTACTATTAATATCAACTAACGACAACTAAGTCTAGCACTAAGTCATCAAATAAACCGCAACACGATCTCTAATCGCCTTCGAATTATCAATTAATTCGCCAGATCGATCCGAACTTAAATATCTTATTATTTAGTTCATATTTTTTAAATGTTCATGTCATGTTATTTAAAAGTAATTGATATATGAGCAATTTATCATTCATAAGATCTCTTTTAAATTATAAATGACACATATTTGATTAAACACTCGAATTCTTAAACATCATATAATTTAATAAAATTATGAATTATCAATAAGTTAATGATAAACTGTCAATCGATTCTCTCATAAGTTGCTAATTGTATTGTATTGTATTGTCGAACCAACTCATAACTCAAAACGAACCACCGAATCAAGCTTGTTCACGAGTCTTGGAAACTGAACAAAATTTAACTCAAACTCAATTAATTAGTGAAAAATTTGAGTACCCAACATGATTTTTCCGAACGGATACCGAGTCGCTTCTGCAACCCTGATCCTAAAAGTTGGAGACAAGGCCAAAAACCTTCTTGTGCATGCATCCCTTCGAAAAAGCCTCGGTGGGGTTTATTTTGCCCGCCACTTGTAGATGTAATATTAATTCGTGGCTGCGTTCATTTAATAGAGCTGTCTGTGTTCCCACTTTGTTTCAGTCCACAAAGGCCAAAGCCTTTCCTTTTCTTGGAAGCTTGTTTTCCCCACTTTCAGACGGGTCTCCGTTTATGAATAGTAGAAACAAAGCATATACAATAACTCAATAAGATAAGTAAATGCTTGAATTTGTAGCCAAAGTAGGTAACGGCGGGTCGGAGGCCAAGTCCATGAAAACGAAAAACTGACACTTAGATCAAATTTCGGGCCAAACTAGTTTCGGTCCACAAAACCTTTTCTTTTCTTTGAAGCCCTGTATTCCCCTGTTTCAGACGGGTCTCCGTCTATGAAAAAAAGGAACAAAAATCATACACAATAACTCAATAAGAGAAGTAAACGTTTGAATTTGTAGCCAAAGTAGGTAACGGCGGCCCAGTCGGGGAAAACGAAAATCTCAGCTGGGAAAAAGAAGAGTCCGTCTGGGTAGGTGATAGTGGTCCATTTTTGTCTTTTCTTTTCCTTTTTTTCTATCTTTTTTTATTTTTATATTATCTCCAAACTTCACCTCCATTGTTTTGGGCTAAGCATCACATTCACAAGCCCTTGATGCTCTAACGCCCTCATTGCCCTTCCATTTTTCATTCTCCGAGAGAGTCAGAGAGAGATAAGTTTGTTTAATCATATAAATTGGTTGTAGAAAACAGGGGATACAGATTTTACAGATCACAGTCCTTCCCCATATAAGTGGACCACACTCGACTCTGCACTTCCAGCGAAAAAGGAAGAGAGGAACATAAGAAAAGATACAAGGACGTGAAGTGTGTCTTCCTTTCCCTTAACTTCCATTCTCAGAGTTTCTTAGGCTGCCATGGCTTCCAGGACGGTCTCTTGGTTGCTTGCTCGTTCCATCTCTTCTTCTGGGCCCAGATCTGCCCTGCTCTCAAGAGGTACTCCATCTTTTCTTTATCCCTCTCTACGATCGCGATCGTCAAGTCAACTACTGTGGAGCACTTTGGGAGGGATTCTGTTCCTGGTCGATGTGAACTGTTGCTTTTGTTGGGTTCCTGTGAAAATTGCTATTTTTGATCGAAAGGTTTGATCTTTTTTGGTCTGTTTTGGCGAGACAGAGAAACTGGGGCCTTAAGCCAAAGTGGGTTCGTTGGGGATGAGATTTTTAGAATTTCATTTCTTTCTCTGAATTCTCCTTTCTTTTTTCGTGAGATTCTACTGAACAATTGATTCTATATTCGTCCTCCTCGTTAATCTTGTTCTGGGAATAAGGTCTCTGCAGCAGATCCACATGTTTAATTATTATCTTCGTTCTTTTAAGTCCTGGTTTCTCCTGAAATCTGACCCTGACAATTATATTATCATTCATTGCATCCCCGACCTAACTTCGATCGGGTCGCACGTTGTCCAGGGAAGAAATTAGGGTTGGTGAGCAGAGGAGGAATCCACAGGTACAACAGCACTGCTGCCGCTGCTGAGGAACCCATCACTCCACCTGTAACTGTACCACATACTCAACTCCTCATTAATGGCAAATTCGTTGATGCCGCTTCAGGTCCTACTACTAGTACTATAATACTGTTATTACTACTATTATTATAATGTACTTTTTTCCCATCCTTGTTCCACACATTCGTTTACTGAACATCGATTTGCCTTTTAACTCTGGTTCTTGTGCCAACAGGAAGAACTTTCCAAACACTGGACCCAAGAACTGGGGAACTGATTGCTAATGTAGCTGAAGGTGATGCCGAGGATGTCAATCGAGCTGTCGCCGCTGCTCGCAAGGCATTTGATGAAGGACCCTGGCCCAGGCTTCCTGCTTTTGTAATTATGAGAACATTCCACTCATATTTTTCCTCCCATTCAATATGTTGTGTTGGAATCAGGGATGAGTCTGTTGTTTGCTCTGGTGTGCTACTTCCCAGGAAAGGCAAAAGATATTGTTGAAGTGTGCTGATTTGGTAGATAAGCACAACGATGAGATTGCAGCACTTGAGACGTGGGACAATGGGAAGCCTTATGAACAAGCTGCTAAAGTTGAGGTGCCAATGTTTGCGCGGCTCTTTCGATACTATGCTGGTATGATTCAGTCACCAAAGGTTCCTATTCGGTGGGAATGTGTTAGTTTTCTTGGAGACATGATGAGGGAACTCACTCAGTTTTGGATTTCTCTGCTGGTAAACTTTTTTAGGTTGGGCTGATAAGATCCATGGTCTCACTGTACCGGCTGATGGACCTTACCACGTGCAAACCTTGCATGAGCCAATTGGGGTTGCAGGGCAGATCATTCCTTGGAACTTCCCTCTTCTCATGTTTGCCTGGAAGGTTGGCCCGGCTTTAGCTACTGGGAACACCATTGTTCTCAAGACTGCTGAACAAACACCTCTGTCTGCTCTCTATGTGGCTAGGCTATTCCATGAGGTACTTATTGACTGAGAGTCGTTGCCTCTCCATATGATCTGTGCCACTTTTATCAACCTTTCTTTCTTGAGACTAATGGCGGCTCTCTATTTTTTGAAACAAATTTTTTTTATTATAACAATAATGGCGGCTCTCTAGAAGTCCCATTTTCAGCCACTTAATATCCATGTTGTGGCTTTGTTGTCAGGCTGGCCTTCCTGAAGGTGTTTTGAATATCATTTCTGGGTTTGGACCAACTGCTGGTGCGGCTCTTGCTAGCCATATGGATGTCGACAAGGTAAACTGAATATTGACACCAAAAATGTTAATTGGCTCTCCTTCTACTGATTGTCAAGATTGTGCTAACTACTTTCTCCGATGCTTATTATTCTTAAACCAAATACAGCTGACTCGCTGAGCTATGTATTTGCAGCTTGCTTTCACTGGATCAACTGAAACGGGAAAGATTGTTCTGGAGCTAGGAGCAAAAAGCAACTTGAAGCCAGTCACTTTGGAGCTTGGAGGGAAATCACCTTTCATTGTTTGTGAGGATGCTGATGTGGATCAAGCTGTTGAGCTTGCTCATTTTGCTTTGTTCTTCAACCAGGCATGTGCTTGTTTCTGTAGAACACTGTGAATATTGTTCTGATCGATAAGTTTGCTTTACTGAATCTCAAAATTCTGGTCTTCAAAACTGCAGGGCCAGTGCTGCTGCGCTGGATCTCGTACATTCGTGCATGAAAAAGTATACGATGAATTTGTTGAGAAAGCCAAGGTTCGTGCTTCAAGACGCTCAGTCGGCGATCCATTCAAGGCCGGCATTGAACAAGGCCCTCAGGTATACTTCAAATAAGTCTTTTCTACTTTGACAAACTCCGGATCAGCCAATTTCTTAAAAGCAGGAAGAATACTCTTCTTGTGTGTGTGTCACTGTAATGTGGCGGCTTAGTCTGAGGTTTATCCTTGATGAATGCAATCATTGACAGGTCGATTCAGAGCAGTTTGAGAAGATCCTGAAATACATAAGATCTGGTGTCGAGTGTGGAGCTACCCTTGAAACTGGAGGTGAACGATTCGGTTCCAAGGGCTACTACGTCCAGCCTACTGTCTTCTCTAACGTCAAGGTAATGCCAATGATACCACATGAATTATGTACGACTCCCTACTAACCTTTTTTTCTGTCACATCAACCACAGCTCTAAACACATTATTGTTTGTTCTTGCCCCTCATTTTAGGATGACATGTTGATTGCAAAAGATGAGATCTTTGGACCAGTTCAGTCCATCCTGAAGTTCAAGTAAGCAACTAAGGAACAAACTACCATTTTTACCCCTTTTCGTACTAAGAACAACATGGTAAAACATAATTGGAGTGTCTATAATCTCTTTTGTTGTTGGTTTTCCCCCACAGGGATCTTAATGAAGTCATCAAACGATCAAATGCAACCCGGTATGGGCTGGCAGCAGGTGTGTTTACGCAGAACATAGACACCGCCAACACCTTGATCAGGGCGCTTAGAGTTGGGACGGTGTGGGTGAACACGTTTGATATCTTTGATGCCGCGATCCCCTTTGGTGGGTACAAGATGAGCGGTCATGGGAGGGAGAAGGGTATCTACAGTCTTAGCAATTACTTGCAAGTGAAGGCAGTTGTTACTCCCTTGAAGAACCCTGCATGGCTATAGTTTGCAGCCTGGATTTGAGGGTCGGTGGGGGAAGGGGGAGGTTGTTTCTCCTCTGTGTCCATTCCCCTTCTTCTTGCCTGGTAATTTGAGTGGACATGATGACGATGATGATAAAAGATGAAGATGGTCGCCGTGAAGAATACTGTCGTTTTTCTCTCTTTATTTTGTGTTGGTGGTTGTCATCTACTTTTTTTTTTTTCTTTTTGGAGGGAGCCTCTACTCTAGCCTTGATTGTTTACTTTGGGATTTTCACTTTAACATGTCATACGGCCTTCTGTACCAAAAGCTCTTTTCTGCTTTTCATGGTAATCACCTGAACTGAATCTATGATTCGAATAATTAGAAGGCAAAGTGCTTGCCTTTGAAAGTGGAACTCTTTTCCAGATTAGCCCCTTTTCCTCGTTCAATGATGCAAGGATTTTATAGCTCAAGAACCAGGAGAGCTAAAAAAAACCAGCACCGTGAATCAGTCACACACCCTGTCTGTATAAAAACTCCCTTGGCCAACAGCAAAACAGAGTAACTGTAATCTATCAAACCTCTATCAAACACAAAACTAGATAATGCAGTTGGATTTTGTGGTGGTGTGAATGAAAATGAAGGGAAGAGAGTTAAAGTAGCTCAAAGGAGCTAAAAAAAGGCTCATTTATACAATCTTGCAAGTCTTGCAATATTGTTTCCACCTGCTTTGTCTTTTATATTTGGTCAACTAGATTCAGTTGTTATATTCCCTACTGATGAGTTTTGGATTTTTCAAAGGTACGTCTAAACATGGTAGTTTTTCAAAGGTGCATCTAAACATGGTAGTTTAAGGAAAAATAATGTACACTATGAGCTCATGCATGATGTTTGTAATTTTGTGACATTCTGTGTGTCTATATATATATATATATCTTTAACAAGTTTAGTAATGAGTATAACGGCCCTATTGTTCCGATGGAGAGAAGAACCTATGATTAGCTTTTCGGGAAAACCAAGATTTGCTTTATCCGGTATCAAACGAGAGCTGCGGGCAAATAGAACTCCTTTTAGGAGTATCAAATACCGTCACATGAATGAAAACTTCATTCTCGATTCTACGAGAATTTTTATGAAAGCCTTTCATTTGCTTCTCTTCTATGGAAGTTTTATTTTCCCAGAATGTATCCTAATTTTTGGCGCCCAAGTGGTTTGGCCAATAGTGGGTCAAGAAAATATTAAATGGTGATGTGGGTGGAGGTTTCCGAGGAATCCAAATAACCTCGGGTTTTTCCCAGATTTTTATATATATATATATATACACTAACACTTTGCCCGGCCAATTGGCCGGTCGAATAAATCATTTTTCATCTTATAGCCCGCTCTATTATAATCCTTGTACGCTTTTTTTTTATCTCTTTCAAGAAAGATTGGATTAGTGGAATATAAAGTAGACATGGGAGTAAGGATGCAAAACTATCAGCGGGTTGAATCCGACCTAATTGCGTAAAATAAACCTACAACCCAAATAATTTTATGTGGGTATGGGTAAAAAACAAATTTGAATATTGTGGGTGATGGATGAAAATGATTTTATCACTATCCAACCCAAACCCGCCCGATTACACATGTAATATGTATTTTATCTACAAATGGTTATTGTTTTTCTCATAATATTTTATAGGGCTAATACCACTGGAAATACCAACCTTTAGTAAAAGTGTCATTTATATTACGTAAATTCAATAAATACAAAAATATTCCAACCTATCAGATGTTTCCGTCATTTGTGTTACGTGAATTTCTGTTGACCGTTAGAACTAACGGTTGACCTAACGGCGGTCAATCTTTGACTGACCATTGATGAATAGGCGCCTATGTGTGCTCCACATATGCAACACGTAGATGCCACGTGGGAAATTAGATTTAACATTTAAAATAAAATATTTAATTAATTAATTAATTTTTTTTAATAATTTTTTTTTTATTATATTTTCTCACCTGTTCCCCTCTCTAATCTCCATCACTCGTTCGTTGATTAGAATGCCCAACGCAATTTGGGGATTAGGGTTTGGGGGTGGAGATTGTGAGATCCAATTCGCCCTCCAATCTTCCCACCTGTATTCTCACCCCTACTCTCACTCGACCATTATTCCACCATCAGTATCAGTACACCAGAACAATAACAACATCAATGAAGCGCCGGTTTGCAGAATGGAGCCTCCGCCGACTCGATTTCCCCGTCGGCGACGACAATATCCGTTCGTTCGCCGAACAGATCGTGACTCCCCTACTCCCGACCATCCGAGCAAATCACGACGCCCACGTGGACATCTCAGACCCAGATCTGGCACACATCGTGGCAATTGATTTCCTCTTCTTAGTCAAGTTGCTTCTGCAGTCAAATGATCGGACCCTGCTTAATTGATGAACGGCGTCGGGATGCTCGGAAACCAATTCCCCATCTTCTCAATAATCGATCGCATCAAATCGATAACCACCGCTGCTAATTTCTGCAACCAGCAGATCTTGTTTTTTGAGAGTAGGTGGGTCAGTTTTGCCAGCGAATTTCTCCCCTGCAATGGGCGACGGAGAAGACGGCGTTGCGGGAGGAGCAGCAGCGGCGGCGACCTCAGCATTTGTTGGACTAGTTGTAACTTCAATTACTGCTGGATTAATGAAAGCCGTGGATTCAACAACTGGGAATCAGCTCGATCGCCTCCAACTCCCCCTCCACTCCACTTGATTGTCGATTGATTCCACCCACCTCGTCGATTTTGAGAAATTCTTTTTCTAGGGTTCTTCCTCTATTCGTAATCGAGAGTGACGAAGAGGAAAAGATGAGAACAAAATGAATGTGTTACTGGGGCCTCCTCGTTTTTGCATATATATTTTTTTTGTTTTTTATATTTTAATTGGGTAAATATTAAATAAACAAATACTTAAATGTCCACGTCAGCGAACCACGTAGGATCCTATTAGGTGATGACTGGACGTTGAAAAGTCTCACAGTTAAATTTAACGGCCCAACTAACGGAATAGACATTTTGGTATACAAATGTCATATCGATAATTACGTAATATAAATGGCACTTTCGCTAAAGGTTGGTATTCCCGGTGGTATTAGCCCTATTTTATATTTATTATATATACTATTTTTCACAAAACTGTGTTCTCGTCAACTAATTTTCTTCTAATTAGTGGTTTATTGTTGTGGATTTTCACTTACATAATGTCGATATACATGTAATTGCTAACATACTTACGAAGGTATGAAGGAAAATTATCAAATATGGATAACCATATACATAGTAACTCAATCGATTATTGATATGATTTTGATTTTCTACCCAATTCTTGCGTAGAGATAGGTATGGGTAAAGGTTCATATGTTGTTCAAAATCAAATAACAACACAATCCACTGGTAAAATATCTCATATGACCTCTGGATATTAGAGGCAGAGTTGTTCATTTGGTATTGTACTATTGTTCTGCTGTTGTTGAGCTGCATGCCATTTTGGATACTATTTGAGTTTTTTTTTTTTTGTCTCAATGTTCTCTGGCTCCGCTATTATCAATTGGCCATTATTTGTTTGTGTTCTGTGTTAAATACTTAATGCAATACAAATCTGTTTGGGAGTTTGGATGAATTTTGTCAAAATAATAATGGGCTTAACTAACCAGCCCAATAAATAAGCAAGTGAGGCTCGGATCATAAGTAGGTATTTTGCCAAAAATACCCCTCCGCAAAAGAAGGTATGCTTCATGGTGGCTGAGCTGACAAACCTCGAATCAGCACTCCTGTATATATATATGTTTTGATTTGATGCATTAGCTCGAAGAATTTTGGGGTTTTTGAAGGTACGTTTATTTTATTTATCAGAGGAATAGTTTTAAACATTGGGTACTGAGTCGTACTAACTACACATTCCCAACAGAATGTCAAGTATAACTGACGACCGGGTGTAGCAAAGGGAAAGTAAAATAATAAAATTATCAAACCACAGGTCTCTAGATGTTTTGTTACTACAACTTAGGTATGTTATCTAGCCAACTAGAATAGTGATTAAGATTAAACCAACTACACTAACCTAACCACTACCCTAGCTAATTGCAAGGTTGGTAGCTCACTTAGGCAAGAATCCTCATAGCTCCTCAATTGGAATAATGCTGAGCACTACCCTAGTTTGATCGACTCGATATTTCTACCGCATATAATTCTATACTAGGTTAGATTCTCTATTCGTGTGCATCCAACCCCGCTCAATTGCTCCACCCGAATAGGCGTATCGTAAAATTGGCGTAGGCAATTGAGGTGTTCACAACCAATTCTCACGGCTGGACAAGACCCAATATGGCACTATAGATCCTATCACACTCATTCGAAGATTCATAGTGAGTGACTGAATGTGCTCTATTCAACCTAAGGTGATATTCTCCCTCCTAAGTCAAAATCTCAACTAACATGTAGCGGGATCAAAACTCATCAGTTCATCATAAACACCAATCAAATAGATAATATGAGTAGTCAATCATAGGATTTGTCACACACATCAAGAATCAAACCAAATTCAAGAACTAGGGTTCATCGACCTAAGTGAAGGAGACTAATTCATAGAGAAGAGAAGAAGAGAGAGAGAATACCATAAAGGGCTTAGAATCTTCAATTTTCATCTTCTAGTGGATGATCTTTAAGTTCCAATGGTGATTTTCACCTCCAAAATAGCCCCAAAACCCCTCCTATGTCACTCTCTCTCTATATAGAATCACCCCTAGGGTGTTTTGAGGTAAAAAAAAAACCCAGCTCCCCTTCTCAAAAACCCGTTGCTGTCAATTTATACTCGTAGCAGTGCAAGGATCATAGTTTTGTTATGTACTACACTGCCATGAACAATGCAAAACATGATCTCAGGTGAAAACTCAGTGTTTTGTGCATACTTCACAGTTTTGTTGTTATTATCACTCCCTCTAGCAGTGAAGTGTACACATCCCGCGAAATGCACTAACCCTACTGGAAACTAGCTTTGTTCATGGTTTGGGGGTGATTTTCACGCCCTCCAGAAAATGAATATTACACCCAGCCCGTGAACCATGCAAAACCTTCACTTTTTAGCTCATTTTGACCTCTGAATATTCCGAAACTTGTCCCTGAGCTTCCCATACGTACACGGACCTGAAATGTGAAGAAAGAAGTACAACCTAGAATAAAATGGATCGACGAACGACGATTACCAAGTCAACCATTCAAGATATGAGAGGGTAAAACATGTAGTTTTCTACTCCATCTGAGATTTAGAACCTTTGTGGTTTTCTACTCATATCTATTAGTAAATTACAAATAAATTGTTGGTTTATATTTCAGTGAAAGAAAGAAAGGAGGGAAATGCATTCTACTTCGAGCTAATTCCAACAAACTTAAACAAAACTAAAAAGGGAAATGTTCATATTCACTTCTTTGTTCTATGAATTTTGACGACTAAAACTCTTCGGATTTTTCTAATCCATTGAGATTAAAGCTCGGCTTTCTACTAAATATTTATAGATTATCATCTTCGGACTTTCAACTGCACTGAGACCAAGGGGTAATTTGGAGAAAGGATTTGGGTAATGAATTCACAGAATCTATAGATTCAATAGAAAGTTATTTTTTTTCCTGCTATTTGTATTGTGGATTTTAAGTTATTTATCCCACTAAATTCCCTTGTCAGTAAATTTTCAATATTTATCGAGGCATTCCGATTCTATTGGCTGAGGGTGAATAAGTGATTTGATACAAATTTAGAATTTTTATTTTTCATTGATTATTAACAATCGCAGTTACCAAACAATGAACATTTAAAAAAAATTAAACAATCTAAAGAGTTAAAATCTTTGAATTGTTTAAATTCTACCGATTTAGACTCCAATTTTCAAAATGAACCCAAAACCTTCGTGGTTTTCTACTCCATTTGACCTTAGAACCTTTATGGTTTTCTACTTCTGTTTATTAGTATATTGCTAATAAATTTTTGGTTTATTTTTCATTGAAATAAAGAAGAGGGAAATGGATTATGCTTCGAGCTAATTCCAACAAAGTTATACAAAACTCAAGTGCTCCACTCCAAGTTGCAACACACACATTGGCACCGACAGAAAAACCTGAAAGCTTTTTTTTTTACAGCGTCGACTTCATGTGGTGGCGACAAAAAATGTATTTTTAACTCACCACTTTGGGACTTCAAAAGTTCATCAAAGAGGAGATCAAAATCTTGACGAGCAAGTGCCCAAAATGGATGGATTCTTGCAATTTGAGATTGGAGCCATTTTGACTTCCTTTACACAGAATTATTCGATTCAATGTCTATAGCACCACTGCTACCTCTAAAATATTGTGGGAAGCGCTCGGGAGGAAGTACAAGGCTGAAGAGGTCGGGACGAATAAATCCCGTCGGTGCCGAGTTTTTAGAGTACAAGATGGTTGATTCCAAAGTCATTGTGACATAAATCATGATAATCATGGGACTTTTGCCCAAATTATAATGCTATAAATCAAATGTCAAGTATGTATAGAATCAATTTTTACAAACCATCCCTATAATTTCGTTAAAAGAACTTATGAACCTTTGGACTTGATTCACACCGACATTTGTGACATAAATTCAACACCATCTCGAGGTGGAAAAGTACTACATAACATATATTGACGATAGCACTTGATATTGCTAAGTCTATTTAATTACTACCAAAGGTGAGGCGATCAATGCATTCAAACATTTCAAAACCAAAGTTGAGAATAAGATCAACAAGAAAATAACAATGGCCAGAAGTGATAGAGGTGGTGAATATAGATTTCCTTTTGCATAATTTTTTCTAGAAAATGAAATTATTCATCGAACGTCATCTCCATATGCCCCACCACAAAATGGAGTTGCGGAAAAGAAGAACTAAAATATTAATGAAATGATGAATGCTTTGCACCTAAATTATGTTCTTACCTCAAATTTTGTGTGCGAGTATATTCTTACTACCACACAAATATTCCATCCTAGGTGTAAACCGCTTCAGATCACACATATATGCTTCGCAGATGACTTGATGATGTTAACGAATGGCTCTGTTAGAGGAGTGGTAGGTATTAGAAGACTAATGGATGGGTTTTATAAGCTGTCAGGTTTGAAATGCAATGCATCGAAATGTCAGTTATACTGTGCAGGGATATCACAGGGGGAGAAACAAGCTATCTCGGCATTCACTGAGTTCCCACTTGGTGAGGTGCTTGTTAAATATCTGGGTGTTCAGCTTATTTCTGGGAAGCTTAAACGGTCGGACTGTCAGGTCCTTATCGCTAAGATAACGCAGAGACTTCGTAGCTGGAGATCTAGATTGCTGAGTTATGCAGGTAAGATTCAGCTTATATCCACTGTGATTAGAAACACTCTTCAGTATTGGCTCAACATTTTTCTACTGCCTCAGTACATTATTAAGGAAGTTGAGAGATTGTGCAATGAGTTTTTGTGGGATTCTGCTGAAAATGGAACCAGAAAGAGAGCAGTTATGGCCTGGGATAAGGTGGCATTGCCTAGGAAGGAGGGAGGTTTGGGTATTCGAAACTTTAGTCTATGGAACAAAGCTTGTATGTTGAGGCACATTTGGAACATTCTGATTTCAGGAGGGTCATTATGGGTGGCATGGGTCATCATATATAGACTAAAGCAGAAGACTATCTGGGAAATCCCTGCTTCTTCTGCTAGCAATTGGATTTGGAAGAGATTCTTGAAGTGCAGGAACCTAGCTTTCCCCTTTATCTCTGGAAATGGGCCTCACGTTCTTTGCGAAGGAGAAAAGATGCAGAAGTATTCAGTAACCAGAGTATGGAATGCAATTCGGATACATGAGCAAGAAGTGCCTTGGTGGAAGCTTGTATGGGCTAAAGAGGTTATTCCAAAGCATGGTTTTATCCTTTGGCTTGCACTGCGTGATAAGCTAGTACTCAATAAAATATCATACCGTACGATTTTTGGTCCAAGGGTTTAGACAAAAGGAAGATTGATAACGTCGTATTTGCACATGTTTGCCCCCTCGTTTCTTGATCATTTTGACTTGAGTTTTTGCTTTCTTAGACTATTTTATGCTAGGTTGTGTTCCTTTGTCACATTTCAGGTCCTATTATGTAAATTGAAGCAAAGGCGCAAGTTTCAAGTCAATCGGAATCCATTTGGCAATTCGAGAGAAGAAACAAGGGCATGACCTGAGGAATAATGGACTTCTACCTCATATTATGGACAAATAAACATGGAAGTTTGTCATGAAAATAAAGAGGACGAGACTATGAGCGTCTGGGATCAAACGGCGACTAATTCGGAGTCCAGACGAGGGAGAAACGAAGCATTAAACAGGAGCGGAGGAAGAAATACGGGCATCCCCTACCCAATTACGGGCGTAATTGCCTCTGCCCTGCCCATAAATGCAATGCCGAGCCAAAACCATGAGAATGCCTTCGAAGATCAAATTACGAGCAAGAGCAAAATGAACTACGGTATTTCACAAATACTGGCAGTAATTGGGTAATTACGATCGTAATTCCCCTCATTAGAGTTAAGTGAAACGCGCGTTTTGGGCGAAATACGCGCTGACCTTGTTTACGACCGTAATTCAGACCGTATTTTGCCCTGAATCGGGTTTTTGAGGTAGATTCGAGCCAAAGGAGAGGGAGTCGTCTTTTTGGAGCAAAAACCGAGTTTTAGAGAGAGAAAGTGCGAAGAACAAACCCTAGGAGCTATTTTGAGTGGATTTCTCACCATTAAAGCCCATATTGCATCCCCAGGAGTGAAGATCATCATCCAGGAGCATATTGTCCTCATCTTTATGAGTATGACTACTCTGATTACTATTTTCCTCTCTCTCTCTATGGAGTATAACTTTCTCTCACTTGGGTATGAAGTACCCTAGTTCCATGTGTTAGGGATCTTGATTGTAATGACTTGGGATTGTTATACTGATTGATTTTAATCGATTGATGCATGATTTATTGAGTCAATTAAAGTCTGATCATCTTTTCTTGATTTCTGCTGCAACCTGAGATAGATAGAATCTGATTAGGTTGTTAGAGCTTTATCAATAGGTAGTGGTAGATTGATTATACTAGAGTTAATCGATTTACTGCTTTGTACTGGAATCCAATTCCAGTAGTGGAGTTCTGCGTTCACAGCCTCAGCTTTCTATCCCGGTGAAGACTAGTCGTCTGTCGGGTAGTTGGACTGAGAGAGCTTGGTCAGCTTAAGAGATTCCAAGCTACTGTCGGATCTTCCGCAGTTTAATCAACAGTTAATCAACCCAGGGTAATTACAACTGTGACCTAACTGAGGAGCTAGGGGGACTCATTCCCGAGTGACTCTTCCCTTGCTTTAGAAAACCGAACCATTTCCTACTTTCTTACTGCTTTTAGTTAAAATTACAATCACTCGACTTAGTTTGCTAGATAATAGATATTCACGGAGTAGGCAGTAGATCTAGACCCCGGGTTGACAAATAGAGCTTGCCTGTTACTGCATTTACGAACTGCGATTACACTTGGTCGCAGTTTGGTGTTGTGTTTTAGCGTGTCTTGACTAATTTGACACTTATGGCCTAGACACGAAGATTACATCTATACATATGCTAATTGCTCTAACCGCCACATACGCTCTCAAAATCCATCAAATGGATGTGAAAATACATTTCCAAATGGTAGCCTAGAGGGAGAAATATACATGAAACAACCTATCGGGTTCATTATCCCTAGATAAGAACATAAAGAGTGTAGATTGATGAAGTCTCTATATGAAGTTAAACAAGAACCCAAACAATGACATGATAAATTTGAGGTAGTAACTTTGTCACATGGTTTTTGGTCATTGAATTTAATAAATGTGTATACATAGAAAAATCCACTCCTAACGAAGTCATTGTTTGATTATATTTCAATCCCATTATTAATAATGAGTAACAATATTATTACCATAGAGGCTACAAAATAAATGATATCAAGATATTTTGCCATGAAGACCTAGGTGAGGTTGACTTTACTCTAGGATTATATGTTACAAAATGGATGGTTAGAAATGTTTGATGTGGTATTCAAAAATCATTGTAAATCTTAATAAATTCTTTATAAATGTTATAAATGGATGGTTTCAAATTTAATAAATACTCTACCACTCTAATTGTTGATTCTTGACTTCTCAAATGCCTAAATCATCGAGTTTTCTTTTCGCTCACAACCTTAAGGATTAATTCAATTTAAATATACAGTATACCGTGACTTTTACATATATTAAAACTCTACTACCCTAACTGTTAGTTTCGACTTTTAAAATCTCTATATCATCAAGTTTCTTCTTTGCTCTCAATCTTTAAAATGATAATTGTGTTTCGAATCTTTTTTTTTAAATATGAAAATACGTCAAGATCTTTCCAAAATTTAAACGACGTTATCTTACATTTTTCTTAATATTGAAATTTCGACTACGCCACTACCAACGCTTATGTCCAATAAGCACCGGGGTAGTCGCCAGCATAGTCATGGACCTCAGTTACCCTATCCATGGACCAGCCTCGAACTAGGGATGGCAATGGGTCGGGTTGGGGCGCGTTTTGTCAAACCCAAACCCAAACCCATGGGTTTATCCACCAAAAAAACCCGGGGTAAAACCCGTTGGGTTTGAAAAACTCAAACCCAACCCGCTGGATATCCGCGGGTTCATGGGTACCCGTGGGTTTTTGTGGTAAAAATTTACAATAACAAGTTTCTTTCAAAATAAAATTTAACATCAATGTTCTCATACAAATTAATCATACAAAAAACACCAATCTAGAGCATACAAGCAAACCGCAAATGATCAATACAAATTGTTCAAAATTAAAGATAAACATATATAAACAATAAGATTAATTGAAAGTTTCTTCCTCGTCAACTAAGTTTCTTCACTCTCCACTTCATAATATCAACTTCACTCTAAACAATTAGAAGGAACAAATTATACATGTCTCCGCAAACATATAGAATATTAGTTATTTAAGGAAGATATATTATTTAGAATATTAAATATACTAGGAAAATAATTATATGTGTGTGGGCGGGTACCCATGGGGCGGGTTTATCTAAACCCAAACCCGACCCGGTGAATAGTGTAGCGGGTTTAAACTCAAACCCGGCCCAAAACCCGTCAACACGGGTTTTACCCGCGTTGACCGGGTTGGATCGGATGGATACCCGTGGGTTCGGATTTTGTTGCCATCCCTACCTCGAACCCTATTTCTCTGGCCTGCCTGATTACATATAAGGGAGCTTCCACCAAAACCGTCGTGTATAGGCTTTCCTGCCCTTCTTCTTTATTAAATAACCATGTCCATACCTCGGCTTCAATGGCTGATTAGCTGTCCGTTCTGATCTGTTCTCAGATTGTGTTTATGAATTCAGACCATAATCTTTGGCTGCATCTCCATCATGAAATGATTTTTATTCACAGTGTGTTGGGAGTATCAAAAGCAGGTCAGATCCCTCTGCCTGCATTTATCAACTTTTTTGTGCCACCACTGTGACTGTGATCTGTTCTCAGATCTAACTTATTGCAACGTTAACCTCTTAACTTAATTAACTTCTTGCACCTCTGAAATGTATCGAAAACTTGACCTCGATCAGCAAACTCATCTCCTGGTTCGAGTTAAACAAATGAAACAACTTCTGTCACTTTTATTAATCAAATCTCACCCATGGGGTTGGTTGGTTATACAGTAAACAATTCAATGGTTTCAGCTATTAAAAGAAGACTAGAACAAATTACAGTATGTGTAAAATTAAAACCCATGTTTTCTGGGAGAATGTCTTGCGTGTAATTTATTTACATTCAGGTGGTTGGACCTTGTACCTAGACTTATCAGCACAGTAAGAGTAAAACATGAGCTTCCTCCTCGCCCAGTCCATCGCCAAACTCTGCTCCTTCGACAAACTGACGAATTCCGATCCATCGACAGGGTCCAAGCTCGAAGGATTGCCGGTGCCAGCAGCCTTTTTGGTACAGGAAGTTGGATTTGGTATGCAGCCAGTCAGTTCTGCATCACCAATTGAAACCACAAATGGCGCATAGCTGTAGTTAACTGGGTATTTCCCTCCATGTGTTGCCCATTCTGACCCATCCCATATTGTTGCATAAACGCTCATGGGTTTTGACGGGTAGACCGATGGGTATGCGCTGCTGTACTGGAACTCTCTCACCGGTACACTATCCACCAGAAACCTGCAACCAAAGAAGATGGAAGATGGAGCTAAGAAGATGGGTTGAAGAAAGGTTGGAAATTGAGATCATGTAACATGATTAGTTTCCCGAGAACTTACACTATGTGGTGGCTGTTCCAAATGATGGTGTAATTGTGGTAGTCCTGAGTTGGGTCGAACCAGAAGTTGAATTTCTCTTCCCTGCCAGTGTTCACACTCCCATTTGCGTACACATTCGTCTGCAAGTTCCAGTCGTTCCTCTTGTCGTGTCCAAGGATCTCGATGTCGATCTCATCGTGGTTGTTAGGGTAAGTTTCAGCATTAGACAACTGCAATAAAGCAAATCAAAACAGAAACAACATTTCCATCCATCGTTATAATGTCTCTCAGCAGAGGAAAACAGGACAAAAAAGGGCAGAGGAGACTTACATAGAAGGCCACCACAACTCCAGGGGAAAGACCAGAAGGCAGTTTGATTGCAGCACTGAAGAATCCATAGTAGTATTTGTTCTTCGAGGCCAATCCAGCCCCTGCAAATATTATTGAAGAAGAGAAAGAAACCCATGAGAAACTTTTTCTCACGAACTTCGTCAAGCTTGCAACTTCCTCTGCGCATAAATATACCTGAAGTTTTGTCGAGAGAAAGAGTGGCAAAGGACCCATTGTTGAACTGCTTAATGTTCTGGCCGCCGTAGTAAGTGTTGAAACCCTGGTTGATTGTGAGGCGGCCAAAGAGATCAGTCAGCCGCCTAACGTTTGGGGGAGTGTACGGCCTGTTACGCGAAGAAGAAACCCCTGCTGCCAGGGAAAGAAAAAGGAGACTCAGCAGCAGCATGTTTTCTCGAGGAAAGCTGGCCATGGCGTTATTATCTGTTTTGTGTTTTTGAGGGATCGGCTTGTGATTGGTTATATACTGCGGCTGGGGAAAAAAGGAAAGAAATGAGAAGAGAGGCGTAGAGGTGGGATTTCAGAGAGGTTGTTGTTTTTGCTTAGTTGTTAAATAGCTGGCTGCCTCATTCATTCTTTTTTTGTTCCTAGGAAGGATATCTCTCCAAATCTGGTGGCTGTTTTCTTGTTATGGAAACATTGAAAAAGGGTCGTGTGTGGGGTTGGGGGTGTGCTTTAGGATCTGTAGCAAAGGCTTGTGGGCCTTGGCTAAGACTAAGAGTAAGACATAACCACGAAGGAGTAGGGTCGTAGGCTTGTGGTATCTTTAGCCGAATTTGAACCTAAACCAAATCGGAGTAAAGTCTTAAAAGTTGATCGAATTCAAATCAAATTGTGATTTGGATTGCCCTCTCTCGAACTGAATTGTCATTTTATGTAGTTTTACGAAAGGATTCGAAATATGCTTGTATTGCAGAAATTTATGGGAGTGAACTTTTAGCCTTGAGGTGGAATATTGGGTTTGAGAGTTAGGAATATTAGGTTTGGGGAACTCTATCTTGGTCCCATTGTTTATTTCGATTTGAAGCAGAACGAACTGAATATTGAGTATCGGTCAAGGAGGAGCCAAATTCAAACTTAGAGGATTGCATTAGTTTTGTAGGCCAATATCTTTTTCAATCTGTCAAATTTGATTCGGGTTTCTTGAACTCGATGGCGTCCCTACCAATAAGTTCATGACGTCCTACATGAACCTTGTCGATTTGGTAGTCTTATTCCGCTGAGAGAAGCTTGAACTAGTATACAAAATAAGACAAAAACAAGTACCCTAAGAATATGAAGTAGTGGTAAATAAATTTGTTTTCATGATTGTCGAGACAAGATTTCTCACAATTTTACACACACACAAAAATTATGTTTTCTTAGTACAAAAGAGTTGTATCTCCATAATATTCCTTTTATTAATTATCCATCTTATTTATGTATTATTGAAAAATACTGGATAATTAATTAGAAATTTCATTATAGCTTTTCAAAGCTATTCATCCCAACATGTAACGCCATAAATCATGATAGATGAAAAAGTCACAGACACTGAAACAACCACCCTCACATCGACAAAATTTAACGCACTCCAACTTTCCAAATTGTCATAATATTTGACTTAAAATACCTTGAGAGAAATAATTGATTGAAGGTTATTATTATATTATATTTGAATATGGACTTTCTACATATCAGTTTTAGTTCTTCACCACATGGATTTCTCCCTATGGTTAAGCATACCCAACGAGTTCTTCTCTTGTTGTTTGGTCTGACCATATGGATAATTAGTTTCAGGGGTGGAACCAGGAATTGACTTTTGAGGGGCCGGATTTCTTTGTCTATCACCGTTAAAAATGCGTTACAAAGGAATTTTTTTAATATTACTATAGTTGTACTTTTAGAGATGATTAAAGTCACTAAAATAAAATCTAAATACGAATTTCGAGCAAAGAAAGAATCACATTAATACATTATTTTCATATGGTGTAATTCATCCTATTTTTATTATTGAAAATTAATATATTTTTATATCAGCATTTGAATAACAATGTATTCATTATCTGTTCAAAGCTATACTCAAAATTAATAATTTGAAAAATTATTTGATATAATTTTTTATTAAAGTACTTGACAAAAAAATATGAATTTTTTTAATTTTGTGCAGGGATTTCAAAGGAAGATATGCAATCTATTTCTGCTTTTACAGAATTTCCTCTTAACAGTCTTCTTGTCAAATATTTAGGAGTGACACTCATAACTGGGAAGCTAAGTAGGGAAATACAAATGATCTCTATTGTAATTGCTAGCACACTACAGTACTGGCTCAATATTTTTCTTCTGCCTCAGTTTATCGTCAAGGAGGTTGAGGGATTATGTAATGAATTCCTAGGGGATTCTGTTGAGAATGGTGTCAGAAAGAGAGCTGTAATGGCATGAGACAAGCTGACATTACCAAGGAAGGTCTGGGAATTCAAAACTTCAGCCTGTGGAATAAGGCCTATGTTCTGCGACACATATGGGAAATTCTAACATAAGGAGGATCGTTATGGGTGGCGTGGGTTACAAGATATAGATTGAAGCATAAAACCATCTGGGAAATCTCTCGTACTTCTGCTGGAACTTGGATTTGGAAGAGGTTTCTGAAATGCAGAGACCTTGCTTATCCTCATATCTCTGGCATCGCTCCTCGTGTCCTATGGCAGGGAGAGCAGATACAAAAATACTCAGTTACCAAGGTCTGTGATACTATTCGAGCTCATTCATAGGAAGTTAATTGGTGGGAGCTTGTGTGGGCATACCTCGGCATGGTTTTATACTTTGGCTAGGAATGCGTGATAAGCTTGTTACCCATGATAAGCTGCTAACTTGGTGTAAATCAGTGACGGGAATGTGTCTGCTATGTCCAGGAGGGATTGAGAATCATCTTCTGGTCTCTTGTTCTTACACTGTGTGTTACAACAAAGCTTAAAGTGTCTGTCCCCACCAACTACAGGGGACTGGGAAAGCGTGATATCTTGGTGTGTGCAGAAGTGGCAACTGAGGAAGCCAAGACAGAGCTTATGCAGGTTGATATGGAGCTCGCCTGTTAGTCATGTTTTACGGGAACAGTGCACCAGGATGTATGGGACGGAGATAATTAAGGCACTGTGGGAGTTAGTGAAGGTGATAAATACAGAAGTGTTATATCGAGTTTCTGGAGACCCTGCTCTTCACTCTGAGTTGGAACAGATTGATAGGTTATAGAAGATAGTATAACATAGTACTACTCGTATTACACATACTCTAATACCATCCCCAAATTGATGGTAATTACTTACCAACAATTTGAAAACCGAAACAAAACCGACACAAATTACTTCGAACAATGAGAAGAAGAAAAAAAAACATAACTGCTCCACCAAATATGCCGATGTTGATGAAGACCATGTCCCATGCCTCGCGAAATGTTAATGATGATAAGCTTGAGACAACAAAAGTTCTTGTTGAAGTCGTCTAGTCCGCCTCCAACAAAATAAGTGATCAGTACTCGTCACCGGTTCACACAGAAGGAAATGGCAAAACCAATTGACGATCAAGAAGAAAGATACTCTGTAAGAAATAGCAGTAATTAGGAAACTTTGTAGTCACGAAAACACAACTACGTGCTCTGAATAACAACATAGCAATCAAGATGCTACGAATAGCATCATCGAAACAAAAACAGAACCACGTGCTCCAAGCAGCAACATGGCGATTAGGATGCTCTCAATAACATCATAGAAACGAAAACAAACTAGAAATGCTCCAAACAGCATTTATCAAACACAGATGTTCCAAACAACAACATCAAACTAAGGTGCTTCGAACAACACCTCCAAAACAGAAACAAAGAAACCAAAGGGACGAAACCTATGGTTGTACCAAACCGAGACAGGCTTGAAAGACTCCAGCCGAAAAACCTTTGCAATCTACATCATAATCAATTAACATTGTAACCAGTAAAATATATCCAACAAAACCCCATTATCAAGATCCACAATCCAGAAAAACTTTCACTTTTGGACGAAGTAGAACGAATAGCCATCAATCCAAAAAAAAGTCCAAATAGAAAATTTATACCACGTTGACAAAGAGATACCCAAAAATTTCTATCGTTACTCCAATAACAATAACCAACAGTTGCCCCAAATAACTCCAATATCAAACAAAGCCAAAATCTCAGGATGAATTACAAAGATTTAAAAAGATATCAATTTTCAATAATAAAAATAGGATGAATTACACCATATTAAAATGTAGTATTAATGTGATTCTTTCTTTGCTCGAAATTTGTATTTAGATTTTATTTTGAGTGCCTTTAATCATCTCTAAAGTACAACTATAATAATATTAAAAAAAAATATTTGTAACGCATTTTTACGATAATAGACAAAGGAATCCCCCCCCCCCCCCCCAAGTCAATTCCTGGTCCCGGCCCTGTGTGCAGACTCGACGAAAGCAAAGCCGGATACACGTCGAAGACTCAATATGCGACAACAACTTCACAAATGACTCTTGGCAGGGACGATTGCGTAATTTTCAATTCCTTTCGATAAGATACAGGGCAAGACTGAGCAACAAGGAGATGGAGGACAATAATGAGATCGATGGTGGAGGAAGAAATTACTAGCGGTCGGGTGATTGAGCAATGGAGACTGAACGATAGATGGGATCTAAGAATTAATTATAACGCTTGAGAGATATGGATGAACCAAAGCAAATGAATCTAGAACATAGGTGTAGCACATATTAGGTGTGTTCATGTATTTAAAATACCAAAATCGTATCATATTCATACCCATTACCCATCATGTTGAGTTTGAGAGAAATATGCCCAAAAATAATATTGGTTAAATTTTCGCAATTAAATGGATTCAAGGTCGATTGAATAACAATGGTGATCAGAGGCGGAGGGAGAGGTTTAGAGGGTTTCCGAGATCCACCTTGGATCGGGAGAGAAAATGATAAATTAGAGATAATAGTTAATCGGGTATGAAAAATAATATGTATTTAAATGAGAATGGTTGACCTTTCAAATATTTGATGTATGATTTATAAGTTGTGTATTGACATATTTAATTTGTTAGAACGAGCTATGTACAAATGACAATGGTGCATATGATCCACCCAAATCATAGCTAATTTGTAAAAAAAAAATATTTCAATCATGGGTAGAGAGAGAGAGAGAGTGTAACGGGTGGCTCCTAAGGACGAAAATGAGTAAATTAGTATAATAGTTAATCGAGAATGAAATTTAGGGCTATTCTTATTGAGAATGATTGACCGAGAGATCAGGTGTTCCAATCTTGGCGGCCCCATTTGTTAAGCACATGATATTCCGATTTGCGACAAACTTTAAACATGTATAATTAGTTGGTTTTAGTTGGCGGAAAATTGTTAGTGAATACTAAATAGTATAAGATCTATTATTAATTTTCTCTCAACATCTCGAGTTATTAATATTTAATACTAAACGGTCTTGACAAAGAACAACATTCAAAAGCAAATTTCTAACTAAATCATGAATAATTGTTTGACACATATAAGTAATATCTTGATAGTTTTGATGCATATTTAATCAATTAAATTTTTTGTAAATACAAAATTATATCATGAATTATTTAAAAAACTTATAAAACTATTTTATCGTATGTATTTTTTTTTCTTTTTCTAAATGGACCCACTATCAACAAAATTCTGGATATGCTAGATGAATTAATATTTTTGTCAATCTCTAATCATATTATGAGTTATCACACCCCGTGACTTGAGAGGTCAGGATTAATTACAATCAACCATTTAATTGGTGCTATGTCTTAATCCACGATTAATGAGGGCAGCAAGACAATGTTGCATTTGCATGTGGACGGGGAAAAGATGGGCAGTCGCAAGGCAAAATTAAATATATGATTGGATATTGCACAACTGGGATTGGCAATTAGCGCAGCTGGATCCATTAATTAAGATGTTTGTTTGAGATATGACGCAACTTTTCAACAAAAAAATTAGAAGAAACAAGACAACAAGTGATGTGGGTTTTGCATCAAATCAATATAATTAAAGTCACCGTGTGGACGTGTATGAGCAGAGGAAAGAGACCCTTTTGGTCGATACAATTGCAAACCACCCTTTTCAGTTCATCTTCTCCTAGCAACTTGAAGGATAACAACAACACAAAAGGTTGGAAAAGTGAGCAACTTGGGTAACGGTTTAAGGACTTGTGAGAGAATATAAGAGCTGTAAATGATGTGTTCCTAATTTGGACGAATCCTTCTGGTTAGATAGCATCATAGCAAGTGTATGCTCTTTTTTTTTTCTTACATTTTTTTAGATATAATTAATAGAAAGAAAGTGTCTGGGATATAGTTAATAGAAAAAGCGTCCGGGCTGTAATAATGTCTGAATCTAGGTTTCAGTACAACCCAAAATTAGAGGTTTTGATCAACTATTGAATGATCAAACCGAAACTTGATTAGTGTAACCAAACTCAACCCAACAAAGGTCATTAAGCAAAAGACGGGCCGCACTTAGTGTGTGGTATATGATCTACGATTGAACCTCTCCCAATAACTCGAGTTATTGGGATCAACTGGTTCTTGACATGGTATCAGAGCCTTCTGTGATCGAGAGGTCTTGTGTTCGATTCCCGATGACCCTATTTGTTAAACACATGGTATTCAGACCTATGAAAACTTCAAACCCTTGTGAGTGACTTTCGTTTGAGGGGGCGAGTTAGTGTGTGGTACGGTTGTTCCAGCCAAATTTTGGTGAGCTAAGAAAAAAGTCCTCTAACTAAGACTCATTGCAAGGTTTGACGGCTTGCTCCACAAGTGAATTGACGAAGGCAGATAATGGAGAGTTGTTGATGGCGTCAGGATAAAAATGGAATAGAGTGTAATAGTTAGAACTAATTTTAATAAGTTAGGAGTATGATAGTAAAGAAATAGAAATAGAAGAACCAATTATGAATTTTCCAGATTTGGGTATAAATAATCTCGTCGATACTTTGCAACGGTAACAGCCTAATATAAACAAGATTTCCTCATTCTCTATCTCTCATCTTCTCTTCTTTCATTTCTGTTACAGACGAGAAGCTTCCCTTGCGACGCCAATAAAAAGCTTTTCAAGCTTCTGTCCGTGAAGACTCCATATCAATCTTGTTGGGAGGTTACATTAATGTGTGATGAACTAGCTGATTGATCTGGTAGGACGCTCTCCATGTGTTGCAGTATGAGGAAGGGATTCGTGTATATTGATGTTTAATATTTTCTTTTGATTCTATATACGAGTCCAGTAAGCGAGTACGACGAATTTTTTTCTCAAATACAAAAAATATTAATAATTTTTTTTACCACACCAAAAAAAGGCATAACATATTCTTCGAAATTGCCCCCTTGCACAACAGGTTTGGCAGAATCTTGGTGCCATTGATACACCACTGACTCATGGCTTGAACTTTGCATAATGGTTGACGACCAACTTGAAGAACACAAAAACGAGGGCTGTTGTTCGGAGTTGTTGTTTAGTATTTGTGGAATAGGAGGAATGATTGGGTCTTTGAGCACAAGTACCAGGAGGTCAAGATCCTTGCACACTGGATTCAGAGTTGGACATCGACTATCAGACATGCACAAATATGCAACAAGCATATACGTAACACGACAGCAGTGAAAATCAGGGAGGAGCTGGCTTGGCAGGCGCCTCCTTAGGATTGAATTGCAATTAACTCAGATGGGTCTGTATAGCAACCCAATTTGGCAGCAGCTGCGGGAGGTCTACTAGGAAAATGTATGGGAGCTTTTGTAGCTAACCTGGGCACCTGTACCATAACAAGGACAGAGATCATTGAAGCTATCACACGACTCCAAATGGCGTGGAACCAAGGTCATCGGAAAATACTTCTCAGGTTGGACTCCACTGCGGCAATTTCTATCTTGAGAGCTTAAGATAACAAGAGCATACTATATTACAACCTCCCTCGTCGATTTCATGAGCTCCGCAACGAAATTGGGAGGTTTGGATCTCTCATTCATACCGGGAGTGCAACAAAGCAGCAGACTACTTAGCCAACAAGGCCCACTCTTTTAGTTTAGAAACTTATCTCTTTTATATATTATATTCGCGTCTAAACTTTTGGATCCTGTATGACATTATGGGCATTGCCCAAGATCATTTTATTTAAGTAGCAGGCAAGGGCGCCCTTTTAGCGTCGCATTTTCTACAAAAAAGAGTATTTTTTAGCATTTGATGTATTGATTTATTTATATATCATTTTCAATACTCTTCCTTAATAAAATGCGTCAATATGTATTAATAAAAATTAATAGTAAAAATCAAAATCACTTATAGTAATAAAACCATTGTGGATAATAATAAAATTGCTACAATATAAATGCTTAACCACTAGTAATTTAAGTAGTAGTAATTTTGCACGTAGAACTGAAGAGAGGAGAGAGCAATTCCAAAATTTAATTTATTCATTAAATTTAATTTCTTGAATACCGAACAAGTCAATTACTAGTGTGAACCGTCAAATTCAACTTAAAAATAATTGAATGCAATTAGAAAAATTAATATGATGCTAACCCTTATAAAGTTAGCACTTTAACTATTCCACACTTCGGCGCTGACATACAAGGATAATTTTGATTAAGGCCAAGTGACTTTGGCGCTTAAATACTAGGATAATTTTGGTTGGCATGTTAGGTTTTAGCTATGTTGATGTTCGTGCGGTGGTAGTAATTGACTTGTTTAATATTCAACTAGGTTAACTCTTTGAATTTTACTTAACCTCCCATAAGAGAAGGGGTCCAGTTATGCAATGTAGTATGGGTAATCGTTTAGTTGGGCTAATTAAGTTGAGTTTAACGCATTATTCCAAAAAGAAAAAAGAGAGAATCAGTTCCCCGGGTTTGTCGGTATCTATGAGCGACGGAGTTTGCTGTCGCAAGACGGATTTTTCCTCGTATAAAAAAAAAGAGAGGGATAACTACAAGTTCAAAACAACTTTGAACAATTTTACTTTTAAATTTTGATAAGACATTGTTTATAAAAGTGAGGAATAATGAGCACCATTTGGGTCCTAAATATAACTAGCATACCAAAACTATATCAAGCCCCCAAAAGTAGTATTGGTTGGACTTTTCCTCGCAAAATTGATTTGGATTTAGTTGAACCCACAATCATGAGTTATTTTGCTATCTTTAACTGTACCATGTTGGCTCAAGTACGACCTAAATATCTAGGTACAATTAGAAGTTTTGGTTCTTAAAAGTTCATTGGAGGAAATAAGCAGTAGGAAAACTTGAAAATTTTAGTCTTAGTTGTAATGTAACTATGTAAGGATGAAAAATCAATTATTATTTTTTTTTTTGGTGAAGAAATAAATTAAACATTTGTTTCAATAAAATAAAATAAAAAATTTAAGGCGAACAAAAAAAATGGAAAAACAAGCAGGAGGCTGGCGTTGGGCCAAGAGGAAGGCTTTAACAAAGCCCAATTAACTTTTTCCTGTGAGGGCCAGCTGTTATACGTTGCTGGCAGAATAAATGAAGCCCAATACGCTATAAGGCCTCGATGATAGCCCAGCTACCGGAGCTGCCCGACCCATCATATTCCCCCGTTTCGTCCAAACCAAAGCTATTAAGAAAAGCAGAAGAGAATTATATATTAATTAACAAGTAATATAAATGGGTTAATATTTTCGTATGGTCTGAACTTTGGCCAAAATAAACATCCTGGCCAATCTTTTCGATCTATAACATTCTGGCCCGAACTATACACCAAAATAAACAATTTGGCCAAACTCGATGTTTGACCGTTAACTTGGACGGCCAATGGACGGTCAAACGCGTTGACTAACGGTCAACGCGCCACGTCACTGCCACGTCACTACCAAGTCAGAAGATCTGATAAATATTTAATTTTTTTCGTTTTTTATTTTTGGTTTAACTAAGGTATTAGATGATTTTTTTTAATTTATAATAATTTAAAATTAGGGAATGTGTGGAAATTGTGAATTATTTTATGCTGACTTGGCAGTGACATGGCGCGTTGACTAACGGTCAACACGTTTGACCGTTCAAGTTAACGGTCAAAAGTCGAATCTAGCCAAATTGTTTATTTTGGTGTATAGTTCGGACCAGGATGTTATAGATCGAAAAGATTGGCCAGAATATTTATTTTGGTCAAAGTTCAGACCATATAAAAATATTAACCCAATATAAATATATAATCCTAGAAAATGTTAATAACTAGTATATAGCCTTGACAATGCACGTACTCAGAAATCAGAATCCAATGCTAGGCCAACTAAGCTCCCGCCTCTCCTCTCATAATTGTCGGCTACTCAATTTCCCGTAACTTTCCCAGCCACAACCCAATTATTTCCCGCCACCTGTCCTCTTCATTTCAATCCTCCTTTTACCTGACATGGGCCCTTCCCCCGCTCCTTCCTACCTCACCGTCAGATCCGTCACAGTCGAATCATACTCCACCACCTGTCCACACGTAGCTTTCCCCTTCCCCCACTACTATATATAATAACGGTCACTTACCGTTCACTCCACCATCCAAAAAGACAAACGAACAAAATCTAAAATCCACTCCCCTCACAGAAAACCCATCTCCCAGATTCTTCTTCTTCACCCCCTTTTTTCTTCTTTTTGTCTTCATCTTCATGATCCACAAGCCCAACATCCCCACTCGCCGGATTCTGACCTTCCCGGCGGTTCACCCATGCGAAACCATAGCTCCGGCGACGCTCCTCGCTTCCCTCATCTGCCTATGCCGCTCCGCCTGCGACTACAGATCCAAGTCGTTCGGCAGCAGCAACGCGCGGAATGCGCGCCAAACCATTCGCCAGGTCGGTAACCTCCTCATCCTCCTCCAGGAAATCCGGTTCTCCGCCGTTCCCGACTCGATCCTCCTCGGCCTCTCGGAGCTCCACTTCACGCTCCAGAAGGTCGTGTACCTGCTCGACGACTGCACCCGCGACGACGGCGTCCGAATCTGGATGCTGATGGAGTCGGATCGGGTCGCCAATCATTTCCGGGTTCTCGTTCGCGAGATGGCTACGGCTCTGGAGGTCCTGCCGCTCGAGGCTCTCGATCTGCCGTGCGAGGCGATGGAGGTGGCCGAGTTGGTGACTAGGCAAGCGAGAGAGACGAGGTTCCGAGTCGGAGCGGAAGCCCAAGCAGCCATGGCTACTGTCTTGGCGATCTTGAGCCGGTTCGAGAGCGGCGAGGTCCCCGATCGCGGAGAGGTCAAGCGAGTCCTGGACTACATCGGGGTGAAGAAATGGAGCGACTGCTACAGGGAGGTAAACTTCTTGGACTCTGAGATTGAGTTTCACTATTCGAACAATAAGGAAATGAGAAGAGAATTGCAACTGCTGAGTAGCCTGCTAGGGTTCGCGAGTTACGCTAGGTGCGTGTTGTTCGATTCAGTCGACGGCAAATCCGATCCGCCCGTTCACTGCGAGGGTGAAAGCCGTGACGATGAGTTGCTGGGTTCCCTTGACGGGGACGATTTCCGCTGCCCGATTTCTCTTGAAATCATGAGGGATCCCGTCACTATCGAGACAGGGCATACTTACGAACGTTGCTCGATTCTGAAATGGTTCAGGGCTGGAAATGCAACCTGTCCCAACACAGGGAACAAGTTGTCAAGCACAGAGTTTGTACCCAACGTTGCTCTGAAGCAACTGATTCAGCGCTATTGCCTTGCAAATGGCATCCCATTTGTTGATTCCAGTCGCAAGGCCCGGGACATAACCAGAACGGCTGCTGCTGGGAGTTTGGCTGCTGAATTTGCTATGAAAGCTGCAGCTAGATTTCTGGCCGATAAGCTCCTTGGTGGGGATTATAAATGGAGGAACAGATCAGCTTATGAGATCAGGCTTCTCAGCAAAACAAGCATCTTTAACAGGTCTTGTTTGGTGGAAGCCGGAGTTATTCCTGCTCTCTTGGAATTGCTGTCTTCAGAAGAAGACGACGGTTCTTGTCAGGAGAATGCCATTGCAGCCCTTCTGAATCTCTCAAAGCATTCGAGAAGCAAGGCTTTGATTGCTGAGAATGGTGGGTTGAGATTCATTGTAGATATGCTGAAGAAGGGAGTGAAGGTGGAGGCAGCTAGGCAGCATGCAGCTGCAACACTCTTCTATCTCTCTTCAGTAGAGGAGTACAGGAAATTGATTGGTGAAACCACAGAAGCTATCTCGTATTTGGTAGAGATGGTCAAAGAAGCAAACTACAGGGGGGAAAAGAATGCTCTTGTTGCAATCTATGGGCTGCTGATGCATTCAGGAAACCAATGGAGGGTTCTTGCATCTGGAGCAGTTCCTTTACTTCTCGATGTCTTGATCTCTTCAGACAGACACGAGCTTGTGACGGATTCTTTAGCAGTTCTGGCAACACTAGCAGAGAAACCTGAGGGGGCAAAAGCGATTATTAGATGCGGAGCTTTGCCTCAGGTTGTGCGGATTTTGGCTGCTGCCAATCCAAGCGCCACAATGGAGCATTGTGTCTGCCTGTTGCTTGCTATATCCATCAATGGTGGTGAAGATGTGGTGGCTTATCTGGTTCGTAGCCCTTCTCTGATGGGTTCATTATATTCCCAACTCAGCGAAGGCACATCTCGAGCAAGCAAGAAAGCTGGTGCTCTCATTAAGGTTCTTCATGAATTCTATGAAAGAACCTCCTCCACTTCGAAAGCAACCGTTCTTCCTCGGGAACGATTTGTTCATGCGTGGTAAACCCAAAGCCATTTTTATCATTTGGGTATTCCACATTTTTCATTCTTTTCATTTCATTTGCAAGCATCTGCCCACTGTATATACACTGAAATCGTGTAGAGGATGCTTGCCTCCTTTGTTTTTGTTGACATTAGCTCGGGTTTTTGAAGAGCTACCAACATCACATTGTCATGGCTTCTACATTTTTAAAATGAAGCTTTGTACAAAAATACACATCTATTCTGTTGTAATTCTTTTCCTGCGTTGTATATGAAATGATACTGTAGTAACTTAGTGTTGTAGAAGTGTAATGATGTACTACAGATTTTCATATTTGATACACAAGCAAGGCCTTCTGGTCAGCTTGATTGGATTTGTTCACCCTTTAGTCATCTTGACGATCTCATTGAGAAGTCTAGTACTTTCTTGAATTTGATATAAACAAGGCCTTTTGGGTTAGCTTGATTGGGAGTGTTCACGCTTCTTCAGCTCGACGATCTCATAGAGATGTCAAGTGCTTTCTCTAATCTTGTCACCACCATCTCCATTGTTGGTCTGTCCTTCTTACCACCTGAGCATGACAGGGCCAGCTTGAATAAAATCTCAAACGCTTCAGTAGAATACTCCCCGTTGAGTTTAGGATCAGCAAATTCTGCGATATTCCCTGATGTGGCTATGTACGAGGCCTGCAAAAAAGTTTTTAAGTGAAGAAAATCAGACCTGAAAGCTTTATTTGCACTTGTGTATAGATGAAATCCAGATGGACATTAGATGGATAGCTGATTTCTTCTGCTGCTGCACCTTTTTGTTGAGCTGCATATGTGTGTTATGATTCATGTTGATCACCTTCTGTCCAGATAGAATTTGCATCAACACTATCCCAAAACTATAGACATCCCCCTTAGCATTGACATGATGGTTCCTCTGATACTCGGGATCCACATAACCAAACGTTCCCCGCACTTCTGAACTCACAAACGACTGTCCCAAGTTCATAACCTTGGAAAGCCCGAAATCCGACAGCTTTGCTTGGAAATTGGAATCAAGAAGAATGTTGGTGGGCTGTCCGATTATCAGGAACAAAAAAACGCAATGAGGAAATGAACTGAAACGATGAACTAGTCTATGAAGAGCCAAAAACAAAAAGAAAAGAGGGCATGCCTTGATATCGCGATGAACAATGCAGCCTCCAGGGTAAGTGTGAAGGAACCAGAGACCTCTAGCACAGTCAATTGCAATCTCAATCCTCTGTAGCCACGAAAGGGTCCGCTCTTTGCCTGTCGGAATATGCAACTGTCAGTGAGAGGGAAAAGCCAGCAAAAATTTCAGTCTTCCTTGGAAGTGAAAGAATGAGTCTTACTGTAGAGCCATTCTGATAAATTGCCATTTTCGCAGAGCTCGTAAACCAGGAAGTACTCATCTTCATGCTTGCAACATCCAGTTAAAGCTACGAGGTTAGGATGTTTGACATGAGAAAGACTGGTGACCTCTCTCACAAAGGTCTCTACATGGCCATCACTCACTATGTGCTTCACTGCAACCGCTTGCCCATCCGACAATTTCCCTTTGTAAACCTTTCCTGCACAAGTTGTTACAATACAAATTTCAGCAACCCAACCCAACCCAAATGAGCAAACACCATTTACCAGTAAGAGAAATGTGTGTGATCCAGATACCGGCTATCCCTTGGCCGATGAAGTTTGATTCAGTGAGATGATTTGTTGCCGAGTAAATCTCCTTTATCGATATCTTGAGATTGTTAGGCTGCTTGAAGTTCAGATTTTTTTGTGATGCTGGTGCAAAACAAAATCTCCCACCACATAAGAAATTATATAAAAAACCACCACCTTCCAGCTGCACCTAAGTTTTGTTGATATCTTACCAGTACGCAAGGAACCAGATTCAGCCGGTGATCGTGTTTGCTGAGACTTCCTTCTGCTCATGATCCATAGCAGCAACACGAGGATCGCTGCCACTCCCCCAACGCTAAGGCTCACGATCAGGATTTCTGCAACAGAATATATAACACTTGCACAGTCTGAGTCCCAACTAACCACATTTCTGCAGGAAAAAAAAAATTGCAGAATCAAGTTGATCAGTCACTCACCCCTGATAATCTTGCTACCGATTCGACGCCCTCCTTGGCTCGCTTTGCTGCCAGCTGCTGCGAGAAAGGATCATGAATCACAGCAAACAAAGTCAGTATTACTGTTTGGAAAGCCTTTCAGTTCAAAGTCTGAAGCTATACAGATGGAGTAAGATCCGGACAATCCAGTTGTTTATGTATCATTACCTTGAGAAAGGCAGTCATAGAGTGGCTGAACTTGGTCTCTCGAACCAGCCCAGTTGCTGGTCAATGTGACCATAACTGCAAACCTGCATAGCTCAGTTTCAGAGCTCGACCCATGGTCCAACGACTCCCGAATCTCCTCCCACTTCGCAGAACATCTGCTGCAGTGCTGACTGGAAGCATCCTCGGTGAAATTGCAGCCCTGATCAAGTGATTCCAGCTGGGGTTTCAGCTTGTCAGCAACATCAGCCACTGTAAAGCTTGAACAGCCGCTAGCTCCGCGGGTGAGCTTGTCGAAGCCACAGCTGGTTCCGGTCAGGCAGCGGCTCTGGTCCGTGGAATTCAAGAATACCTGACCCGACTGAGAAGCCCACCGGGCCAATCCGAACAAGTAGTCGTCGAAAGCAGGTGTGCAGCAATCATCACCGCCGTCGATGAAGCCTCCCCAGTTGCCGGCCTGACGCCGGCGATCACCATCGCAGCTGGTATCGTCAGCGGGGGGTTGGATGTCGAGAATGCAACTACTTCCATCGGATTCCTGAGCGGAAACGCTATCTGGGTTGTCGGAGATATGGAGGAAGACGATTGCGAGCAAGACCGTAGAGGCGAAAAAGCTTCGGCGATGGCGAAGCTTCATGTGGAGAGAAAGAACACTGTAGATTCCGGAATTGGGAGAAGAAAGGGGGAGTAAGATTATTATACTAAACAATGAATTGGGGCTTTGATTGCTTCTCTTGTTGCAGCCTGGAAACTTTTATTGTATAAAAATGGGATCAACAATGTGCAGAGTTTTTCTATGCAACCGGCGGCAATTGGAGGAACGGATGCAAAGAACAAAACGATTTTACAAGTTTTATTATCGTGAGCGCTGGATCTTTGCCGAATGGAGTAATGGGATACAACCAAACCATTTCCATTTCCACACTTCATTTTCTACAGTTGGTTCAACTTTCACAGTCAAGGAGATGGTTTTCATTATTATTGTCTTTACCGATCTTTCACGATATTACCAATGTCAAGTGTTCCATGATCATTGACGCATGATCTATGATTGTTTTTCAATTCTTGACACAAAAATCTGTCATTTTGACATCTCAAAGATGATCTTATTAGAATTTATTATGGTGTTCATGATCAATATGTGAAAATGTGTTCACAGAGGTATGTGACTGATTGATCGGATGTTTAAATTTTTTTCGATTGTTTGATGAATACAACGAAAGTTTTGTAATTCTTTTGTTTTCAGGAACAACTTCAATTTTCGTGACAAAATGAGTAATAAACTATCACTACATCCATTCAATGACCACAAAGTACGTCGTCATATACCATTCGATGAATAGGCACTTTATAAACATATTCTTACAAATATCTTATGAACATCAAAATCAAATGAAAAAGATCGACGTGTTTAAACTTTCCTCTTGTATGATAACCATGTTCGCTCAAATTAAATTGCAATTACCATATATTTTCTTTGGGTTATAGGTATAATATGCCTCTCTACTATGATGTTCTATCAAACATCCCCTTATACTATTTTTTACATCAAACATGCCCCTGTACTTTGTAAAAATGACCAAACATGCCCTTTTGTTTAAATTTTCATCCAAAAACCGTTAACCAAGGTCGAACTTTGGTTTGGGCGGTACAAATGTCTAAAATATCCCTAATAATTTCACTTTAGAATTTTTTTTTCTTTTGTATAGCCAAATAATTCAAATAATTTGACTTTGAAGAGACCCAGAGAAATAAAACGGGAGAAAAAACTGACATTTTCGCTCTCATTTGCCGAATTCGAGTCGTCTAAATCTCGGTTCAACCATGATTGACGATTTTATCAATGGAAATCTTAACAGAAGGGCAATGTTTGATAAACTTTTCAAAATACAAAGCATGTTTGATGTAAAAAATAGTAGAAGGGCATGTTTGATAAAACGTCATAGATGAGGGACATATTATACCTATAACCCATTTCCTTTTCACTCTCCAACAGAGACAAATTTGAGGTGGACTCCGTCAATTTTATTTACTAATTAGAATATGGATTCGATGAGTTCACTGCTTTGTGCCATGTAAATATTAAACTTATATGACAAATTTTTTTTAGTAAACTTGAATAAGAAAATGGGGTTGGCCGCCGGTTAATAATTGACCGCAAGGACAAGGGGGGAAACAAACAAGGTATAGATGGACGGTCATTTGAAGTTAGGATTTTTTTCCTACGTACACTAGTTTAAAAAATATTCTCAATATACAATAGTTATTACAAAATTTCTCATTATACACATGTTTTTATTTGATCGCTTAGGACAAGTGAACTACAATAAAATTGTTGGGGAATGGGGATGAAAGCAATCAAAGGCAAATCCCATCTCTGTAAATCAATAAAAAAATCTTGTAAAGGGACATCAATTTGCTCTTTAATTGCGTGTGAAGGAAGCCATAAAATCACATCGCTTTTGTCATAAGCGATCAAGCAAACTCGCTTTTGTTTTCAACGCTTTCATTCCCTCATTCTGACTATAAGATATGTATAAGTTTGTTTAGTATGCTCATGTTTAAGTAGTTATGTGTTTGTGGTTCACTTATTATGGTTGGTGCAAATTATGCTAAATATTTGGATTAAAACTGAATGTATGATGGATTATTGTTTTGGATGTTGTATTTGATCATTACATATGATTTTGGATGATGTTTTTTAGTATACTAATGTCAAAGTAGTTATGTCATATGTGTTTCTCTTATTATAGTTAGTGTTAATTATGCTAAATATTTGGATTAAAGCTGATTGTATGATGGATTATGGTTTTGGATGTTGCATGTGATTGTTAGTCATTCTAAATTGCATACATGGGTAGATTTTGAAAGTTCCTGCTTCTTATTTGGTGGAATGGTCGGGTGAAAATTTTCCATAAATAAGGGATTCGATTATGAAGATAGTGAATCCAGTAGGTTGAAGATTGAGACCATATTCACGTGGCAAAACTCTAAGACATTTGTGCAGACCGAATTTGCATGGGGGCAGACAAGAGTTTGTAAAATTACTTACTGATATCCAAACATCAGTCGAGGCGGTGTCATGTTCGAAGAAGTTGTCATATCCGACAATAATGGGGTTAACATGATGTTGCGCTTCCTAGCTGAAAACAAAATCGGGCTTTGTTGTGGTGTATGTTGAGATCGAGGATATCGGTCAGGGTGGAGTCAGTTATGGCCATTATGACGGTAAAACCTCTTTTGTGGAAGATGAGAATAAGTGAGGTGCCTCTATGGACGATGAAAAGAAGTGATTCCTATGTAAAAAGTGCACAAAGTAAATTTTACATCAATGTTTTAAAATAGTTGAAAAATATGATTTTGATGGTTGAGCTTGCCTACCAGGTTGTTGTTTCAACTCGCATGGGATTGATGTGTTGCTTGCTCGATTAAATACTTCACATCCTTATGGCCGGGTTGGATATACAAAATCATAAATATCCGCCACCCTTTATCATTAAATACAAGAAAAATAATTTTATTTGATTTGTACACAAATTATGAAAATACAAATTGTTTAAATATAAGGAAAACTTTTTTTTGTGTAGAAGGTCGGGTTTAGCAGCAACTACAGAGCATACTAAGAATTGCTTGATTTCTAGTGTTTTGAGGAAAAATCATCAGTATTCCAAAAAATAAATAACGACTCAATCATGGTTAAACTACTAAGACACTATTGGTCTTATAGCGTCTCACCAATGATTCACGTTGATAATGAGCAAAAATATCAAATATATGACAAATTTAGTGAACGATAAATCCTAGAATGAAAAGCAAGTAGGTACCCTAATAGCCTCTTCGCCCATTTTTGGCGGAAGGCGATGATGGCGAAAATTGAGTTATAATCCTAGGATGTCCTGGATTTGTATTCCACAATGTCTTCTAGTGCATAACTACTCACACTAAACTATCTATTATACACAAAATAGACAAGCATCTTTAGGGGTTTCATTCAAATAACAAGCAATGGGAAGTAAAGCAAAGAAATGTAAGTTGCTTAGGGGGTTTTTGAGTTATAGATGCATAGAAGTAAAAATACGTTATTGTATAAGAAGGTAAATCTCGAGTATCATCATGCATACTAAAGGTCAATCATATCTGCATCAATGACTCATTTATATCATCACTCTATCTCTTCCACTAAAGTTATTCTCTACCCATGCACTCACCTCTTGCAATAGAGATTTAACTAGCTAATGCATGCTTACACTTCATGTCATCACCTAATTAATAAAGAACAAGTTAGGATAGCACTTGATTGGGTGTGGGCCTCTTAAGCCATAATAAATATCCTATATCATCGATTATGAAAAATTCCTGTCACAATCACAAGCTAAACAATTATTCTAAAAAAAAAAAATTCACACGAAGATCAAATTCAAGACCCGTCAAACCGCTCTGATGGGTCTCTCTAGCAAACGCGACAGTCCAAAACCAGACACTGAATCACCTCTCCTCCTTCCTACATCATCCACTTCACTGTAAGCTTCAGCTATCTCCTCCCATGGAACGCCTTCATCACTATGCGTCATGGCAACAAAGTTGCGATTATCTCTTTGATTACGACAAGGATGACAAACTTCTCGGCTACAGCAGTCGAGGTCATGATGATGATTGGTGGTGGTGCGATCGATGGTCAAACGTGAGCTGCGGTTAGCTCGACGGCGGCTGGTGATGATGCGACATGTGAGGAAGATAGAGTTACGGTTAGCTCCTTACCGATCAAGACGACTGCGGTCGAATGTCACTTTGAAGTTGTCTCTGTCGACCTTCCCTTGTTGGAGCTCGAGATCATCTACTGCATCATATCCATCAATGTCACTTGTTGCTACGCCATCGCTTCTTGGAATTGCTGCGCCATGGACGCTTATCTCCGCGATGCTAGGGTTGCCGGACAAAGTCGACTGTGAAGCTTGTGTGACCTTTTTCGTAGGCACCATCTTCCCGGATTCTGTCATTATGTAGATTTCTACGGTGAGAACTTCCAGACAACGTGCGTCGTAATAATCGAATGATAAAAGTAAGAAATAGAGTTAACTAGAACGAAGAGAATTGATATGAAGGAGATAAACAACAAACTACTAACCAAATTTCAATTTTCAACGTATCATTAAACTGGAGAATAAGTACATATTTATAGGCATAAAACATCTCATTTCTCCTACCTAAAACATGAAACTTCTACAAGGAAACAATAAGTCAATAACCAAATCCTAAACAAGTAATAATTAAAAAGCAATCCAAATCCTACTAAGGCTCTGGCTCTTACCGGTTTGGCGGATTCTTTGGTCCAAAGAGGGCTTATTGGGCCACTGAGGAGCTTCCTGAGCACTATACGCAATCTGTCATCGCCGGCACAACAGGCTCGGGTAAATTATCCATGGTGTTCTTCTTCTCTCTACTACGGTTCCAGTTCTGAACTCGGGCTGCAAACTTTTTTGGTCCTTTGGTATTTGAGTTATAATTAAGGGTTAATACCTTATTTTGGCCTAAACTATAACCATATAATCAACGTTGGCCCATGGTTTTAGAAATTAACATCTTGGCCTCAACTATGCAACATATAGACTTAATTGGTCCGACAAATGGTTTGACCGTCAATTTGGACGATCAACACGGTTGACCGTTAGTCAACACGCCATGTCATTGCATCGTTAGCCTAAAATTTATTAAAAATTCAAATTCAAATTATTTTCCTAATTTTTATTATTTATCATTATCAAATTAACCAAAATTTTTTTGGATAATTTGAAAAAGATAAATTTCATAAATTAACCAAAAATTATCAATTTTTTAAAATTTCTTAAATTTTATTTTGAGGTGGTGGTAGCTCTGGGAGGGGATGCATGAATAGTTGGAATTGGCTTAGTAAGCGACGGGGAAGCCGTAAGTGACAATGGTGAAATTGGATTTCTCAATGTGGGCAGTGCCAGTGGAAAAGGAAGGGGTTGAATTCAGATAAAAGTCCAATATTAGAGGTGTGGTAGAACTTATGGACGTATCCAACGTGACTTAACCTACACATATTTCTTACTGAAAATAAGGTTTAAGGTTGGGTGGTGCTTTTACTTGGACCAAGCTATTATTGCAAAACTAGGTGAATACAACCAACTATCATTAAGAATTTCGTCTTTGGACCAATTTGTGGAATCCATTTCTTTTGGGTTGAGTGCAAATTTTGGTTCACTCAACTCTGAGATACCCGATACAATTCATGTTACAACTATTGTACTAAGTGTTAATATCCAAAATGCAATTGTGGCATATACAAATATATTGGTGA